GAACAAAAATAAATTGATCCTGCCCACATGTTGACTCCGTAAAATAAGTAAATCTTTTATGGGACAATGTATACGTTATTACAACAAAATTCCGGAAAACGTTCAAAATGCATCAATAGCTAAATTTAAAAAAAAATAGTAAAAGAACGTTTGTGTGTTAAAGGCTACTATAATATTAATGATTATTTAAATGATAACACACTCTGGTAATGAACTGATCGCTCCAGGCTCTTTCAATCGGAGTTCTTATCTTGTATTTTAATGAATTTATGTCAAACTGCTTATTTAAAAAAAAAGCCCGCTGAGTTTCTTTCGCCGGTTCTTCTCAGTACAGCCCGCAAGGTGCATAACAAATGTATAGTCGAGGACGTTTATTTATTATTTCAGGCTATTTATTTAAACCGTTGTCAATTGAATTTAATGTCTTTTTCACAAACAAAGAGTACTGGCACAGAGGATAAATTTTTTAGTTATTTATCTTTTGTTCCGCTTAAGAAGTACAATTTCTTACGTGAGGACATCAGTATACGTATATTTTATACTTATGATTAAATTTAGCCAAAAATGTAAACAGTGTGAGTATAACATACAAACATATCGATTCATAATATAAAACTACAGATACATGGTTACCTTAATTTTGAACCCGAGTTATATCAAACAATTGGAAAGTTTAACCACAAGAACTTCACAACTGTAGCAAAAGCGGTGATCTCGTCCAGCGCATAAATACAGCGACTAGTTAATACCTTGATTTCCGGAGGAATCCGTATCGAATAATGAAATACCTAACTATTGAGGGCACGCTCCGTCTCCTGCTTCCATTAGACGAAATTAAAAAAGCCCCGACGGTCTATTCACCCGGCCGTTATCCAGGTAAATCTTTGCGATTTCCAGTTACGGAATTACGCGTACATTTGCCAGAAGGTTAAAATAATAAGAGCCCCGAATTTAATTCGAACCGGTTGGAATAAAGACGAGATATAATTGATCATTGATCTGCCTTCACATTTCTTTTTGTTTCTTCCTAAATATTTCATGATCTGTTATGTGCACAATAGAATTTTAAGCTACTTTAACATTGGGTAGATAAGAGTTCTAAAGTTTTTACCTTGATTCTAATATTTTAAATATTACTAAACTTGATTATTATCAACTATTATAACGATAAGTAGCACTAGTGGTTTTATCACTGTTCGGGAACGCAGCCGAAATCCAAGTGACCGCTGCTACATGCGACCATATGTCCCTTGGCTCGAGTAGATAACGTCATATCCGGTATACAGTGTTGCCAGCGCCAACATTCGGCCGTCCTGCAGGTCTTTTTACAATTTTTGTTCTTCCTCCAACGTAGCCTACGTTAATCAAGAGGCAAAGGAGATCCTTATTAGATGAGGGATGCCACGAAAACAATGTTTAATAATAAGAATAAAATAGAAGAGCTAGAAATGGTTCTTAAAGTTATAGGATTAAGTTTTTGTATCTATCTTCTATTATACATACCTACATATTTAAATGCAAATTTCAATATTATAACATTATTTAAAACTCATAATTATAATAAAACAAAGAACAAGGAAATATTCTTCCTCACAAAAATTTTCAGAAGAAAATCTCCAATTACGTGAATCAAACGTTATATCGTACACGTATCAATATTGCATTTTGATATGTTTGCTTAAAAATTTTATTTTTATAGTGCTAATCTCTACACTAAAGATGAAACATTAAAATGTGTAGAAAATAGTATGAAAAGTTTTTCCCGCTGTTGGAATCGAACCCAAGTCCATACGCTTTAATAGCTAAGCTCAATGGCTGATTGCCACACCGACGAAAATCTACAATGTCTTCTTCGCATTTCCAGCAATGCTTGGCGCATCCATTATTATATCCTTTATTGGGAAAAAAATATTTTATAGTTAATACAAATATAGTTATAATATAGTGCTAATCTCTGCTCTTAAAATAAAAAATTAAAACGTGTAAAATAATTAATTTGACGTATTTTACGTATTTACATTGGCTTATTTACATTGTTCAGACAGGTAACGATAAAAATGAACAACGTAAGAAAAAGTTAATTTACAAAGCCATTTCGATGATACTTAAATTCATTAATGATATTTATTATTTTGATGATTAGTTCCATACTTAAATTCATTACTAATATTTATATTTATTGCATTGCCTTCTATTTTAAATTATGATAACGTTTGCAAGTTAGTTAACAATATAAGTTCAAGTTCTTATTCTAAGCCCTTCTATTTTCGATGAAATCCGCTGAGTAATATTGAATCATATTAGATACAAACTATCAGACGAATAGACAAAACCTTATTATTTCTGTTTAACTCAATCTTAGCGATTGTTTTGGAAGCACTGACAAGGCACTTCAATTTTAAAGCAATTAAGTAGAATAGATATAAACCATTGTAGTATAACCTAAAAACTTAGAGTTCATTCAAATTCCCAATTATGATTTGATTCAGTGAAAGGCATAACGAAATTCATACTTCGACGTTGGCCCCATTGAGTGAGTTATCAAATCTAATTACGTGAAATTCTATTCGTACCCCGCATCCTCTCCGACCGGGATTATATGGGATTTTATTAGGTACAATACAAAATTTTACGACCCAAGTTGTAAATTCAATCTGATATTGTGCGAAACGTCTATGATCCCTGTTTCAATATTATTACGTCGGTAATATTGACATCGGTGACATAATGAGGTAGACAAGACAAGACCACTGACTTGGATTCTGAATTTTGCAAAATTATGATGTATGAATTGGCCGTAATTAATATACTTAAACTAATATTCTTTTTTTCAGCACTTGGTAAGCGTAAGGTTGCAGTTGCGTTGCTAGCTTACTTTTGTTGAGAGTGCCAAGTCGTCTAGTTGTAATGATTTTAACATTCATTTTAATGATGTAATCGGATAAAAACAATTTACTCTGTGAGCAACATGTTCTAGATAACCTTTCAAAGTCAAAGTCAAAGTATATTTATTCAATTTAGGCCTAACTTAAGCTCTTATTGAACGTCAACAAAAAATCTACCACCGGTTCACTAAACTAGACCTGTACAGAGAAGAACCGGCAAGAAACTCTTTATAACCAAGTGTCGATTCTTGAGGATAATTACTGATTATAATACATTATTGTATTAATTATCGAATCACTACTAATCCAATTATCCTTTTTTTACCTTTTTTTAGTATAAATGTGAAAGTGTGTTTCTTTATCCTTTTTTTTTAACCAAAAAAAACAAGGATTTGATATGATTTTTTAAAGTTGTTAGTTTTACGTCAGAAGTCACATAGGCTACTGCATCCCGAAAAAAAATATCATTCCGACGGAAAGCTGTGTTTTATCATTAGAAAAATTATATGATTTTGTACGTTACCTCACATACCGGTGAGTAAAACATTAGGTGGTTGTCAACTGCCTCGGGGAAAGCCTGTCAGTCAAAGCAGGCTTAAGTTGGCAGCCAAAACAAATAACCCTAATAGCGACTGTACTTTAGTCATGATATACCGTTGTGTAATAGCTTAGGTTTACATCGGTCTTCTGCGAAGCGTAGGAACATAGCCAGGCGAGCCAATTCTATCATTAGTCCATATCATATACGCAGCAGAAGATGCTGCATATGCGTATATTACAGAAATTACATAAAGACAGAAAGACAAATTACAGTGGTCTCAAAGTGCGTATGACATGACAAACTTTACAGCACAAAGACCCGAAATGAACACAAGAGCATTAGACAGATTATGATTCCAAAATAAGGATGTTTCCGAAAGCAGTATGTATTCCATGTTTTGTTGTTTCAGAAAAAGCTTTTATCTTTAGTATATCAAAGGTCAAATGTGAAAGTTACTTTATAATATGATGCATATTTAAATACGGAATATACACTTTTTGTTGATTCAATTTACTGCAAATACATTAAAATTACAAACGACTGCCAATCATGCTTGAAACACCTTTTGAGTTGAAGATGCTTTTTATTAAATAAAATCACTTCAAGTAGATCCAAAATACCTCTTTTGTCTTACCTTGTATATTAATTTAACTTAATCGATTGATAAGTCAAAGTATAGAGATAGAGATAGGCAGAATATAAATTTTACCTAAGAAAGTGCTGAACATCTGTGTGAACCCGAAGCGTATAGTCCGTTATGTAATAAATTTTGATGAAATCCGCAGCCCTCACCTCTCCGTTGCGTTAAGCGAGATAGAAAATGACTTCCCTTAGACCCACCCGACTGGACTCAATTTATCGAAATAAGTTTTGTAATTGTGCTTCCGTGCCCCACGAATCTTCCGTTTCGTTGGTAAATAAATATTTTGATGGCTCCGTGCCGCAGTTGCCAAGGTATTGGCTTCGGCGTCGGGCTCGTGGGTTCGATCCCCACACGGGACAACTATCTGTGTGACCCACAATATAGTTTTTTCGTATTTGCGTGTTTGTCCGCGTGAAATTTATGTTTGTAAAACGTCCTTACAACACAGGATAATGTTATCCGTAAGGGCAATGTTTTTTTAAAAAAATGAAAATGAAAATGAATTTTTAGCACTCAATGCTCAACACAAAACTGTTAACGCTATTCTGATCCACATAACAAACGCTTCATCTCTTACTCCTTTATTTGTATATAAAACATATTATAATGTAAATACATATAAACTCTTGAATAAATCTAAAGCGCTACCAAAAATAAGTAACGACAGTAATATAACTATTGGCTCTCCTTAATTAAAAATAGTATTTAGTATATATGATTTTATTTAATAGCAGCAATTGAAATGAAAAAAAGTAACAAACAATAAATATAAAATGTACCAAAGCCGTCTTCCCACTCTAACATAATACGTTGTCGAACAAATAACTACTTCAAATTCATCATTTCAGCCTGTCAAAGTCCACTGCTGACCATAGACCTTACGTAACGTAACTACTTACTTAAAGGTATTTAAAATAAACGCCCTAACCTATTCTAGCTGTGTATCACGCAGTGGCAACGAGTAGAGTGGTGCGAAATCCGTCATCATGAAACTGGGGGGTTCCGATTCGCTTCTGGCACTTTGACGGATGTCGATTAACGGATAACTGTCAGTGGGACGTCGCCGTTCGCCGCAGAACCATCCCATCGCGCTGGATGCGGCGTAAAGGAGTATACCAACGATAATGCCGCTCCACCACCACATGGGATATGTACGCAAGGACACGTAGGTGTTTCTCCAAGCGCTGCACGCTTTACTCGAGCCCAGGGTAGACGCGCAAACCCTTATTAAGTACTTCGTTGCCAGCTCCGACTTGACGTTTACACTGGTGTTGTTACTGGGCACACACCACGCTTGCGGCAAAACGTTGTTGATGTCGTTCAATATTACTTTCGGCAACACTTCTACTCGGTACGCCAATATTGGTCCGTTGGATTCTGGAGGCGGCTCCCACTGAACGGTGACGGAACCAGTCAAGTTTATCTCTGCGAAAGTAATGCTGGGGATATCCGCACCGTCCTTCCTTAGTGTCCTAACCACACCTCTGGTAGATCGGCTACAGCTGCCTTCAGTGCAAGCTCTGAGTTTAAATTTATAGTCCCGAAACGGCGCTAGTCCGCCCACTTGGAAGTCGTTCCTAGGGCCCTGTATGTTCAAAGCTAAGCTCTTCACGTATCTCCCGTAACTCGAATTTGAGCGGTGGTTGATTTCGAAGTCGCATTCGAAATCATGGCCGCTGCAAACTTCGAAGCGCTCCTCAACCAATGCCCCTTCTGTTACCGATGACAGAACGCCGCATGTCGATTCGCAGCCCTTATTGTAATTCGAGGGCGGCCTCGATACGACCGCGTGCCGGGAATAGTCCAGTTCGTCATCATCCGCATTCGTATATTTACAATGATCCCTCATGGCGATGTCTTTGGAATAGATTTCTATCAAATTCACATCTAGCTCGTAGTGTACAATGTGGGACTGGTAGTCTTTGTGATCCACCCAACGTACGACAATAGTTTCTGGCGACGAAGCGACGAGCTCCACAATAAACGGCGGTTCCGGCCTCCCAACCTCAGTCTGGAAGCTTAGGATCGAGCTTCTCGCGAGGTTTCTGTGCACTAGGTCGTATGTTTCCACGCAGACGGCGTAATTAGACGCGGGGTGCAACGAATTCAGTGCGACCATTTCTATGTGACTGGACACCTCCACTGCGTTCCATTCCGATTCGCTGCAAGTCTCCGGCACGAAAGACGCGCCCAACGCGTGAGGCAGTTTCACATAGAGAACGGAGTAATGCACATCTTCGTCAGGGATAGGCGAAAACATGACCAAAGCTGAGGTCTCATTCAAGACCCGCACTTGAAGACCCAAAGACACTTCTTGACAACCCCCGCTGTAACCATTCATCCCCTGCGGAACGTCTATTTCGTTGGGCTGCTTTGGAAAGGCAGTCTTCAGCATCTCTATTTGGCTCATGCAGAGCATCGGATTCCCGTAGAAGTTCACCGTCCCCCGATCGACCTTGAGATTTCGGGTCACGTTCGCCATTAAAAGCGACTGCAGATTCCTCATGTCGTACCCAACGAAGCTGTACTTGCCCCTATACAATTTTCTACCGCCTATACGCATCAGAGATGGCAGGAAATCTAATGAAGTTATCATAATAGATCCGTATACCATAATGTAATCGGACACCTCCCTTAACGCACTGAGGTGCGTCCTCAATTCCTTGGCCGTTTCGGGTATCGATGAGATGTGTATTTTGAGAGATCCATTTATGTAGACGCAACGTCCGGCCGCTTGTAACGTTTCTATGCTACGGATGAATTGACTCCCACAAGTCTGAAATAATTATATATGATCCGATCGATTTCTTGTATACGCAACAACATTACAAGTTATTAAAGTAAACTACTTTCACCTTAGGAGTGTTGGATCTAATTTCATAAAATATAGCTTCTAAGACGGTGGCAACAGAACGGTCCCAACCTTGTCTTTGCTATTGAAGTAAAGATGCTTATTTATTTCCTCAGCAAAGACGATAAATATCTATTTCTACTGTTTTAAGCACTTCTTTTGCTCTTTGCCCTAGGTGGAATTGGCACAACATGTTAACCATGTTGTAAATGGTATCGGCTACGTGTTTTGCTACGCTTGCTGCTTCACGTAAACCCTTGGAAATAAACACCAAGATCCATAACAATTATCTATGGGTGATACAAGTACTTGTTCCGTGTGGGAGTCGAACCCAGGAAATCGGCGCTAAAGTCAGTAGCTTAGGAGCTGCGCCAACGTTTAGCAATTATTCTAATGGGCCAATCAATAAGAATAAAATCATATTTATATTATTTTCCTTCAACCGTCTGCAAATGAGTTTGTATCATACAAACAGTGGCGGATTTGTAGTCTTAGCCGCCCTAGGCCCTCGCCCATGTAGTAAGTTCCAGCCGCCCCTTTCTCAGAGCCCATTATTTATCATGTTATCATCATAGAATCTTTTGTCACAATTGGCCGCCCCTAATATGTGGCCACCCTAGGCCCCGGCCCATTGGGCCTTAGGGAAAATCCGCCACTGCATACAAATCTTTGTGTACCCATAAGAAAAGGTAGGGTCTTTATTACCTGGCCAGCCCACATAATTATTTATTCAGGTATACTTGTTTCTTCAGCTATGACTGATATTGCTCTCAGATGTTTTTAGTAATGGAATCTTTAATCATTGAAAATTTTCAACCTACCTCTGTACAGTTATCACACCGTCTACAGGTTATGCTATCAGATGAGTTCTCCTTCACATAATTGACAGGACATTCGAACACACAAGCGTTGTCCCATGGCCACCCGCCGAGTGTATTGCATTCCTCAATTGTCACACAATACGAATTTACTGGTAACACGACTCTGCACAGATAATGGGATTAATTTATAATTGGATTAATTAATTCAATTGATAATGATCGAGTCTAATCATGATTAGTTGGGAGATTTTTCACACATATTTCATATGAATTTTCGCATAACAGTAGTCGGGTACTATCGGTAGAGTATTTTATGGACATTTGCAAAACCCGTGTGGTTGCAGATGCGTAGCAATAACACCTTAACCTTTTAATAAGCTGGGCTCCTGTTACCTCACTCACCAGACGAAACGAAGAAGTATAACACTTTCACTTCACGTCGGTCTTCTTTGAGGTATTTTACCCGGACCGACCTGCCCATTCGTGCAACAGCGAAAACTGTTGCGTGGCCCTATCACAGTTAAATCCAAGTCACATTTCCAAAGACCGATTGGCCGATTGGTCCCGTTGGGTAATCGGAAACATTTTGCTGAGTTTTTATTTTTATTTTATATAAACAATTATTCTATTTGTTTAAATTTGAACGGAGTTGATGTGCGTAACTTTTTTTTTTAAAAAGAGGCAAACGAGCAAGCAGGTCCCCAGATGGTAAGCGATCACCGCCGTGCTTCCTTCCCTTGGGTTCTGGCTAGCCCATCGATTCTGCATCAGATGAATGCTTTAATAGTCTCGGGACTGAAAGCAAAAACATCAGTTAATACATGATACGAACATCGGTTGAGTCGCAATTGCGTTGCCGGCCTTTAAGTTAGGAGTCGGCTCTTGCTGAATGCTTACGTTCCGCTGGGACACTTGGCAACACATCGGCCACTGTACGTGCTGTGCCGGCACAAAGTGCATTCGCTGCCGTTCGTCTTGCGGCAGCCGAGGCACTGGCTCTCGCATCTCTCGCCTTCGGGACCCTCTACGTAGCGTTGGCATTTTCTGGAAATTTTCTTCCCGCTGTAACGCCAACTTCGCTGATCGCTACGTTTCGTTTCGACCGCTCTCCGTTTCAGTCTTATTTATATCACAGTTAAAATCTCATTGTTTTATGTGAACAAGAAGCGGATCCAACTGTCTTGATGAGTATACATTTATTTTTGCAGTTTAAACTTGTTCTCTTTACGTTTTGAACAAACTTGAACAAATTTCAATTCAGTTTTTTTTTAGTTAAATATTATGAAAAGGGCTACCACAGTAAGCAGATGGTAACAGTTAGTAAGCCGATGGTACTTTTTTGACGTTCAATACCAAGGACTCCATGGCGCAGTTGCCAAGATATTAGCTCCGGCGTGGGTGTCGTGGGTCCGATTCCCACATGGGACAATTATTTGTGTGACCCACAGACAGTTGTTTCACAACTGGGTGCTTGTCCGCGTGAAATTTATGTTTATAAAACGTCCTTATGACACAGGATAAAGTTATCCTAAATAATGGGCAATGTTTAAAAAAAGAAAAGAAAAAGAAAGGGCTTAAAATAAGTTTATATTGAATAAAGAAATTTTGACTTTGAACAAAACCATGGACAAGGGTCGACTGGTAGAGAATGCCATTAGGCATTAACTCCGCCCATTGCAGCCCTTAGCTTAAGGTTGAATAAATAAATACAGACCTGTTGTTCCAGCAGTGGTTGGTCGACGGGTTGGAGGTGCAGGTGCAGCGCGGGCTGCAGTAGGCGTGCCTGTCAGCGCTGAGGACATGCCTCGAGCCGGGGGCTATCGCCTCCCAGTCCACGGTGTCTATAAAGCACGCCTGCGACGCCCCCCACACGACCACACCGCCCCTATCGATCTTCAGCAGATTGTAGAGTCCAATCTGTGTTCAAATCGAATGATCATTTGTTCACCTGATGTTAAGTGAGTACCGCCACCGCTACACCTGAGGGTCCCAGTTGCGTTGACAACTTTTGAAAATTGGGCTCCAGCCACCTCACTCACCAGACGAAACGCGAAAGTATTATCCTGCCACTTTACGCCGGTCTTCTGTGAGGTCGCGGTACTTACCCGGACGGGCCTGCCCATTCGTGCGACAGCCGAGGCTGCTGCGTGTAACCCTACCGCCCTGATAAATGATGAATCTATCTGTAGAACAAATCCTTGGCATAGAGAAGTGTCGGTATATAATTGACTTCTGATTTGTTAGAATGATGAATTGATGAAGTGCAGTGTAAGCGTAAGCCTGTTCTTTAACGATGATAGCGTATGTTAGGTATATATTTATGTAGAACAAGCGACAGAGAAGGAAAGGAAAGACGAAAAAATTTAAAAGCTACAATCGCTGCCGGTCCTAAAGACATATTTATTGATAATACCATTTCATTGCATATTTAAACAGTATCAAATTATAATATAAGCTTTTTTCGTTAACACGCGCAATTGACATTTACTGCTATGTCCTGGGCACAAAATTTGGACAGTGCTTTTGGCGTATACGAAGCACAAAAGACGGTAAACTTGTCTTACTGTGGTGCTCCCTGCTGTGTTTCAAATCCAATACCAACCATATGATCAATATCCCGAAACATCAGATATCATATCCGAATAAAGATTTTTTATGTAAGTATGCAAACAAAACTATATTTAACCACAGAAGACTAGAAACGCTATAATATACGCTAGCCCAGCTCCAATCCAAACCACGTTAATTTACTAAAGGATAGGATGAAATTCATAGAGTTCGAATTGAATCTACACTTGAGAAATATGCTATCAGAGGCCAAATTCATAGAAACGTTGGAAATTCGAGGAGCGCTGTGGTCACGTTCGCTAGTGAAATTAAATTTGTTATACTGCACCACTATAAGCTTTATCTAATAAAATTAGGGAAATCGTCAATATGGCTATAAAGAGGGTCAGTGGATGTGGAATTTTTAATAAATACAAACGCAGAGAAACTTATTTCTTTATTATTTACGACCCGATTGGCGTGGGGAGTGGTGACCCTGCCTCTTGCGCCAGAGGGCGAGGGGTCGATCCCCACTTCTGGAAAAATATTGTGTGATTAACATCGTATTTTTCCAGTGTCTGGGTGTTCATATATGTATAATATGTTTTTATTTACAAAAGAAAACTGTGTTTAATCAAGTTTATCAGTTTTTTAGTATCCATAATATAAGCGTTGCTTAGTTTGGGACTAGATTGCGTCCGAAAAATGTTTATTTATTTATGATGAAGATTTGTTTCTTATCTAAACATTTCCCTTGCAGTAGTATAACATTTTCCCGTTTAGTAACAGCGATTTACAATCATAAATTTCAAGTGGGACACACACTACTTACACACACAATACTTTTCCCGTGTGAGAATACCTTGAAAATGGACCATCAAGGATCAAGGATGCAAGATAAAATCGTAGATAAAAAATAGTTACTTTTTTCATAGTGTAAGATTATCGTGACTATCCTAACATTATCATTAAAATTTTTGTTTTTCTGAAAGAACCGATCTGAAACTGTTATTAAATAACAATTCAATTTTTTTACATCGTGAAAACAGATAATTTTTTCATGACGAAATCAAAAGTGCTGAAATATTAATAATATCCCTCATTTTAACTCCAGAAAACTTAGCCGTAGTTAGCAGATATAAATTCGAGCAGTTCAACAATGGATGCGGTCGAATGGGAGAATATGGCGTTAGGAATTTTAAAAAGACGTTTTTTTAAAATACCTCCTTAAGGTTTGGTATATCGTAGACGATGAGGGCGTAATTGTAAAGCAGCTGCGCCCCTCGAATCCTCGCCAGGTTGGGGAACAGTTGGGCGAGGCTCTGTAAACCGCGCACCCGATAGACCACCAGGAAACCTGTAATCTGATACACAGATCTTTAAAAAAATGTAAGTTATTGTATATTAACTTAGAAATTTAAATTTTTTATAGTGCTAATCTTTACACTTAAGATTGAACATTAAAATATGTAGAAAAAGTGCGAAAAGACTGTCGCCGCTGTGGGAATCGAACCCACGTCTATTAACTTGTCATTGTTAAGAGCCATGATAGCTCAGTGTCCGGGCGCTCGCCTCTAATTCGATACATTCGAGCAACCTGAGTTAAAAGTAGTGCAAAACGGTAGTATTTTAAAGTAACATCTAGAATTTTCAATAAACCAGCACAGATGTCTGCCGTATTTTTATATTTGAAGTTGTTCGTGCTATGAAATATAAGATATATACCCGACCAATGTTAGTGATCTTCGTTTGGTTCTTTTGTAAATTTTTGTACAACTAAAACAATTACACAGCACACTTGCAGTATGTATATACATTCCATACTTAAATAAAGTAAGCAATTGGTGCTATTTTATTACACACACAGTTATGAAAAACTCTTCGTCCTCACGTGAAAAGTGTTTGTGGGTTGGGTTATATTGCGCCATTTTATGACAGGCCAAAAACACTTTTATATTTTTAAATAAAAATATTCCATTGTACTAAACGATATTGTATCTTTTTTTGTTTTTTGTTCGCCAACCGGAAAACCTGACGGTAACTTTCGGTGTTTAGTGCAATATTTTGTTTTTACACGACTGCAAAAGGAGAGTTATGTTTTTACAATATATGTTTATATATGTAATTATTTGGCATACTCTACAGCTCGAACCTTTTGACGGACTTCAACACATAAGGTATTTTCAGATTTTTCTCAGTTGTTGAAGTGACCATATTGTATATTTTAAAAATGGTGTTAAGTGTTGCGCATGTTCATGGGCGGCGGTGCCAACTGAAAAACTAAAACATATCTTTAAAAAAAAAATTGCCATTTCAGGATAATATTATCCAGCCAGATGCGAAACAACCATCTGTGGGTTACAGAAATAGCTCTCCCGAATGGGAGTCGAACCAACGACCCACTACGCCGCCGACAGCGCCACGTAGTCGTCGTAGGGACAATCGATCAAAGTAAAGACCGTACCTCTTTCAGCTTGGGAAAGGCGACGTTGGTGAAATTCTCTCGCCTCGTCTTCTCCAGCAGCAGCACGTGGAGGTTGCCCACCACCACCGTGCAGTTCTCCAGACGGGCCAGCGCCTCCATAGAGTTGCAGAACATGCTCCTGCATATTCCGTGGTGCTCGAACGGCTTAGGAACGACATGCTGGCAGCTGCACGCGCCGATGTAAATAAAAAACAACCTGGCAACAACGTAGTACAAACGTATACACAAGCACTTTCGTCTGTTTGTGGGCATAAGTTATATACCACCTTCCCTACATAGCTCTCGCCGTACCGTCTAATAACCACATCGATGTGTAATCAAAATCCAAAGTTTTTTTTTAACTTAAGTTTAGTTTTTTTATGTGAGAAGGTGCTAAACGAGCGGGCGGTTCACCTGATGTTTAATAAACGAATACACATTAATAAAAGAAATAAAGGAATTCGCATTTTGATATTAGGTACTTTTCTAAAATATTCTTGAAATTTGATACCGAATATGTTACACTAAATTGTCACTAAATTGCAAATCATGTCCATCCTCCTACCCTTATCCCACATAGGTGGGGTTGGTACAATATGACTGTGGATCATGTTGTAAGCGGTTTTGGCTATGTTTTTTAAGACCGGCCCGCCTGACTGACGTGAACCCTCCTGGGAAACAAACAACAGATCCGGAACAATTATCTGTGGTCACAAATTCTTGTCCCGTGTGGGAATCGAAGCCACGACCCCCGACGCATAGTTCATTTAATAATAGTAAAACTTGTTGAAACATGACTATCTTTGTCATAAGCATATTCTTATTAATATGTGTATTTTTAATTAAATATTATGAATAGTTGAAAGAACGTTCAGGAGTATTTATATAAGAAAATTTAATATTACCAAACTAATGTCTTCGACGCCATGGCACTTTTAAATTTTTCCCGCTAAATCTTTTATATTTCTTCTGCGCCCGTGCCGATGATCTTTTAATTAACAGCCGTGGAAGTAACTTAATAAACCTGAACCTTATTCCAAAAACGGGGAAACACATTTTAGAATGTCACATTTTCATTATATCTCAGATTACCTGGAAAAAATCAAATGAAAAAATCAACGTCTCACTGCAGCTTGTACCTTCATTTTCAGCGTCTTTGGAAACTTTTGAAATTACTAATAACATTTGTTTATCCGAGGTTTTTATCAAAGTATTTATTTCCATTAAATTATGTTGATTTTTTTTAACAAGCACTTTTAAAGTATAAAAACACTGTATAAACTTTTCACTGTATAAAGTTTGCCAGAGTAAAGAAATTATTTAAAAAGACATAAAATTTATGTTTATGTAAATACAAATTCTATAGACATTCCAATACTAATATATGCGTCCATAAATCCGATTACGCATTCTTATGATTCTAATGTCCATAGCTGCAGAAATGTAATTAAAAAAAATAAAAAAGAATTACGTACCGCGCGCGCGAACAACAAGTTTACTTGGTCAATCTATCGCAAACGTTATAATATAGTTAGCCGGAAATCAAACAAATATATTCCCTTGTGACTTATTAGCAACAAGGAAAAAGTAAGTAAAACACTGCAGAGACCACTCGTCCGTGTGACCTGGAACTGCAACTCGCCACAATTGTGCTCAGTGCAAATTATTTAATTACCTATTTTTATTTCGATGGGCTGTTAATTTAAGACGGCAGGATCGGCAAAGGTCAAGTGCGTACAGCGTGTTCCATTTTACATTTGGATCATTTAATCTTTTGTCACGTATTAATAAAATTGATGGATAATCATTTTTTAGAAATGCAAAAAATGTTCGAAGAGGAACTTACAACTTTCAATGTGATTCTGTGTTGAAAAGTATTGACTAGAGTTTTAAGTAATATATCACTTTGTTAATATGTACCTATGCTATAGATTCTGATATAAATTATTAATTTTAAAAAATATGTATTAATAAGGAAATCTTGACTTTACCTTTGAATTTGTGGGTAAAGTTTTTTAAAACTCCCACAAAATGATTTTTCAATTACATCTTATGTCCCTATGCAGAGAATGTTATGATGCAATGTCGGGAATTTGAGAGGAAATGCACTAAACATTATTAAATAAACGTTGTTTGCAGATTTATCGCGTTTACTTTAATTCGCCTTTATTTTGTATTCGCGTAGTTTCGAATACTTTGCATCGTTAACGTCATGGGTAAAAACGGTTTCATATTTATTAACCGACTTCAAAAAGGAGAAGGTTTCTCAATTCCACCGTATATATTTTAATTTTTTTTATGTGTGTTCAGGGACAACTTCGTTATTTATGAACCGATTTTGCATAAAAGAATACAAAAAAAATACTTTCCTGTTTGAAGTCGGTTTTTTTTTGTTCAAAATATTTTTTTTTAATTGGAAATTGTGTTCGGTCTTTAATCTTGAATTCGACTAATAACTGAAATGTATCCGCTATCGATAACAGTACTTATATCCATAAATTGTTACCGACAAAAGTCCTCAGTGCCGTAAGACCGGCTCAAGATAAAATAGTTTTGTCCCAATGTCAAGTAACTTTAATGTAATAATGAATTAATTAAAACTCCATTCTATCGCCTAGGGATGAGCATGAATTGCGGAAAAGGAAATTTATACTATTAACACTACTAGGCACCTCACTGCTGCCGATTATAAGTAGCCCAATTCATGATTTTCTTATTTTGATCAAAAATGCCATTATATAAATACTAATGACTACAAAGTATTCATTTTTCTACGAGTCAATCCCTTTTAGTTTCTAATTATTATAAAAACTACCAGTTATTAGTAGCGATGTCCGCGAACTGTTTTTCGGAATTAAATAACTTTATATAATAAATAAGTAAAATTTCCAATTTTATTTTAATTTAAAAAACAACATTTTTTTTACTATCTATCCATAATTATCTGATGTAGTGTATTTACCGTCTAAGAAGAATACATCTCACTTACCATCAATAGAGATTTAGACCTAGAGAGTAGTGACTAGGCAGTTTTTGAGTTCAAAAACAGTGCAATATTATAACAATTAAATAGATCCAACGTTCAAGAGATCAAAAGTATACGAAAGATGATACCTACTTATTAAAGACTTTAATACTTCGACATTATAACAATTTCGCGTTTCGTCATTTGCGCTTCGCAGTAAAAATGCAATTTCATCAGCGGCGGGCTTAGGCACGGAGTCTTGAAAAATATCCGCCTGTTATTTTAATCTTCGCTACAGAGTGTCCCGGGTTGTAATAAAACCGCCCGTGTGGCAAGACCCGCGGGTCAAGTGGCTTTAACGAGCGATATTGCATTTTGTGTCGTGCTCCTACACACGGCGGAGTCTAGCGCACTCCTTGTAGGGAGCCCTCCGTCAAAACTGTATTCCGTTTCATGAATACATATTAAACGTTCCTCGAGAGCGGACGCGCCGCGCGGTTCTTTATATCGAAATGTGTGCTGTACAGTCAGCTCTTGTCTCTAATAAAAACCGGGGCGCTCGTGATTTTAACAATATGAGGAGCATAAATTACCTGAGCCGTATTCGGTGCGATCATTTCGTTTTAAACGGGTACATAGGAGACGTTTTGCGGAGTTGCATCTGCATTTCGTAAAATACTTATTCGGCACCAAGCAAAGATTAGTTTTTTTAAGTGATATTAAGGGATAACCGCCCAAGGACTCCTAAGAGGACTCTCCTTAGGATTTTATATAAAAAAAGAAAAATAAAGTAACTAACAGCATATAATAAAATATGCACACTGCCGGGCAATGGCCTCCATTAGGCCTATACACCACGCGTACCCACTGCGGATTGGCAGATTTCACATATCTTCGAAATACTAATTTTGTTTTTTTTTTTTTATAAATATTGCCCTTACTTTAGGATAATTTTATCCTGTGTTGTAAGGACATTTTACAAACATAAATTTCACGCAGACTAACACCCACATGCGAAACAACTATCTGTTGGTCACACAAATAGTTGTCCCGTGTGGGAATCGAACCCACGAACCCCCGACGCCGAAGCCAATACCTTAGCCACTGCGCCACGGAGTCATCAAACCAACATCATTTTCTTATTATTTAGAAAATGTGCAAATTCTCACGATATTTTCCTTCACCGCACGTAAAGAAGAACGTGATAAATCTGCACTTAAAATGAACAATTTCATTGAAGCCAGCAACGGGATTTGAACTCAGTTCGCCCGAATATATTGAATTAAAAGCGAGCGCTCGGACAATGAGCTAATACGGCTCACGTTTAAATTGTATTGATTAAGAATTAAGACTACCTGTAACTTTAACAACATCAACAAACCTTAAAAACTTTTGACAAAACGTTATGCAGTTATGACAAGACACGGAAGAAATGCAAAGAGTCAATGGCGGATTTGCCCTAAGGCATAATAGGCCCGGACCTAGGGCGGCCACATATTAAGGGCCAGTCGTGACCAAAAATTCACTGATGATAACAAGATACACGATGGGCGCTGAGAAAGGAACGGTTGAAACTTACTACATGGGCTGGGGCCTAGGGCAGCCAAGACTACAATTCCGCCACTGTAAAGAACGATAATCCTTACTTGGAGGTGGCGCAGGCGTTTGGTCTAAACCGAAGTGTAATTAACGGTCTTGGTTTAGCCCTGTTACCTATCGTAGGTGCAGATGGTGCTCAGAGGGCCCTCTAAGCTTCGAAAAAAGGGAGCAGCTAGCTCTCGAATCTAGCAAACATAGAGGATACCCACATGATTATTTTTAGGTTAAGTGAACGTTAAAAATAACAGAACTCCTAATGATTTACTTGACCTGACTTTCAACACATGCGCCAAGCGTCTTTGATAAGCATGTGCTATTTTTTACCAATATTTGATTCAGCACGTTTTCAGCACATTGGATCAGCGATATGCTCATGTATTGATGGCCACTTCAACCAATTCAGGTCAATTCCATCCACCAACTGTTTAGTTGAGTTTTCATTTGCCTTGCATATAATCTCATCCATGTATGATATTCATTGTAATGTATAGAACGTTTTGGGACGGACGATAATAGGTATACATCTTATCCTTTAAACGAGCAATTCGGTCTAGCTAGGTTTCATTTTTAGAAAATGTCCTTTTATCCCTGTTTTCAGGGAATGAAAAATATCATTCGAATATGACGGTAAATTTCACCGGAAAAAAAAATAATAGCTCGGTCGGTAATCGGGGGGCCCCAAAACAGACGGCCGCGGTTCGTATCACGATCATTTACACACTTATTTTTTTTTACTTTTTTTATATACCAGATCATTGCTTTCGTTAATTTTTATTTCTTGTCGTTTGAGATGGTTTTGTTATTGTTTTCCTTTTTTTTTTCAAAATTCTTTCTTTTGTGATTTTTTTTGTTCATATTTTCTTATTATTACGTCGGTAACATCTAAAAATATTATGCATATTTCATTACTCAGTAATTTGTATATAAATGTAATTTCCAAAATACACGATTACCAAAAAAAACAAACCGGTCCTCCAGTTAGTTAATGCAAGCAATATATTAGAATAACACATACGTTACAATTTATAAGGATTTTGTGTAATTTGACCATAATATGACGATGTCGGAAAAATCCTGCCCTCTGATATCTGGCTTGCAGGCATTTATCAGATAGAGTTAAGCAACAAAGTTCCTAAAAGCACACACGGAGGCATGTGCTGTATATAAAAAGTTCGTGGCAAAAAGTTCGACCATTAAACAAGGAACTTGAAGATGAAATTCGAAAAGAAGCATCATTTTGGAAACCAGTTCTTCGGAGATAATTTGACAAAATAATTACTCTCGCAAACTTTGAGAGGACATCGAGTGAATTTGAGTGAGAAAGGAAACCACGGATATTTTCTTTTAATTGTACAACTCATTGCGTAAAGTTTTGGAGATATCTAAAAGTATGAAATGAACTTGTTTGCTAAATTCACAATGTATGTTTTCATAATTATAAAGGCTAGCTACCCGCCCCGGCTTCGCGCGGGTGCAATGTACTATACATATAAAACTTCCTCTTGATTCAATCTATCTAGTTAAAAAAACCGCATCAAGATCCGTTGCGTAGATTTAAAGATATAAGCATACATAGGGACAGACAGACAGCGGGACGACTTTGATTTATACTATGTAGTGATTTCATATTGCCATGTGCATAATTGTTGTTTATATATTTCCATTGTGCTTCATTAAACACAAGGATTCTAGCCCTTCGTATAGACTTATTCTAATAGGAATAAAATCATGCCACCATACTCTTTTTTTTTTTTATAGTGATAATCTCTACAAATTTTTAACATATTCTTTTCCTATCCCTATCGGGGTCACGCAAGTTTTCACTGATGCAAGAATGAGTAGGTCCGTCAGGATAATTAGACCTTACAGAAGACAGGCGTAAAATAGAAGTGTTGTACTTTACTTTACTTACATATTTATTACTCTGCGGGTGTTGCAAATGTGCATGGGGGGAGGTTATTACTTAACATCAGTTGAACCGCAAGCTCGTTTGCTAACTTTTTACATAAAAAAAGAAAAAAAATGTTATCACCCAAATACCCCATAGGGTTGCAGAAGCGTTGCTACCTTTTAATTAAGTGGGCCCCGGCTAACTCCCTGACCAGACGAAACGCAGAAGTATAATACTTCCACTTCACGCCGGTCTTCTGTGTGCTCGGCTCGTGGTACTTCCCCAGCCGGACCGGCCCATTCGTGTAACAGCGAGGACTGTAGTGGTCCTACCACAGTCAATACCAATCATGAGACTCGTTGTCGTTACCGAACGCTTTCCATGAGCTATATGTATACTACGTATATGTGTACTTTTTGGTTGAACGAAAATCATGAAAGTCGCGTCATCCTCACCAGACGCTTTTTATTGTTTTTTTTTTTTTTTTTGCTCACGAATGCCTTCAACGCACCAGATCAAAAATGCCATCCGTTACTTCCGTACCGTACGCGAATTACGAAATTTTTCGGACATTTACAACCACTTAGGACCTACATCTTTTGTCTTCAATCTGATATTATCAAAATAAAACTTGTCCCGCTGAGTTTCTTCGCCGGTTCTTCTCAGATCAGTGGATTTTTCCGAACCGTTAGTAGTATTTTTTCAATAAATGAATAAGCTTAATGCTTCTTTATTGAATAAACATATTTGATTTGTTTGCACCCGTGTGGACAAGGAACGTCTTGTCGTGAATCGTGATAAATAGGCTTTTTCTGAACCATTAGTAGTATTTTTACAATAAATGAGTAAGCGTAATGCTTCTATATTAGTAACAGCCTATACATGTCCACTGCTGGGCAAAGGCCTCCTCTATGCAGAGGGTATCAGGGCATAGTCCACCACGTGGCCCCACTGCGGATTGGCGGACTTCACATATCTTCGAAATACATTTTTTTTTTTATTATTTCGAAAATATGCAGGTTTCCTCACGATTTTTTCCTTCACCGCGGAGCACGTTATAAGTCAGCACTTAAAACTAAAAACTTCATTGGTGCCGGCACCGGGGATCGAACTCAGGTTGCTCGAGTATATTGAATTAAAAGCGAGCGCCCGGACACTGAGCTATCACGGCTATCATGCTTCTATATTGAATAAACATATTTGATTTGTTTGCTCCCGTGTGGACAAGGAACGCCTTGTCGTGAATCGTGATAAATAAGTGGTATAAGGCATTCGATGTGTGATAGTATAAGTGATTTGTGTATGTGTGTTTATTATATTCTTGAATGAGCAAGGTGATGTGCAGCGTCGTGCCTGTTCTCAGTGGGTTAATCAAGAACATTTTCACGACTATCGAGTAGTAAAGTAAAGTAATCGTAACGTATCAATTTTGTATGAAAATTAGAGCGTATTTGAAACTAAAAATTGAAATCACGAATGAACTTTAACTTTAATTTTATTTTTTTATTTTATTTTATGTTTACGTTATACTTTACGTTACGCCGTAAGCACGTTACAGTGAAGTATTCGTATAGTTAGACGTGTATTTAAGGAAAATCGGCAGCACGAACATTCATTTGACGTATGGTTTATACGTAACGTATGCAGAAACGTCGATGATAGTAGCAGTAGGATAACGGTGAGGTTCCACGATTGTACCGGTTGTAGTTTCAGGCGCGGAGGGTAGAGAGAACGGCGTACCGCAATACCGACACTCTTCTCCCCCTACGACCCCATGTATAAAACAAAACTCGGAATGTTGGTAATAACATAATCGGTGGTGTGGTAAAAATTTTACCCTCATGATTTTATCCATATGCGCTTAAAAAAAAGCATAACCTCAAAATAATCACTAAGTTTGACTCAAAAAACAAATAAGACAAGCTAAATAAAACAGTAGTATCTAGGTACTTTACACTAAAAAATACCTTGTAATTCTTTAAATAAAAATTAGGTATATTTTAGTATGTAGGTAATTTGATGCTATCACATTTATCCCTGCCCCTTGATCATATAGGGACCGGGTGATGTGTTTTTTATGTCTTGTACATCTTGTAAGAATATTTTTTTTGTGTTTGCATCCATCTGGTATTTTTATAAAGGTCATGGTACTTTGATTGACGATCCAATAATAACATATTGTCTGCATTCTGCATACCACATCTGGACGCAATCTGATGTATGATACAGTTAACTGTTAAATCGATCTGTAGTTCGGATCGCATGGTTTCGATCAAATCCGAAAATCGAATAGATCAATTGCCCGCGTTCAAATCATCGAAAAGAACGAATTAGATCTTCCTAAGGACCATATAGGAGAAGACCAAGGGTCGAAGTCCAATCCGACGTTCAAACCTCAACCTCTGAGGCCCGTAGATGCTGCCTACAGATTTTTATTAATTAAGAAATTATTACACAATCCCTTCGATCTTGTTGATCCTGTCGTTCCTACATTAATCAACAACAACAATCGGTCAGCTGTCAGATTGTCAATGTCATTGTTAATTCTTTCACGAAGATATTATCAAAGTCCAGTATTATAAATTAAATTTTAGAATCACAGGAATAAACATATCTTTTTGAAATTATCGTAAAATATGAATTTTCCCAACAGACCCAGGTACGTTATTCTTCAAATAAATAGCTAAAACTTAACCTAACTTTTCTGTTTACAACACAAAAATTGCATACCTAGTTTAAACAAATTATCTTAAAAAATTAACAACGAACGTAATTCATTGTTATTAGTGTAAACAATTTTTACCCTTCTTTATACCACTGATAAATAAATTTATACTTAATTTAAAATTTAAAATAAAATTATAAATAAAGATATAATCAAATGAATAGTTAATTAATAATTTGTGTACATCTCTGTGTCTATCCACATCTTAAAATTTCAATTAGGTTTTGAAGGTTTTCTTAACCACACATTATACACAAAAACACAAATTGTATCTTTTGAGGTTTTTTAATTCTACAGGTGTATGAAAGACAATTTTACAGATGTGCCTTTTCTAATTGTAGGATACGGGGTCGAAGAAAAAGGAAAAAAAATGGAGATTCAATGTATAAACCCACAACCATCCCATTTTGGGCTGACATTACCATCGGAGATGTCATCACACCAACTGTACAGCAACCAATGAAATCTGAGGAAACTGCTCCCAAAGGTCCTCAAATCAATGATGTTATTATTGACCTAAGCGATGATCATACACCAGCTATTCAAACCACAGGCACTTCGCAAGGTCAACAGGAAGTAGTGTAAGTAATGTAACAAATCACTCAAAAGATTCATAGTAAATTCTTTAAATGCTAACTTTAAGTTTACTTAATTTCATTGAATGTTTGAGATAACTATAAACTTCACTTTTCACTTTGTCTATTTAGGTGCTAATAAATGAATACTTTTCAACATGAAAAATGTATGCATTATATGATGTTGTTCCTCAGGAGAATTAGAACATTTATGTAATAAGCTTTAGTCCTTTTGTTTGATGAGTGAGGTAAAAGTGGATACTTCAGCTGCAGTATATCACTTAAGTGTAACTGTAGTAATCATATAACAGCAGTTGGATCTGCATGCTTCCTGCTCCTCAATTAATACCATATGATGAATCATCATTAAATCTTTTAATCACATTCTTATAATTTACATGGTTGTGTTTTGTCATAAATAAAAAAAAACTACTTTCACTTCAGAGAGGTGAAGAAGAAGCCTGTGCTGAATATTCAAGAGAAAACTCAAGAGAAGTTCAAACTGAAGCAAAAACAGAGTGATCAAGCAGACAAACAATACAATGAAAACCAAATGGACACGCCAAAACCGAAAATTCAGAAAATTGAAACAGATGAATCAAAACCCTCCGGCACTAGCAGCCCAGTAGTCACTCAGACAAACATAAAAGAACAACCAGGTTATTTTTTCATTCTCACTTTGTTTTACAGAGAGAAATGCCCACTTATCATCATTTTCTGCCATTCAAACGGAAAGTTACTAGAAGAAGGAAGTGTGGTTTTAATAAATTTAATTTTTTATGTGAAAAGTTGCCAAACAAGCAGATGGTTCACCTGATGGTAAGTGAATACCGCCGCCCATGGACATCCGCTACACTCGAGGGTTACAGATGCGTTGACAACCTTTTGAAAATTGGGCTCCAGCTACCTCACTCACCAGAAGAAACGCGAAAGTATTTGTCATACTTTCACTTAACGCTGGTCTTCTGTGAGGTCGTGGTACTTACCCGGACGGGCCTACCCATTCGAAATTTCAAAATTTATATAAATAAAACACACTGGTAACTAATACACATACATGTTAAAGACAGATACAAAAAAATATTAAAATGCTAAACAATATAGCAATATATAACATAAATTAAAATAGTTAATGTCATGAATCATTTCTGAGAAATAAGCTTCAAAGTACCTTTAGTTTGACATATATAATATGTTCTATTTTACTTACATTCACATTCATTAACCACTTTGATGTTTTCACTTAAAGCTTAGTTTATTCCAAAATATACATTTCTGTATCTAAGAATTTCTCTAATTTCAAAACTTATAGATATTGCTAAAGAACCAGAGGAAGTGACTCAGCCACCTGCAACATCAACCAGTGCAACTCCTGAGACTTTGCAAACGCCAACAGTATTGCAGACAGTTATAACTCTCAGTCATTCCACAGCTAAAACAATACCGACTTTAAGTAATCAAGGTAATGAAATAGTCCTTAAGTATTGTGAATGCTACAATTAATGTGTTTAAATGGAAATTGTACTAATAATACCATTTCCACATTAACAACACTGTTGTATGTATGGAAATTGTAAATATTTAATTTAATACATACAGTAAAACCAAATTAAGTAAAGTTCATCATTGACCTAGAAATTGTATGTTAGTATTTCCAAGTAATTTCTAAATGTAAGTTACTGTACTGATCATAACATGCAATATAATATGCCCTATTCATCGGTTTTGCATATATAAATTATTGTACCGGAACAAATTGTTTTAAACAAAACAATATTAGTAATAAGTGTTTTGGTTATGTAATTGTAAAATAAAGTAAAAAAAATGTTGGAAGGTTTAATAATATTCACAAAAAATAAAGTAATAACTTTTCTGTTACTCCAAAAACAAGAATATTTGGTGATGACAAGCAATATCCATTATATTTTGTGTTATATTTTGTATTTTATTAATATCTGTTAATTTTTGATTATATTTTGTATTTTATTAATATCTGTTTCAGGTAATACTAAAAGGGCCGCGCCACAAGTGAGACAGCAACAGAATTTCCGCAAAACAAATAATTACCATTATGAAGCGAACATACGTCCTGGTGAGTATTTGCTTATAACTTCTTCAATTGTAAAATATCCACCTGACCTTTTAAACTGAATGCGTTCTCTTTTAATGAAAATTCTAGCACTAAAGATAAAATTTTTGGGTCGTGGAGTTTCGCAGACATTAAAACATACACGCAAAAACACTTTGCATGCGTCTATTTGAATATTTTTTTGCTTCTGTTATATGTAAACAGTAAATGCAGTTATTGAGAGCACTTTAACTGTGGTATAACAGTCTTCGCTGTTGCACGAATGGGCAGATCCATCCAGGTAAGTACCATGATCTCACAGAAGACCTGCGTGAAGTGGAATTGTTATACTTCTGCGTTTCGTTCGTTGAGTAAGGTAGCCAGAAGCCATTGATTAGATAATATGCAATCTATTTGGTAAACTTGGTAGAAAGTATATTGAAAACAGTTTCAGCTAACATGATGGTGGGGTCGAACTTCCCGGGCTATCAGAATATGGGCCAAGATCTCACCACTGTTCCCCGTAAGTTGTCTAGCAGAATGAAAACTATATCAACTTTTTAACAACCCAATTGGCGCAATGGATAGTGTCCCTGTCTCTTGCGCCAGAGGCTGTTGTTTCGATTCCCACTACTGGAAAAACACCGTGTTATGAACATCGTGTTTTCCTAGTGTCTGGGTGTTTTATATATCTATAATATATACTTACCTACAAAATAAAATTATGTTTAAGTATCTTTATCAGTTACCTAGTACCCAAAGTACAAGCTTTGCTTTGTTTGGGACTAGATTACTTTGTATAAATATGAAATCTTTATTTATTTATTTATTTTGCACTCACATAAGATACGAGAACCTGTTTGGCTCAGTTGCTAATACATTTAGGCGCCGTGCGTCGAATCTCAAACGAACAAGCATTTGTATGACCAACATCTTCGTTTCGTATCTAAGTGCTTAATTTGGATAAATAAAACGCCTGAACAGATTAGATTATGTTGAAAGACTGAGAACACGAAAAAGTGCATGTGGGGTATTTGCATATGTGCACCTAGTGGGGTATTTAGTCAATTGGTCAGTATGTTGCATTGAATAAAACTTAAATTTATGTTTTTGTCATCACATTTTCATTTAACAATTAATTCTTTACATTATTTATTTTAAGACTTACGCATAATTTGGAACATTTTTTGCAATGAGGCCAAAGTACTGCTATCATTTAACTCAACACACTGACATACATATTATAAATATATATTTTATTTAGATTTTTTTAATTCATTTAAAATCTATTTTTTTTCTTATACATTAATAAATAAAAGCAAATGAATTTGCTACGAAAAAAGCGGAAAAAGAAAGAAAACTTAGCATTTACCAGGAAACTTTTACAATTTACATTTACTAACATTATATACATATATTGTTATATTTTACTTGATAATGTTTGATTGCTTTTTTTGTTTTTCATAATTTTTAGTTTTCTTCTTTTTATTATTATTTAATAATTTATATTCTAAAGACTTCCTTTATTTTCAGATCCATTGCCCCGTGGTAAGCTTTTCTATTAGAAGCTACTGAAAAGAAGAAATTCAATGACCCCGTTGTGGATTTGTTTAAACAGTTGCTAAGCGATTGGCCCAAGAGCGAGTTCAATATTCTTTCCCATATTTATTCGACACATAGGCCGGAATCTGAAACTTCATTTATCGCTTAACTGTCATATGTCAACTCCTTACTCCTTACAGGTCACCATTTGATAAGTCTTCAAGTAGTTTTATTTTATTTTATATATTTATTAAGGCTTACCAACTAAATACATACAGAACATTGACATACAAATATATTTAACTTAATAATAAAGGTTAAACAATATATGTACATACATTACTGGTAAACACAACATTATAAAATAAACATGAATCAGAGAACAGAAACTTAACTAAAAAATACTCTTTTGTCTCTGAGAAAAAAAAAAGTAAAAGTTATAGATTAAAATTAGCAATAGATAATTGTTCTTTCTTCTTTTCTGCAGATTATGGTCCTCTAATGTTACAAGTGTGTATAGAGCCTTCACAGAGTCTTCTATGAGCAGTAAATGTTGGACCATAGGGGGAATCCCCTATAGGCTAAATTTTTCGTGCATCTCTTAGCGGCTCTGGCCATTTATTAGCGACTTAGTTGGTCTGTTAATATAGTTATATATGATATAATAATATGTTTATTGATAAGATTGAGGAAAATCTTTCCATGCAACTTAATTGGCCTTTAATTTTGTTAAATTTGATCAAACAATGACTGTTCTAGCTGTAAGTTTTACAAAAATATTCTTTAAAGGTTATAAAAAATAAACACGCTATTTATCGGTTAAGATTTAAAGTAAGGGATCAACAATATTTCCAGTGCTAGTCTCTTCCAAAATTCAATTTTGAAAAAGGTTTTGCAAACAAAAAAGTTTTAAAAATTAGAACTTGCCTACTTTCCACGGCCAAACGCAACATACGATCTTAACATCTGACTGCTTAAGTTGTTGCATTTTTAATAATAATTCACAGAATGTCCAGGGTTCAAATCCCGCAGCGATGAAAGCTCTTTAGACAATCCAAAGGAATTCACATTTCAAGGGATCGACATTTATACGTGTGTAGAGTAAAATGGTCGCTTTTGCAGGAGTGCCACTCACGTTCCTACGGCAGCAGCAACATCTGGGTGCCATAGAACCCCAACAGAGTGAGTCCTTAAATTAACTATGTGTATCCTTAGTCTCTATGGTCCTGTCGTCACTATCTTGGTCTATATGGCCAGGGGAGGTACCACGGCCTCGGAAGATCGACGGAAACTAGAATCACTACATAGTATAAAACAAAGTCGTCCCGCTGTCTGTCTGTCCCTATGTATGCTTAGATATTTAAAACTACGCAACCGGTGGTAGAGCCTGTAAGAAGAGCAGAGTATTGTATTTTTAATGAATTCATGTCAAACTGCTTATATTAAAAAAAAAAGCCCGCTGAGTTTCTTTCGCCGGTTCTTCTCAGTACAGTGGCTTTCTTTTCCGAACCGGTGGTAGTGTTTTGACTATCAATAAGCGACTGTAATGCTCCTATGTTGAATAAAGACATTGATTTTGAGCCACGCAGCAGCCTCGGCTGTTGCACGAATGGGCAGGCTCGTCCAAGTGAGTACAGCAGAAGTCCATGGGCGGCGGTATTCACTTAACAACAGGTGAACCGCCTGCTCGTTTGGCAACGTTTCAGATAAAAAAAAAATAATAATAATAAATTGTCACACCCAACTAACTCTTTTTACATATATTCCAATACTCACCAACTGTTACGCTTGGACTAAACAAGACTGTTATGTCGTGGTAGATATTACGCTGAAATTATTTGCTGTTAAATAATGCTAATGCTGTTATGTTAATTATTTGTCACCTAATAAGGTCAGAATTTTTATGAAAAAAGTAAAAAAATGTAAAGTTACTGCCTATAAATGTCACACTGCTGGGCAAAAACCTCCTCTGTAGAGAGGGTATCAGGGCGTAGTCCACGCGACCCCACTGCGGATTTGCGGACTTCACATATTTTCGAAACATATTTTTTTTGTTATTATTTCGAAAATATGCAGGTTTCCTCACGATTTTTTCCTTCACCGCGGAGCACGTGATAAGTCAGCACTTAAAGTTAAAAACTTCATTGGTGCCGGCACCGGGGATCGAACTCATTATGCTCGAGTAAATTGAATTAAAGGCGAGCGCCCGGACACTGAGCTATCACGGCTTTTATGTATATCTTTTTATTTAAACGTGGAATGTATGTACTGTGTCCTTCAATAAATAAAGAAATAATAAATACTACTGGGAATGCTGTGAACTTTTTGCCCCAAAAATTCTTTTCGCATAATTATTTGTACAAATCATTTTGTTGGTTGATCTAAAAAAAAAGTAAAAAAGTAAAGTAATAGCGTATACATGTCCCACTGCTGGGCAAAGGCCTCCTCTATACAGAGGGTATCAGGGCATAGTCCACCACGCGGCCCCACTGCGGATTGGCGGACTTCACATATTTAAAATCAATAAATAAATCTCTGTTTGACTTGTTGGATGCGGAGGCATCGACACTTCGAACAGCTGGCAGCCTTTGTATCACTTTGCCCCCTCAGCGCAAATGCCGTGGCAGCCCTACCAGCCCCCGGAGCAGCTGGCCCCACCCGCTGACACCCCTGTGATACCAGCTCCCGAAACCTTAATACCAGTCAACGAAGGTAACCGCTAATAATGAAATAGAACTTAAAAGTATGCTATGTCCTTTTTAGGGTTCCGTACCCAAAGGGTAAAACGGGACCCTATTACTAAGGCTCCGCTGTCTGTCTGTCTGTTTGACCGTCTGTCACCAGGCTGTATCTCATGAACCGTGATAATTAAATTTTTTTGAAACTCTCACAGATGATGTTTTTCTGTTGCCGCTATATCAACAAATACTAAAAAGCGGAATAAAAAAAAATTACTCCCATACAACAGACGTGATATTATTGCCGTTTTTATAGATAATGGTACGGAACCCTTCGTGAGCGAATCCGACTCGCACTTAACCGGTATTTCTCCTCTTAACATTTGGTTTAAAATAGATAATTATGTGAAATACTTTCCGCCTTAAATTTTTCGTTTAACTGAGGAAAGTAGTGTTTGCCAAGTGGATTAGAATGTTGGATGAATGTAAAATAGTATAATGATTTTCATTTATCCGAATTTTTATGTATTTCAATGTATATCTGATACTTTTGCATTATAATATATTTCATATTTTGGCAAATCCTAAAAATGAAACAATAAAACGTATTTGCGGTCTTGTTAAAGTCAACAAACGGCAACGAAAATAATAACTAAAATAATACGGCAACTAAAAATCTATGTAGATAAAAACCCCATAAAAATAAAAGATAATAAAAAAAGACACCCGTTTTGTATAAATATATAACTTTATGGAGTATTCCTAATTTTTGTGACTCCTATAAGTTACGATGGGGTTGCCAAATCTATTTAGATAAAAATCCCATAAAAATAAAAATTAATGTTTAATCTGGACTAAGTGCAGAGATTAGCTCTATAAAAATCTTTAAAGTTGTAAAAAGAAATTGTGCGATAAGCGTGCGCCCTGGGGCAGTCCGCCAGGAGCCGCCAGTAGCGGGGGCAGAACAGCATCCCGGCTGGGAGGAGCAGGCGGAAGGGGCCCAGCGCCGGCTCAGCGCCTTCGAGCGCCTCGGCCCCGTCGCGCATTCCGCCCCTCCGCAGCTGACCATCAACTTGAACCTGGAGACGGAAAAACCAGTCAGGTATTACGCGTTAGCCTCGCTGTACTAACACAACCTCCTCTTACTAATATGGACACATCTATCAGCTCACGACATCCATTCATCTCGCGTGACAACTTGACCATCTGCTGTAGGGACGCTTCATAGACATATCTATCAGCTCAACACTCATTGGTAAGTTGTTTGTTACTTGTCAAGATAATTTAATTTATCAAATGCTGAGTCATCAAAACGTTGATTAAACAAGAGTGTATGCTATATATTTTTGTCTCGAATTGTTTCGATTCCCGTGACTACTTAAACATGTGCTGTTGGGACGCATCACGTACTTATATAGACAAGTCCATCAGCTCAACATCCATTGGCAAGTTATTTGCTACTTGTCACTATTAATAACTTGATAATTTGTCATACAGCTTTAGCATGAGTTATTGCCATATATTTTTGTCGTGCATTGTCTCGATTCTGTTGAGAACGTGAAGATACATCAACCTCTCAACGATGTTGAAACACCAAAACAATAGTTACCAATCTGCAGCCGTTCACTGCAGAACATAATGCTTAGTCTAAAGATATACAAATTGTACCAATATGATTAGCTTCCGTTGAAAAATAACGTAATTTATTTTTTATTTATTTATTTATGCTTTATTGCAAAACCTTAAGAAAAAGGATTTCAAAGGGCGGACTTAATGCCATTTGGGCATTCTCTCCCAGTCAACCCGGGGCGTAATGCAGATCTTATGCGCTAAGATTCTCTATACAGGGGTTACATATATTCTAGATGCATTTATTTAGAAGGCATATAGATAAGTGTAGAAGTTAATTCAGCCAATAACACAATACTAACAGGCATTGTGCAATTGGCTAGCGGTTTAAATATTTTCATAATTATCTACGTATGATGTATGGAGCTCAAACTAACCCTTAAGTTTTGTCCCAATCTCATAAAGAGCTGTCCAGGTCGATTGGGAAGAACCACATCCTTGAACATTTGTATTTACGCCTTGCGAGTCATCAGTGTTATGTTTGCGCTGTGGTGATCGCTTACCAACAAATCTAGTGTTTAAATTGTTTATAGTGCTAATCTTTGCACTTAAGATTGAACATTAAAATATGTAGAAAAAGTGCGAAAAGATTGTCGCCGCTGTGGGAATCGAACCCACGTCTTCGGCATTCGCGGCCTGACGCTCTAGCCACTGAGCTAAACGGCTGATTACCACACCGACGAAAATCTTAACGCATTCTTCCACATTGTTTTCTTAGCATTTGAAGCAATGCTTGGCGCCATCTATTGTTATATCCTTTACAGCATACAAACAATTTCGAATATCGTTTTACAACGATAATTCGAACGAGAGATGTCGCCATTGCTTTTTTAGAAATTTAAATTGTTTATAGTGCTAATCTTTGCACTTAAGATTGAACATTAAAATATGTAGAAAAAGTGCGAAAAGATTGTCGCCGCTGTGGGAATCGAACCCACGTCTTCGGCATTCGCGGCCTGACGCTCTAGCCACTGAGCTAAACGGCTGATTACCACACCGACGAAAATCCGGCCGCGAATGCCGAAGACGTGGGTTCGATTCCCACAGCGGCGACAATCTTTTCGCACTTTTTCTACATATTTTAATGTTCAATCTTAAGTGCAAAGATTAGCACTATAAACAATTTAAATTTCTAAAAAAGCAATGGCGACATCTCTCGTTCGAATTATCGTTGTAAAACGATATTCGAAATTGTTTGTATGCTGTAAAGGATATAACAATAGATGGCGCCAAGCATTGCTTCAAATGCTAAGAAAACAATGTGGAAGAATGCGTTAAGATTTTCGTCGGTGTGGTAATCAGCCGTTTAGCTCAGTGGCTAGAGCGTCAGGCCGCGAATGCCGAAGACGTGGGTTCGATTCCCACAGCGGCGACAATCTTTTCGCACTTTTTCTACATATTTTAATGTTAAATCTAGTGTTGTTTCGGTTTCGACCTCCCCTTTGAAACAAACTTTAGTGGTTTTTACGCGAATATTATACATTGTGATATGAAACTACTTTACGTATTTTATCGCGTTCAACTAGATATTCAATTTCCCGACGTTTCGAACAGCTTCCACCGTTCATGGACGCGGATCAGACTAACTGAGACAGGGTTTGAAACATCTGGAATTTGAAAATCCAATTGAACGCGATAAAATCGGTAGAGTGGTCTCATTTCACAACAAAATCGGCGTTTCGCCGCTTGAGAAGGCCTCCCATCAACAGGGAGGTGGTGGGTGGCAATGCGCCCGAACTGCCAGTGCCACAGCGCGAAGAGATTCTTCGCAGCACGGATCCCACCGTGCGCCAGTTCTTAGCGCAGTGGCCCTGGACGGACGCGCCCCCGCCGCGGCGCACTGTCTCAGCCCGACCCTCAAAGGTTCACTACTCAATACTCCATCCGCAGATTCTGCGGTGGTGGGACCGCGCAACCGGTGTTCGCTGTTGCACGATTGGGCAGGTCCGTCCGGGCTAGTGCCACGACCTCACAGAAGACCGGCGTAAAGTAGAAGTGTTAGACTTTTTTTTTTTTTGTTTTTTTTTTTAACATTGCCCTTACTTTAGGATAACATGATGCCGTGTTGTGAGGACGTTTTACATACATAAATTTGCACGTGGGCAAACACCCAGATGCGAAACAACTATCTGTAGGTCGCACAAATCGTTGTTCCGTGTGGGAATCGAACCCACCACCCCCGACACAGAAGCCGATACCTTGGCGACAGCGCCGCGGAGTCGTCAAACACAGTTACACTTCTGCGTTTCGTCTGGTGAGTGAGGTAGCCGGGGCCCATATTATTAAAAGGTGGCAACACATATGCAACTGGTGTTTTAATGGTCCGTGGGCGGCGGTTATCACTCAACATCAAAAAAAGAAAAAAGAAAAAAAAAAAAACATCAGGTGAACCGCCAGCTCGTTTGCCACTTTCACACATAAAAAAGATGGATTTGGCTACTAGTGATAGATATTTGATATTATCTCCATAACGCTTAAGTGAAAATTCGATATCCGGTAAGTAAATCTATCTTTAGATAGAATATTGAAACCGATCGTTGGTTAATCTCTGCCGCTCGTCGATATGATCCACACTGTCATGTCTTCACGGACTTGTCCCATTTCTATAGCCCCGACACTACTTCCAACCGTTGGCAACTTCTTTTTGTCAAAAAAACGGGTGAAGTGATAGGGCTAAGCATCAGTGTTTGCTATGGCACGAATTGGCACATCCGTCCGGGTAAGTACCACGACCTTCTGCGTTTCGTCTGGCGGGTGAGGTAGCCGGGGCCAATTTTATTGAAAGGTGAAAGGTGACGGGTGTTCAATTATCAAACTTGAACCACCAGCTCGCTTGCTACCTTCTCAAATAGAAAATACTTTCTACTGTACGTTATTCCTTCTAAAACTTGCTGAAACTCTATACCTCCGACAATATTATTGTAAGCAAATTTTTCCTCTCTTTTTCAATAATTCCCTCAAACATATTAATTTTCTTCTCTTCTTTCAAATGTAAATCTTACCAATCTCTCGTTACTCTTATTAATTACGTCAATGTTAAACTTCTCTATTACATAAGTTTATTCGTCCGACTTTCACCTAATTCTTATTTACAATCACACTTTTTAGTGATGTGGGTGACTTTTTGTAATCATATCGCTTTCTTATTAGGCCTTCCCAAATCAAAGCAATCATCTCAAACCTTGACCATTTTGAAATCAACTATTTCTACTTTACCCTACCGTAACTTTTCTACTATAGCCTTTCATAAATCAATTCTTAAACTGTCTTAATCTTGTGAAACATATAAATAAAACGCCATGAAAGTAGTTATAATTATAACAAACAATGTTGACCTGGCGTAAGTTATTTGTTCAAAACAAACCAAATCGTTCACAGACCGCTATGTTGATGGAACAGGAGCAAATGGAGGAGTTCTACGAGAACGACGATATGTTCATTCAAGTTATAGTAAGTATTTTCATTAAGTTATTAAGTTCGATTATAATGTCCCATATGTCCTTAATCATAGAAAGGAATAGAAGGAAATTTGAATATTTAAGCGCATTTTCAATGCTTAATTGTTCATTGTATAACTCATATTATGTCTTGAATAATTTAAGTAAACTTAATAAAACTAATTTCCAATTTTATCTTGTATGCAAAACCATTCAATTTTATCCATAATGAATCAATAAAATTTGAGTATAATATTCTTGTTTCGACTTTTCCTTCGTTGATATCTATCGTTATTGATAAAAAAATTTAATTTGTTATATTGCTAATTTCTGCGCGTAAGATGAAACATTAAGATTTTTACAAAAGAGCATTTCGCTGCTGTGGGAATCGAACCCACTACGCTAAACGGCTGATTGCCACACCGACGAATATCACAACGTCCCATTACTTGCTATCGTCCATATACATTGTTTTTCACACATTTTAAGGTATATTATTGTTATTACCAATTTGTTGTGACCTTTGTTTTACGTCAATCATGATCCACGTCTAGTTTTAGATGCTTATTACGAGGAACGGTACAATTTTTCGGGGGGACAAAACATTATGTTCTTCTATCTATAAACAATCTATGCTATTACTATGTACCATTCTCTATGATACGATATTTGTAATTGTTTCAGGTAAAAGGCTACCCGAGCACCTGGAGTAAGGAGGACGTGTTCGACACATTGCTCGACAACCTCAAAGGCAAGAGTTTCATACCTTGCTTCACCGAGGTAAACATTTACATTTCTCATTCCCGTAATTAGTTCCATAACTTCGTAGTTTCTTTTCAATAGATTTCAAAAGGGAGGAGGTTCCAGGTTATTCAATAGAACATTTTAATTTTTGTAAACTCAGAATTCAGAACTAGTTAAAAATTATTTTTTGGTGCAAAACAGATATTTTCAAGGAGTTCCAAGTAGAATTATACATTATTGCAGTAATTGCAGTTTGGGTTTGCAGGTTAGATCAGGTCGGGAATTGTCACCATAATCAAACGCGGTATATTCTGTAAAAGACTTTTACTTAACAGGATAACTTGTTCGCCTGTTCTAAAATGTAACTGACACTTGGAGCTAGCAAGTGCCGCTTTCTACTCGAGGGTAGCCGCACCGTCTTGCTAACGTTGCACTATTTATTGCCCGTATTCGACTCGGCCGTCTTACTTGAGCTTGACTTCGACGTCGCCCAAATAGGCGCGGTGGTGTGCCGCCTCTTGGCGTTGGGCTGCAGCCGTTGAACTACTCTTAGTCCATCATCGTTTTTGTCTTTGACTCCGCCCAGTTCGGCGCGGCCGCTTTCTCGTGATGCGCAGCCGCCGTTGTACCACCTTTAGTCCTACGTATTTAACCTTGGCCCCGACGACGCCCAGTTTAGTGGCAGCGAGTGCCGCTTCCTGGTGGTGCGCAGCCTTTAGTCCTTCCCCATCTTTAACCTTGGCCTCGACGTCGCCCAGTTTAGTGGCAGCGAGTGCCGCTTCCTGGTGGTGCGCAGCCTTTAGTCCTTCCCCGTCTTTAACCTTGGCCTCGACGTCGCCCAGTTTAGTGGCAGCGAGTGCCGCTTCCTGGTGGTGCGCAGCCTTTAGTCCTTCCCCATCTTTAACCTTGGCCTCGACGTCGCCCAGTTTAGTGGCAGCGAGTGCCGCTTCCTGGTGGTGCGCAGCCTTTAGTCCTTCCCCGTCTTTAACCTTGGCCTCGACGTCGCCCAGTTTAGTGGCAGCGAGTGCCGCTTCCTGGTGGTGCGCAGCCTTTAGTCCTTCCCCGTCTTTAACCTTGGCCTCGACGTCGCCCAGTTTAGTGGCAGCGAGTGCCGCTTCCTGGTGGTGCGCAGCCTTTAGTCCTTCCCCGTCTTTAACCTGGCCTCGACGTCGCCCAGTTTAGTGGCAGCGAGTGCCGCTTCCTGGTGGTGCGCAGCCTTTAGTCCTTCCCCGTCTTTAACCTTGGCCTCGACGTCGCCCAGTTTAGTGGCAGCGAGTGCCGCTTCCTGGTGGTGCGCAGCCTTTAGTCCTTCCCCATCTTTAACCTTGGCCTCGACGTCGCCCAGTTTAGTGGCAGCGAGTGCCGCTTCCTGGTGGTGCGCAGCCTTTAGTCCTTCCCCGTCTTTAACCTTGGCCTCGACGTCGCCCAGTTTAGTGGCAGCGAGTGCCGCTTCCTGGTGGTGCGCAGCCTTTAGTCCTTCCCCGTCTTTAACCTTGGCCTCGACGTCGCCCAGTTTAGTGGCAGCGAGTGCCGCTTCCTGGTGGTGCGCAGCCTTTAGTCCTTCCCCGTCTTTAACCTTGGCCTCGACGTCGCCCAGTTTAGTGGCAGCGAGTGCCGCTTCCTGGTGGTGCGCAGCCTTTAGTCCTTCCCCGTCTTTAACCTTGGCCTCGACGTCGCCCAGTTATTGGCAGCGAGTGCCGCTTCCTGGTGGTGCGCAGCCTTTAGTCCTTCCCCGTCTTTAACCTTGGCCTCGACGTCGCCCAGTTTAGTGGCAGCGAGTGCCGCTTCCTGGTGGTGCGCAGCCTTTAGTCCTTCCCCGTCTTTAACCTTGACCTCGACGTCGCCCAGTTTAGTGGCAGCGAGTGCCGCTTCCTGGTGGTGCGCAGCCTTTAGTCCTTCCCCGTCTTTAACCTTGGCCTCGACGTCGCCCAGTTTAGTGGCAGCGAGTGCCGCTTCCTGGTGGTGCTCTGCCTTTAGTCCTTCCCCGTCTTTAACCTTGGCCTCGACAACGCCCAGGTCGGTGCCAGCGAGTGCCGCTGCCTAGTGTTGCTCTGTAGCCTGATGTGTGTGAGCTGTATTTGAACTACCTGTAGTCCATCATTGTGTTTGCCTTTGATTACGCCCAGTCCTGCGCAGCCGCTTCCTCGTGATGCGCAGCCTTTAGTCCTTCCCCGTCTTTAACCTTGGCCTCGACGTCGCCCAGTTTAGTGGCAGCGAGTGCCGCTTCCTGGTGGTGCGCAGCCTTTAGTCCTTCCCCGTCTTTAACCTTGGCCTCGACGTCGCCCAGTTATTGGCAGCGAGTGCCGCTTCCTGGTGGTGCGCAGCCTTTAGTCCTTCCCCGTCTTTAACCTTGGCCTCGACGTCGCCCAGTTTAGTGGCAGCAAGTGCCGCTTCCTGGTGGTACGCAGCCTTTAGTCCTTCCCCGTCTTTAACCTTGGCCTCGACGTCGCCCAGTTTAGTGGCAGCGAGTGCCGCTTCCTGGTGGTGCGCAGCCTTTAGTCCTTCCCCATCTTTAACCTTGGCCTCGACGTCGCCCAGTTTAGTGGCAGCGAGTGCCGCTTCCTGGTGGTGCGCAGCCTTTAGTCCTTCCCCGTCTTTAACCTTGGCCTCGACGTCGCCCAGTTTAGTGGCAGCGAGTGCCGCTTCCTGGTGGTGCGCAGCCTTTAGTCCTTCCCCGTCTTTAACCTTGGCCTCGACGTCGCCCAGTTTAGTGGCAGCGAGTGCCGCTTCCTGGTGGTGCGCAGCCTTTAGTCCTTCCCCGTCTTTAACCTTGGCCTCGACGTCGCCCAGTTTAGTGGCAGCGAGTGCCGCTTCCTGGTGGTGCGCAGCCTTTAGTCCTTCCCCGTCTTTAAACCTTGGCCTCGACGTCGCCCAGTTATTGGCAGCGAGTGCCGCTTCCTGGTGGGTGCGCAGCCTTTAGTCCTTCCCCGTCTTTAACCTTGGCCTCGACGTCGCCCAGTTTAGTGGCAGCGAGTGCCGCTTCCTGGTGGTGCGCAGCCTTTAGTCCTTCCCCGTCTTTAACCTTGACCTCGACGTCGCCCAGTTTAGTGGCAGCGAGTGCCGCTTCCTGGTGGTGCGCAGCCTTTAGTCCTTCCCCGTCTTTAACCTTGGCCTCGACGTCGCCCAGTTTAGTGGCAGCGAGTGCCGCTTCCTGGTGGTGCGCAGCCTTTAGTCCTTCCCCGTCTTTAACCTTGGCCTCGACGTCGCCCAGTTTAGTTGCAGCGAGTGCCGCTTCCTGGTGGTGCGCAGCCTTTAGTCCTTCCCCGTCTTTAACCTTGGCCTCGACGTCGCCCAGTTTAGTGGCAGCGAGTGCCGCTTCCTGGTGGTGCGCAGCCTTTAGTCCTTCCCCGTCTTTAACCTTGGCCTCGACGTCGCCCAGTTTAGTGGCAGCGAGTGCCGCTTCCTGGTGGTGCGCAGCCTTTAGTCCTTCCCCGTCTTTAACCTTGGCCTCGACGTCGCCCAGTTTAGTTGCAGCGAGTGCCGCTTCCTGGTGGTGCGCAGCCTTTAGTCCTTCCCCGTCTTTAACCTTGGCCTCGACGTCGCCCAGTTTAGTTGCAGCGAGTGCCGCTTCCTGGTGGTGCGCAGCCTTTAGTCCTTCCCCGTCTTTAACCTTGGCCTCGACGTCGCCCAGTTTAGTTGCAGCGAGTGCCGCTTCCTGGTGGTGCGCAGCCTTTAGTCCTTCCCCGTCTTTAACCTTGGCCTCGACGTCGCCCAGTTTAGTTGCAGCGAGTGCCGCTTCCTGGTGGTGCGCAGCCTTTAGTCCTTCCCCGTCTTTAACCTTGGCCTCGACGTCGCCCAGTTTAGTTGCAGCAAGTGCCGCTTCCTGGTGGTGCGCAGCCTTTAGTCCTTCCCCGTCTTTAACCTTGGCCTCGACGTCGCCCAGTTTAGTTGCAGCGAGTGCCGCTTCCTGGTGGTGCGCAGCCTTTAGTCCTTCCCCGTCTTTAACCTTGGCCTCGACGTCGCCCAGTTTAGTGGCAGCGAGTGCCGCTTCCTGGTGGTGCGCAGCCGCGGCGCCCTCCTGGCGCTGCACCGCGGCGGGCTGCGCCTGCGCCGCGGCGCGGTCACGCTGCGCCTGGCGCTCGCGCTCGGCCATCTCACGCTGCAGCGGCTGCGCTTCCTGCCCAAGGCGGTGCTGCGCCAGCGGCTCGCGAACGCCTACGACGGCGAGCGGAAGCTCGACCTGGACTCCTTCACTCTGCAGCCCGGTGAGCGCTCCCTTCCTTCATCTTCTCCACCTTTTGTACATTGCTCGTCTTATGAACGTCGCACTGAATCTCTGCACCTTTTTTCCACTCCACTTTTTTTCCCATATCCCCCCCCCCCCCCCCCCCCCCCCCCCCCACCAGAACGAAAACCTTCCCGACTTTTTCTATTGCCTCCATGTCATCACTATATCGCTAGAAATGAGGCTTCATTGTAACCTCAGCTTCAACCACTTAAAACGGCGTGATAACTCGTCAGTGCCCTTCCAGATGTGAGCCACTTCATTTACTTCCCCCTCAACCGGCCCAACCACCAAATGGACATAGTCGAGCTGCAGAGCGCAGTCGAGTGGAGATTCCTGACTGACCTCGTGCTCTCCAACAATAGGATCACGTGAGTAACGCTCCAACTTTAAACGTCTATATAGTTTTGATGTGAACTATTGACCAGAATAATACATTCTAAGAATCTTCTGTCAGTAGTCAATGAACGGATTTTCATAATAAGCTTTCAAATTCAACGTTTAGTGGATGAACTGTGCAGATATTTTTTTTCTAGTATACGGATCTGCCATCTCCACCGAGAAAGCAAAGCAGCTTGATATGAAATTGGCGTGAAACAAAAGCTTTGCATTCGATTATGTGAGCAAGGTCAAATGAGAACTACCATATCTTCTGCATAAATATTTCGTGTCAAGTGTTTGTCCGCGATGAACTCCTAAACTACTGAACCGAATTTAATCAAATTTTGCAATCGTGTGTGCAGTTTGATCCAACTTGAGAGATACGATATCTCAATTTATAGTAGCAATATTTTTCGCTCGAGTCCGCAGACCGGAGTTTTCTAAAGTCAGTTTTCTAGGAAGACGGCAAACGAAAAAGTACATACGCACCACCCCAGGTGCCAACGCCTGTTTAGAAATCGTTATTTTTATATTACCATCCATAAAAATGCACTGAGGTTGGGACACTCATGCGGGCTGGCTCGTCCGGGGAAGACCAGGACTTCCCAGAATACCGACTTCAAGTGGAAGCGTTATATATCTGCGTTTCGTCTGGACCCCACTTTATAAAAAGGTGACAATGCTGCTAACCAAAGGCTAACCGACCGATAACTCAGGAACCGATTAACTTATAATTCAATATAGCTTGCCATCTTCTATACAAAAAAAGTTGGTTTCGAGTTGAGTGCTCCCGTCTCGTATTAAAATCGAAATAGCTACTTTTGCTTGGGAGCTTCCGGTGACCTCACCGGTAAGGCGGGCGCTCCGCCCCGAGTCGAGGCCCGGTGATGTAGCCGTAGAGCCGGGCGCTCCGCCCCCAGAACGGTGGAGGGCTTCGACCTGGGTCGCGCCGCGCCCCGGCTGCGCCGCCTCGACCTGTCGCGCAACCGGCTCGAGTCGTTCGGCGCGCTGCTCGACTGCCGCCCGCTGCCGCTCGCCGCCCTCAAGCTGGAGGGGAACCCCCTCTGCACCGACTTCACGGACCCGCAGCGCTACCTGCGCGCCATCAGGATGCTGTTCCCCCTCATCAAGGAAGTGGTGAGTAGACCACGCGCATTTGCGGTTCCAGCCGGTAATGTCCGATTGAAATCAAATGTTTTTTTTTACAGTAACCTAATAAAACACAGTTGTTGTTGCAAATAAAAACACAAATACAAAATATTGTATAAAACTATTTTTACGGATTTATCGCGTTTATTTTGGTTTTAATACCCGACGTTTCGAACCCTTTACAGCTTTCATGGTCAAGGGACAGACTGAGGCTTTGGACGTCTGGAATGTATTTGTAATGTGTTGTTGTTGTACGTGATCTACACAGAACATGCTAATTTTATCTTGCCTTACGGTGTAGGACGGGGTGGTGCTGCCGATGCCAGGGGAACTGCCCCCCATAAGGGGCTCGTACTGCCCGAGCGGTGCCGAGCTGCTGGTGGAGAGGTTCCTGGAGATGTTCTTCCCGATGCTTGACCGGCCCCCGTCGGAAAGGGCCGCCCTCGCGAACCTCTACGCCGAGGACGTGGACTTCTCGGTCACCTGCAGGTCCACTCTCCGTGAGTCGTACTCCTTAGTTGTACTAAGCGTTCATTTCATGCTCCAAATTTTATTGTTACGTTTTTTTATTTGAGACGGTGGCAAGCGAGCTGGTGGTTCACCTGACGTTAAGTGATGAACGCCGCCCATGGGCATGTGTAACACCCGCAGAGTTGCAGAAGCGTAAAGTAAAGTAACAGCCTATACATGTGTAACGTTTTATTTATGAGGATGGTTAATTAAGGGTAGATTTAATAAAAGATTGAGTAACAGTTAAGATGATATATTTATCCCTTCAATTTAAAGTTACAATCCCTGGACTAGCTCAGATACAATATATTTTGTAATATAATAATAATAAAAGTTGGGCGCCTTGTCTGTTAGGAACAGACTGTAGTAATAATCACAATTAAGTATCTCAGGGAGTCGTGAGTACATAGGACCTACACATTACTTTGTGCGACCATAAAAGGTTAAATAATTAAATTAATTTGAGATGGTGAAAGTTATGCAATTCAATTTTAAATACAAAGTCCAATTAGGTAGTTATTTTCAATCTATGTCACCGCAGAGACATCTGCCCTGTGTGCACAGGTCAGCGTTGAGCTCAGAACCAGTAGAGAAAGTCAGGCCAAGTGTAGTGTGTACGGCCACACTGTTGGGAGGTAAGTGGGAGACCGCCCGCCTTCAGAAAAACGGCAATTTAGACAAAGTAATGAAATCACATGTTACACATGTCCCACTGTTGGGCAAAGGCCTCCACTATACAGAGAGCATTCGGGCATAGTCCACCACGCGGCCCCACTGCAGATTGGTGGACTTCACACATCTTCGAAATATATATTTTTTTTGTTATTATTTCGAAAATATGCAGGTTTCCTCACGATGTTTTCCTTCACCGCAGAGCACGTGAAAAGTGGTAATATGCGCGTCGTGTCTAAAATCATAGTTTCGCTAAGGACAATACAGTCGATTCAATATCTGTAGATCAAATATTGGAACCGGCCGTAAATCACAGCCACAGTCGGTGGTTGGTTAAATGAGGGTGTGTATACGAATGTGGGTGGGCAGAGAGCAGCCTGGTGCGGCAGCGGTTCGGCGCGCTGGTGGGGGGCGGAGGGGGCGGAGGGGGCGGGGGGGCGGGGCGGGCGGGGCGGGCGCGTGGAGGGCGGCGGGCAGGGAGCCGCTGCTGGCGCTGCTGGCCTCGTGGCCCGCGCTGCTGCACGACCGCGGGCTGCTCACGGCGGACGTGCTGCACCACTCGGTACGGCCCCTAAACTAGGGATGCCGGAAAACTGTCGATATATCGATATCTTCCGGGTTGACTGGCAGAGACTGCCTTTGGGCATTAAGTCCGCCCTTTGTTACCAAGTTAATAAAGATTAAATAAATAAATATAAAAATATTTTCAGCCTATATATATTTGGATATAAACTATTCAAAATCGAAATTCGTTTCAAAAACGATACCAAATTCGAATCCGCCACAGATTCTGTTGGTGTCACAAATATTTAATACTTGACGAACCTTTTCTTTTTTTGCGGACAACGGGTCCTAAAGACAAAATATCGATTATCAATATTGTTATAAATATCGATATATCGATATACTCTTCACTATCGACAGCTATACACTGCCATCATCTTTTTGGAAAGTCGTCAAGCTAGTTAAGTTACAACGCTAGTAAAATAACTTCGCTCCAGTCACCTCGCTAAACGGAAGAGACGCAAAAGCACACTTACACTACACTCTGTTCAAAAGTTACTAAACAAAGTGCATAGTTATGTCTAGAAAAATAAGTAGGCCTCGACAATTGAAACGCGAAAGCATATTTACACGCTGGTCTTCTATAAAGTACTGGTACTTCTCTGGACTAGCCTTTCCAGTCCTTACAACAGGATATAAATCCTTTTTATTTCAAAAGTTACCAAGGAAGCAGGATGCACATGATGTTAAGGGGCTATTAAAATAAGTGGAACTCAATTACCTCACTCGTCAGAATAAACGTGAAATAATACTTCCATTAAACCGGTCTTCAGTAAGGCCGTTGTACCTGTCCGGACGAATCCAGTCCTTAAAAGTAAAAGTAATAGACCCCTAACCTTGTGGTTCAATGCCCACTACTGTAAAAAACATTGTGTGATGAACATGGTGTTCAGTGTCTGGGTGTTCATATACCTACAATATATATTTGCGACAAAAGAAAAGGAATAGAAGTAGAGCGTTGTGTAAAATGCGTCCTAAATATCGCCCGTCGGCCAGGAGTCGAGCACCGTGGTGCGCATCGGCGGCGTGGCGAAGATAACCTCGCAGAAGCTGGCGGTGGACGAGCCGACGCTGGCGTTCGGGCGCACCGTGCTCCTGCGCTCGGACGGGCTCGAGTACAGGGTGCGCCACGAGCTGCTCTGCTGGGACGAGCCCAGCGAGCAGTTCGCGCGCCGCGCCTTCTCCGCCACGGAGGTGAGCCGCTCCGTACCTCGGTTGGTACGTACAGCACATTTGCAGGACCACCGTTGCCCATTTGTCGGCCTGTTCCGCTTTCCAGTGTTCTGTACCTTAATGGGTACAAACAGTGCACTTACAGGAGCACCGTCGCCCATCTGTCGGTCTATTCCTCCTTCCAGGGTTCCGCATCTAGATTGGTACTAACAGCACACTTATAGGAACACCGTTGCCCATCTGTCGGTCTATTCCTCCTTCCAGGGTTCCATACCTTGATGGGTACAACCAGGACACTTACAGGACCACCGTTGCCCATCTGTCGGTCTATTCCTCTTTCCAGAGTTTCCGACCTGTCTCCAAAACTCTTCTTTAAGGCCGTTCCAGAGAAGTCTCCGAGGAATAATGATTGAACTTGAATGAACTGTGTAACATAAAAGTAAAGTAAATTAACAGCCTGTATATGTTGCACTGCTGGGCAAAGGCCTCGTCTATACAGAGTTTGCATAGTCCAATACGCCGCCCCACTGTGGATTGGCGGACTTCACATAATATAACGGTGGTAGGGGCACGCAGCAGCGTCGGCTGTTGCACGAATGAGCAGACTCGTCCGGGTAAGTACCACGACCTCACAGAAGACCAGCGTAAAGTGAAAGTGTACTACTTTCGCGTTTCGTCTGGTGAGTGAGGTGGCCGGAGCCCAATTTTAAAAAGGTTGTCAACGCATCTGGAACCCTCGGGTGTTGCAGATGTCCATGGGTGGCGGTATTCACTTAATATCAGGTGAACCGTCTGCTCGCTTGACAACTTTTGACATTAAAAAAAAACGTAGGGATGCGATGATATTCAATATCGAAATTCTATCAAAAACGAAAATCTCGGATTCGAATTTGAAAAACGATATTTTTAAAAATTCGAATCCAAGATAGAGTCCGTACATGCAAAGATGTAATACTTGCCATACGTTTTTTTTTTTTTTTTTGGACAACAGGGCCTAAAAATAAAATATCGGTATATAGACATATTTTTGACAAGGGATAGTGAACACATTATCTCGGCAAAGGCCATCCCTAGCGGCATATATTCTATCTACGTCTTTCCTGCCCTAATCCCACCTAGGTGTCACACAAATACTTGTCCCATTTGGGAATCGAACACACGACTCTGATCGCTGAAATAAATGACTCGGAAACTGCGCCTGTACCCATTTACTCTATCCAGTTAGGTACTAAAATAACATAACAACAAATTTCCTAAATTCAATCTTATTGGATTTTTATTATTGCTACTATAAATGTGGCCTTAATTAGCAAATTCAGACCGCTTGATGGCTAATCGGGGGCTATAAGTGCGACCTTAGTTGAAATACAACGCTATAATTACAAACATGACGACAGCCCGCATGTGAATTAAGTTTCATTTTACACAATTAACACTTATCAGCAAGATAACGCTCATTAGCAAGTTGTGGCAGACCTATAAGTTTCTTAACAATATAAATATTTCTAGCAAATTATTTATATTACTAGCTTTTCGCCCCATGTACTACATTTTATATCGTGTTAAAAAGTCGCCTACAGCCTTCCTAAATTAATGGACTAACAGTGCAAGAATTTTTCAAATCTGACCAATCGTTCCTGAGATTAGCAAATTCAAACCAACTCTCCAGTTCTGTAATACCTATAGATATCCTCTTGTTTTTGTCCTCTTAGTACCTATAGATATCCTCTTGTTTTTTTCTGTGTTTTTATCAATGCAGTAGGAGACAAAACCAACTAGATTTTGTCTTCTACTGCATTGTTTTTTTTTTATATATAAAAAGTGGTAAAAAAGCATTTATCACAAAATGATATGTGATTACTGCCATAGCTTAACAGAAATACAGTAGTACTAACATTTTAACTTCACTTGCATTTGTTTAATGTATGATAAAAACTCACAATATAAGTGAGATGTAGATATGTTAGACATGTAGAGTATATTTAACTCAGTGGTTGAGGCAGTTGAGAGAGCTGGTGATCTAATTTCAAGTTTGAATCGTAGATGTGACATGGGAAACAAAATTTTTCAATTTAAGGCCCGCTTACTAAGTTCTTGTAGGCACTTATATGTCATTGTCACATGTTGTGGTTTTTAAATTTTCACAATTTTTTACAATTTTCAAGAAAATTCAGTGAAATTTAGAAAATGCCTAGTTCTCTCTAGTTAGAAATGTATGATATTGTTAATTTCAATGAATTCAAATTGTATCATGGACATGTCACTTAGTAACGAGGCATCTAATGCTAATTTTGATTTTTATTGAAATATGATCAAAAAATACAAGCGACATAGTCATTTTAGTATCATATCCACATAAAAAGATATAAGTAAAAAAGTTAGATTTATAAAAAAGAAAATTAATGTCGATAATCAGGAATTCCCTTCTTAACCAGATTTAACACTATTGAAGATATGACATAACTAAAAATGTCTAAGTAATTTTAGGAGTTTTATCAAGAATATTTATACATATTGCTGAAACGGAATAAAATGTAATAAGTGCAATGAATTTCTATTAATTATTTATTGAACTATGTACATGTTGATTATTATGTTGATAAGTTATTCCTGTAGCATAAATTTGCCAAGCACTGATCAAAATTACTGGGTGTATATCCTGACAAATAGAAAATTTGACGACTTTATTATTATATTTAAAACTAAACTTTATTTGATGACAATTATTACAAGAGTTATTTCAACAAATTGCCAATAGATAATTATGACATACTTAATATTACCAAATGATTAATTCGAAGAATTGTTGGAGAAAGTTAAAATAATTTTTAAATCATCTCTAAAAATCACCCTTTCCAACAAATTCATGAACACACTACAAATTATAAATATAGAATACAAACAAAAGTCATCAGTCAAAAATATTTTTTTTATTACTTATTACCACTGGATTGTTAATGGCGCTATGACAGTATCTACTACTCATATATATCACACATTTGCATATGCTAACATATTGAAAAGAAAAATATAAACCATTCCATATTTACCATACACATGCGGGAGCTTTTATACAAGGAACAATTTATTGCTAACATAAAAGTACAATAATTTAAAACCAATGTATAACACATCGTACATCTCAGCTTTATTGGTGTTATCGCTGTATTGGGAATGTCATATTAATGCAAAGATAGTAAAGGGAAAAAACACTTTGAACAGATCTAATCGTGAGAAATCATCAGCTTAAATGAACACTTGGCACTATTACATCAAACATGTTTAGAATGCTATATAAATATAAAGAACTACCATAGTCTGTACAAACTATCGAATAACTCTCACACAGTGTCCATTGACTCCTCGTTTGTCGGTTCGGTCTCCATCTCCATTTCCTTCTCGTCGACGCCCGAATACTTCAGTCTGAGCTTCTCGTAGTGCACCTGCTCTTTGGCCGACACGGACGGTTTGCATTTGGCCAGGGCCGCGCGGAAGTCTTCGAACGCGACGAATATGTCACCCTCGAGGGTCCCGTTGGCGATGTGGCTCGTGAGGGCGTTGGTGGCCGCGGCGCGCACTAGCCCCGCTAGGTCCGCGCCCGTATAGCCCTCGGTGAGCCCCGCGATCGCCTGCAGGTCCACATCGGGCCCCAGCCGGGGTCTGGAGCCCTCCTTCGTCAGCTTCCTCAGTATGTCGTAGCGGTCGTCCCTCGCCGGCATGCCCACGTACATGACGCGGTCCAGCCGGCCCGGCCTCAGCACCGCGGGGTCGATGATGTCGGGCCGGTTCGACGCGGCCAGCACGAACACCCCCTCGCGGCTCTCTATGCCGTCCATCTCCGTGAGCAGCTGGTTGACAACCCTGGCCGCTCCGTTGTGGTCCTGCGAAGTCCGCCTGGGGCACAGCGCGTCGAACTCGTCGAAGAATATCACGCACGGGGCGGAGTTGCGCGCGCGCCTGAAACACGTGCGCACAGCCCTCTCGCTCTCGCCTACGTACATGTTCAACAGCTCCGGCCCCTTGACCGATATGAAGTTGACCCCGGCCTCGTTGGCCACCGCTTTGGCTAGCAGCGTTTTGCCACAGCCCGGTGGACCGCAAAGCAAGACACCGCTGGGCGCTGCCAAGCCAAGCTTCTTAAGCTGCTCTGGATACTTGACCGGAGCCAAAACTGCCAGCTGTAAATCTTTACGTACTTGACTTAAGGAGCCGACATCCTCCCATGTAACATCAGGGACTGTCACAATACCTTCCCGCACTGCACAAGGTTTTGTAGTTTTCAATGCTCTTGTGAAATCTTCCTGCCTTATAGAAAGCCCTGTAAGTTCCTCAGGTGTGTATGGCATGCTGTCCTCGAGGAGGCTTAAAACATCATTTAAAGGGTCATTAGTCAATTCTATTTGTTCACCATCACCATGATTTTGTTCTTCATCACCCGTTTCAGTAATCTTTTCTTGGGCTGGAGCTGTCACTTCTACATTTTCTTTTGATTCAGCCTCGGTACAATTTTTAGAATTCCCATCTTCACCGGCTGCAGTTTCATCGGTTCCTTTATCCCCATTGGGTATAGCACTGACCTCATCATTTGTTTTGGAAACTTCATTTGAATTTTGCTTAATAGATGCCTTTGCCTGACTTCGAATTTCAGAGAAAATTCTTTTAATGGCATATGTACTTGCTTTATTAACAAGAGCTTGTAAGTCAGCACCTACAAAACCAGGTGTGATTTGTGATAGGGCACTCATGTCTACATCGGCATCAAGAACTAAGTTTTTGCACAGAATTTCTAAAATCTCTTTCCTAGCTTTTAGAGATGGGATACCTAGTGTTATTTCTTGTTCAAGACGACCTGCCCTTCTTAAAGCTGGGTCTAAAGCATCAGGATTGTTGGTTGCAGCAAGGATGAGAACAGAAGCACTATCACTTTTTTCACTTAGACCGTCTAAGCTAGCCAGTAACTGAGCTACCATACGCTTTTCCATATCTTTTTGAGCATGAACCCTATTACCACACACTGCATCTATTTCATCAATAAACAAGATACAGGGTGCAACAGATACTGCTCTCTCAAATAGCTCTCGTATCCGTTCCTCTGATTCACCTGATACACCACCAACTAGTTCAGTACCAGTGACGGCTATGAGAGGCAATTGTAGTTTTCCCGCAATGGCATGAGCTAATAAAGTTTTCCCTGTTCCCGGTGGGCCATGCAGCAAAGCTCCTCTTGGAGCTTTAATTCCCAATTCTTTGTACACTTCTGGATGTTTCATATGCAATACTAGGTCACATATTTGAGTTATAATATCAGACAAGCCTCCCACATCTTCAAAACTAACCTTAACATTTTTAGTGTCACCTATTTCAAACTTTTTCTTCAATGTAGAGCTTTTGTTTGTATCTGGTTTTCTTTTTTTATCATATGTATGCTGAATAACTTCTGTTTTATTGCTATTTTCAGTCGCGGTCGTGTTATTTGAATTTCGAACCGGTATATGTGGGGTTATCGTAATTTGATCGCTAATTTTTGGCAATTTAGGCGCTGCGCTTCCGTCTTCGTCACTGCTAAGTATGTCTATCGGCTCGCCGGATTTATCTGTCGCTCTGCGGGAGGCCGCAGGCCGCTTCTTATCTTGCATCTTGTACATCGCTAATAAACGGTCGTTGAGGGCACTGTTGTTTTCATCCAATAATTCTATGTCAGATTCTTCCTCCGACCCCTCAGATGTCGAAGCGCCGTCCAATCCGTAGCTCTGTAAAACCACCTTGTAAGCGCTTTCGACCATCTGACAGAACGCGTTGTCGCTTCTATTGCTGTATTCACGATACCGCTCTTTGAGAGAACGCGCCATTTGGCTGACATCGACGAACGTTTTATCCACATTTTCCGCTAGGTAGTTTTTTACGCGTGATACAATAATTGGATCGTTGAGAGTTTTCTGTCGGGTCTGATGCTTCTTCATATTTTTCACTGAAACTCGTGTTATTTCTTATGTTCTAAAATTTTTTATACAGTCTCCGTCGTATTTCTCAATGTTTGACAGCGGCGTCGCCGAATCAATGGATAAACGCAATAGTTGCCATATTAAAAAGCATTTATGGTTATCTAACATATAGACATAAAATAGTTTATAATATTATCTATTATAAGTAGATACTATTCACTAGATATTTTATTATGTTACTTGTAAATTTAACAACCGATAAAATTTCAGATACCGAAGCAAAGATTAAGCATTTCTTTGGAAACTCCTCCCGATGAACACATGAAGGAAAGTCTCATCAAGATTTTCATGAAATTGACTGAATTAGACAGACCTCCAAGCGAAAGGTATTGAACATTTAAAATTTAGTTTGTGTTTTACTCCATTTGTATATAAATATTTATATATATATATATATATACCAAACTTTAAATACTATAATGTTTATATCCTGTAAAATTATTTAATGAAACTAGTTTTACAATTTCGCCTATTTTAAATAAACTTAAAAGAAATACGGAACAGTTTAATTTTATATGTGTAAATCTGAAAAATTATAACAGTGCACTGTTTATATTTTTAAGGTGCCTGAAAGAAAAGGATTGGAATCTTCAAGATGCGTTAAAGTTCTTCACGGAGCTATTAAAACTTAACCATGTTGATTTTTTATATACTAAAAAAACAACCGATCAGTAGATATGTTAAACTTCAGTAAATGTGTTGAAAATGATTAATAAACCAATTTTCTTAATAAATTTTAATGTTACCTTTTCTATAATCGTGTACACCCTGGCTAATCAATATGTTGTAAAATAATGAAAAAAATACGAATATTTCTTATTTATTAAATAATAATAAAATAAGACAACAGAGAAGACACTGAATAATGTTTTAAAACACTTAACAACACTGCATTTAACTGGTAATAATATTAAATAAAACAAAAAGATATTTTTTAAATACCAAAGGCAGATTTTATTAATGATTTATTAATTCAAAGAAGATACACATACATTTAAAATGCTCTAAACAATCATTTCAAGATGTCTGGCATATTCTATGGTTTGCTCTGCAAGTTCAGCTGATGGTAGGATACCAGCTGCAGCGGCACAAGTCTCCTCTGCTGCATTAAAATGGTAGCAATTGTCTGGACCGAGGACCCAATTACGCTAGTAAAATGGAAAATAACATTAAGCACTTATCTATATAAATGAGAGAAATCTGCCGTTGGGGCGCGCATCATGGAAACCTACTCGACAGATTTAAATCAATTCTTCTAAGTTTCTTTCTTAGATACCTGGCCCTTATCTAAAAACAAATAATGAGATATCTTAATTTATTGCAGTTATTTATTAATTTTTTAAGTAATTACTAGTGTTAAGTGATAACCGCCATCCATGGATGTTTGCAACACCCGTATGGTTGCCGACATATTGCCACCCTTTAATAAAGTGGGACTTGGTTACCTTATACACCAGATGAAACGCATAAGTATTACACTTTTACTTCACACCGGTTGTCCTGTGAGGCATTAGTTCTTCCCACGGAACTACTTATTCTTGCAACAGCAAAGACTGTTGTGTGACCCTACCACTCTAAAGTTTTAAGAAACAATGATTTCGCAAATGCTAAAACTTGGCTACCAATTGAATTAACAAACCTTTGAAGACACTACTGTTAAGTTTATAATATAAATTAATAAGTAAAGATTCATGATTTTTTTGGTTTATGGTAAGACTACATATTGATAAACAAAACTAATTTACTATGATTATATCTCCCGACATCTAAGTTAGTTTTATTGAAATGAATAATATTCCCGTAAATAAAAGAAATAATTTCATTGACATATTTGATAAGGTTATAAATCAATTACCTTTTTCCCATATTCAAGTACAGCTTGTTGTGAGGGCAGATTAAGTCGCCTAGCGGCCTCTGCACAGGTTATACTAAGATATGCTTTCTCAATGCATGCTGCAATTTCTCCTCTCACCGTATCCAGTAAAGTATCCATGAACAAAGTGTAACTCTCTGCTGGGACATTACCCTGTGAGGAATTTTGATTTGTTCAGAAATTACTTTGGTTTATAATGAAAACAAGTCCTACACTAAGTATTAACTCCTGAACACTCCCATGCTTGGGACAACAATATTGGTGTACCATATCCGTTTGCCTGTTGACCACTTAAATATTCAAGATAATTTTAATTATCTGTTAATATCAAAAAAAAAATTGTACCTTTGCTAAGAAGATTTTATTATAGCTTCCCTCCATCAAGTATTGTTCTAGAGCCAGTGGATGTCTCACATATGGATCTGCCCTTATCACATCTACTGGAAGACGCTCAAGTTCTGTATGAAATTCAGCTACACGGTTTTGTGCAAGCAGAAACAGCAAATTCAGACCCAGCAACTGGTACATAAAGGCTGATTCTGGCAAGTGGTCCCTACAAATAAAAAATAATTAAAATTTCTTCAGTTGAATATCAAACTAAATTTCCACTTATTTTGAAGTTAAACAAACATTACTTTGTATATATTAATATCAACATTCAAACTAACTTTCAGTGCCAATTTGAATTCCACAAATTATAAATCAATAATTCAAAATGATATTGGTGTTATCATTTATTAACTTTCATAAAGTTGTCATATACTTACTTATAATCAAAATAGTAACATTTCAACTGAGACATATATCTTTCAAATGCTTTAACATCTTTGCTTGCAACTGCCCACTGAGCACCAATTTCTAATACATCCCTTGCCACAATTAGTTCTTTTTGGTTGGCAGCAGCATTGTTACTTGGTAGAAAACTCAATTGCGTTAGAGCTATCTGGAAAAATTTGTAAATATTAATATTAGAAACGACTTTAAAATGTTTACTAGTTTATCTGATATTGAAATCTTATTATTAGATATATATATTAGTGCAAACACTCTAAAGAAAATTCTATTCTGCTCCAAATTCCTTTAACCCAATCATATTAAATTTATAGATAGAGTTAATAAATTTAAATTGATAAAATAATGGAAAGGTTATAAGTAAAAATTTAAGGGGGCAAATAGAACTGTTTCGCATGGTTTATCACTTATTTATTTAATCGATTTAGTTATTTAGAACCTCATAATTTATATTGCTCCAAATGATTATTGGAAAGATTATATTAATGAGTAAAAACTATATTGTTGTGTGCCGAGTCATTTTCAATTAGAATTTACCTTTATTTTGTTCAAGAGTTCTCCACATTTATCAAGTTTCGGTGGTTTTTTCGCCCATTCTGTTTTAAGACTTTGATATAACGATGCTACATCTTTTAAAGAAGCCATTTTAATAATTAACAATAATAAAATATTAATGAAGTAATAATTAGTTCACAAATTCGCGTCTTTTTTGTATTCGAGGGACAGTCACAGATTATATATTTTTATTTTCAGGTTTTGCTTGTTCACGATCCCTAGCCATAAATGTTGCTAGTGTTCAATAAGCCTTTTAACGATTTTGTACATAGTGAATTTTATCGAGAAGTGTTAATTAATACAAATCATCGTTTTCTAGAAAGAATATTTTTTTTGACGTGGGAAAAATCCTTCATGACTAAAATGCCATCGAGACCCGTGGTAGTGCTTTTAACCTCTTCCAAGTTCCAACGAAACTACCAAAGCCACGGAATAACAGCATGCTAAATTTACCCATAAAATTCTTAAGTCCGTATCAACCACACGGAATTTAATTAAAATAATAAGAATTATAATTGAAATAATTTAAATAATGAAATATTTTAAAATCCTAAGTATTTTCGATTTTTTTATTCAGAACCATTTAAGCAAAAAATCGCTTCCGTTAAAGAAAAAAATAGCTTTTAAAGTAATTTTGATTAGCCAGTCCTGTGTTTTTTCATGTGTATTACGCAGGTCACAGATATGTATGCAAATGTTTGCAGATCCTCAAAGACTCTGTGGGAGAATATTTGCAAATATTTGGACTAACATTTCTTATTTTGTATATTATTTCATATTTGACACTAGTGTATCATTTTTTCAACGCACATCAAAGCGAGCAAAGCGTAAATATTTGTGAACGCTCCAATACTTATTGAAGCGTCCATTGAGTTGAGCTTGCTAAATGGTAAGTGTAATTGTCAAGGAGTGTATTAAATATCGTAAATAGAAGGCAAATCTCTTTCTTCTTAGCTCTTGTATGCGCTTTTTGAGCTCTCTTTGGAGGGTGATCCAAAACATTGGTGGCTGAGTTTTCCCCCATAATAGTGAGGTTCTCCGGCAATTCAGAGTTTAATTCAGTAATAAAAGATTGGGATTTTAATTGAGTTTCTGGTAGAGTCCAGATTAGTAACATTGGTGTAACTATTCCAGGCAAGTTGCTTGAAATTCAAATCACCGTATAATTTCTTGTAGCCTTAAACTTTTAGTGCTACAAATGTTTTAAATAATTAAAATGACATAAATATTTTTTTTTGCTTTTGTTTTAAAAAAACATTGCCCTTGCTTTAGGATAACATTATCCTGTGTTGTAAGGACGTTTTACAAACATAAATTTCGAATTCATCTGTGAGCAAGAATAACTCTCATTTTCCTGCTTGGTATCTAACGCTTTTCAATTTCATTTCGACCACGATTTGATGAGGATGACAACGATCCTTTAAGTTCGTTGCAATGTTGCATGTTATAGTAGATAAACAATCATTACTTTTATTATGTCGCAAAATTCAGTTAATTTGAGGGCAATGTAATTATTTTAATATGATTTTCGGCAAATACCAATATCGAATCCACGATCCGAGATTCCTATCAATCCAAGACATGACGTGCGATCGATCTACCTACAATAATTTTAATCCAGATTCAACAACAAATCTGAGATGATTCCTTCCCTCCGTAACGTTCCTTTCAACTAAATTTATCGTAAACGTTATGACACAAATATTATTTATTTTTAAACAATCTTTAAAATTTCCACATATAAATAATGTAACGCGCCCTTTTCAAAAGTCGCTCGGTCTTAATAGTACTCGCGGATTGGACGAATCCCGGGCGGCAACGCAAGAGCCAATCGCGGCTCAAAGTCATGACGCGCCACGCGGGAGCGACCGATTGAAAATACGTTCCCGCCGCTCCCGCGCAGTTCGACAACCGACGCGATATAGTTAGTATGCTAATAGACTGTAATTGTATACCTAACATAGAACTAGTTTATATTCTTATAAGTATCTCAAGTGAACTCTAATTGTGCAACTACTTACGAGAATAAACTATTATTACTATAACCAGTGGTATTTCACTTCACATAGCCTAGTGCAGATAGAACCCAATAGAGTTAGCCGTCGCTACAAAATGGCTGCCCACGCGTGAGGCTATAGTGAAAAAGTGAACTTTTGTGTCGAGAGTCGCTGCGGTTATATAAAATGCCGCCAAAAAGGAATCGTCGTGTGTCGTCGCCGTCGCGAGAAGAGTTCGCGTCGGCCAGAGAAGGCTCCTTCTCCAGGGACGACATTGCGTCATTAGTGGAGTCACTCCAACGATCGCAGACCAACGCCTTCAAGGAGCTGCTGGAAAGCGTCATCACTACCACCAGGCACGCGTCGTCTACTTCGACACCGATACCATTAGAAGGAGGAAACTTTTCCCGCTGCAAAGCTCGATTCGCTGGAAATACGGACGAGTCCATTGAAGGATTTATTGACGCTATCGAAGCATACAAAGACTGTGCAAACATCTCAGACGAAAACGCCATTCGTGGGTTATCAATGTTACTAACACATTCAGCTGCAGATTGGTGGCAAGGAATTAAACCTGAAATTACTTCATGGGCCGAAGTTATAGACAGCCTACGTCATACCTACGGCGATAGTCGAGCTCCGTCGCGTATTTACCGCGACTTATTTTCTGAACCACAAGGCGAAGAAAACACCCATATTTACGTTGCGAAGTGTAGAGCGCTTTTAGCAAAATTGCCGCGGAACGAGATTTCTGAAAAGATCCAACTTGATATGGTGTATGGGCTCCTACACAAAAGAATTAGAAAACGTGTCAAGAGAGAAGACTGCGCATCATTTAAAATACTATTACAAAAGACGCGCGCCGTGGAAGAGTCACTAAGTGAAGTGTGCGTGAATAACGCCTCGTCGAGTCGTCCCGCCGCCGTGTTGAAGACGCTGCGCGCCGGCGCCACAATGGGGGCGCCCGCGCCGCCGCCTCGCGTGCACCGCGCGCCACCGCCGCCTCGAGTCGATGATCACTACACCGCGACTGCGTCCGTCTCCGCCTCCACTGCGAAAACTAAATCGTATAGTAAGAAGTGCGGTTATTGTAAACGTTTCGGCCACATGATAGAAGAATGTCGTAAATTACCTAAAGACTCTAGGTGTAAGTCTAATGATAATAGTAATAACGCAACAGATGTAAAGGTTGTGCATTGTTATGGATGTGGGCAGAAAGGTGTTTTACGCGCAAATTGCGATAAGTGTAAATGCTACATTCTGTTCTATCAATTGCAGCATAGATTCGTCCGCCCAAGGGTCAAAGGACGCGGGTAAGCAGTTTTCCCCGGTGAGCTCTAATGCCTATAAATGTAAAAGTCAAAATTCTTTAACTGATAAGAGTGTTAATGATAATAAATTTCAAGAAATTCATCCCTATAATAAGAAAATGTCACCAGTCAAATTATACATTAATTGCAAATTCTTTAATTGATAAAAGTGTTAATGATAATAAATTTCAAGTAATTGATCCCTATAATAAGAAAATGTCATGCTGTACCATGTCAAATTATACATTAATTGCAAATTCTTTAATTGATAAAAGTGTTAATGATAATAAATTTCAAGTAATTGATCCCTATAATAAGAAAATGTCATGTTGTACCATGTCAAATTATACATTAATTGCAAATTCTTTAACTGATAAGAGTGTTAATAATAATCAATTTCAAGTAATTGATCCCTATAATAAGAAAATGTCATGTTGTACCATGTCAAATTATACATTAATTCCAAATTTTTTAACTGATAAGAGTGTTAAGGTTAATCAAGTTCATGTAATTGATCCCTATAGTAAAGAAATGGCATGTTGTACTATGTCAGAATGTAATAGTAACACATTCTTGTTGCCAGAACTAGTCATGGACACTAAACCTAGGTTGACATCAGCTGTTGATAACAGTGATAACAAAGGCCACAGTATATCTAATAACAGTATATTGACTAAGTGTCATAGTATAGGTATACCCAGTAGTGTAATCATGCCTTGTGAGGATATTATATTTTCATCTTTGGATTTATTAGGAACCAGCCAAGAGGTTGAGGATCTCCAGAAGCCTGCGCATGGAGCCCTGAACAATAGTAATTCAGCAAATAACTCTGAGTATGCTGCATTGGAATTATTTGATTCTTTTGAAAATTATATGAACAGACATCAGCGGCCAATCATAGGAATTGAAATTCTCAACGTAAGAGGAAGAGCACTACTTGATACAGCTGCCAAGAGAAGCCTTGCAAGTCAGAAACTTTACTCACTCTTACTGGAGAACAATCAACAGTTCTGCGAGAGACAAGTGAGAGTAAAATTAGCTGACGGTTTATCTCAAATTAAAAAGGTACTCACAATCTCCTTAGATGTCAAAGTAAAGAATAGAGTAATACCTCAGGAGTTTATGATCTTACCGGATGCTGAAGAAAATGATTCTTTATTGGGAATAGATTTTATGAAAGCATCTCGACTTGACCTGGACTTCTATCACTTGACTTGGTGCTTTCCTGGAGGTGAAAAATACCCTATGCAATTTGAATCTAATGTGCCATCCCAAATATCAATTGCTGCAAGCAACATACTTAATGCAGAGGAAGGATATATGTTGAATGTAAATGAAAAGATGAGATTAGCCGAAGTATTAGAGAGGAATAGTGCAGTTTTCAGTCTAGGGGGAGCGCCCACTCCAATTGTTGAACACCATATAGACACAAGAGAACACGCACCTATATCTGTACCTCCTTACCGACTCACACCTGCAAAGAAAGAAATCATGAAGGCAGAAATTGACAAGATGCTCCGGGATGGAATAATAGAGGAATGTGAATCTGCTTGGACGTCTCCAGCGGTTCTAGTACCAAAGAAAAATAATACTGTCAGATTTTGTGTAGATTATAGAAAGCTGAACAGCATCACAAAGACAGATAATTATCCCTTACCTCTAATTGATGAGCTGCTACAGTCAACCGGAAAGCACTGCTACATAAGTACTATTGATTTAAGATCTGGATACTGGCAAGTTGGTGTTAATGCAGCTGACCGGGATAAAACTGCTGTAATCACTCCTTTTGCTACGTATCGATTTGTAAGAATGCCATTTGGCTTAAAGAATGCCCCGGCCACCTTCCAGCGGTTGATGGATAAGTTTAAATCTGGTTCCAGCCTGCAGAATACTACTGTCCTGGCATACCTGGATGATATATTGGTCATATCCGACAATTTCGAGAAACACCTGGAAGACCTGCAACTGGTATTTGACCGTCTTCTAAAGTTTGGATTGAGAGCCAACCGAGACAAATGTGTTTTTGCATGTAAAGAGGTCAAATATCTCGGTCACCTCATCACACCTGAAGGTATCAAGCCGGATAACGGGAAGGTTGAAGCCATCATAGCCATGAAAGAGCCAACTAACCTCAAGCATCTCAGAACATTTCTACAAACCTGCGCTTGGTTTAGAAAATTTGTTCCAAATTTCTCAGCGATAGCTCAACCGCTTACCAAGCTAACTAAGAAAAATGAACCATGGAAATGGCAAGAGGAACAACAAGAGGCTTTTAAGGAACTTAAAGCCAGGTTAGCTTCTGCTCCGATTCTGGTGCAAGTTGACTACAGCAAGGAATTTATTCTGCGGACCGATGCGAGCAACTATGCTCTTGGAGCAACCCTTATGCAGTGCAAAGGACAAGACGAGCATCCCATTGAGTATGCCAGCCGGCTGCTCACACCAGCAGAACGCCGTTACAGTACGACTGAACGTGAAGCCTTGGCTGTGGTTTGGGCAGTTGAGAAGTATCGACCCTATATTGATGGTCATACAGTGATTGTAAAGAGTGACCATCAGCCGTTGAAGTGGCTTTTGACTCACAAGTCACCAAACGGTCGCCTTATTAGGTGGGCATTAAAGCTGCAAGGTTTCGACATCAAATATGAATACACACCAGGAAAGGCCAATGTCATAGCAGACACTTTGAGTCGGCCTGTCTGCGATGAGAACTCCCAAGAAGAATGTGGAGTCTGTTCCCTTATAGTCGATATTCCTCAAATAAACCCGACGGAACTTCGTACTGCTCAGCTGCAAGATCCAGAAGTCGCCAAGATAGTTCATGATCTAGAAGACTTGGATCCCATAAACTCGACCAGATGGTTAGAGAGAGGATATGTTATGGCTCAAGGGGTTCTTTACTTTTACAATCCCAACTCTGAGTCAGAAGAAGCACAACTAGTAATACCCACGTCAATGAAAAAAGCCGTACTGAAGGAGTATCACGATGCCCCAACTGCCGGACATCAGGGTGTAGAGAGGACTATCGCACGCATTAATCAGAAGTACTACTTCACTGGAATGCGTAAATACGTCACGGAGTATCTCAAGCGATGCGAAGAATGCCAACGCTATAAAATAAGTAACCAGAAGCCTGCTGGACTACTGCAAACCCCAGTTCTGAATCAGAGAGGCGAGGTTCTAGCAATAGATCTATTTGGACCTCTACCTGAAGGAAACGATGGAGAAAAGTGGGTGCTGCTCATCGAGGACACAGCTACGCGTTGGGTGGAGCTGATAGCCCTCAAGGACGCCACTGCAGAAGTCTGCGCACCAGCCCTTATCGAGCAATATTTCCTACGGTATGGATTCCCAAGGAGGGTCATCTCGGACAACGGAGTCCAGTTTGTCTCGGCTGTTATGCAGCAGACCATGTTCTTATTGGGGATCAAACAGAATTTAACACCACTCTATCATCCTGAAGCCAACCCAGCAGAACGAAAGAATAGAGATCTCAAGACTCAGCTCTCCATCTTAGTGAAGAACAATCATCGTTCGTGGCCTAACTATCTGCCTGCGATCAGGTTCTCGATGAACAGTGCTGTTTGTGCTACCACGGGATGTAGTCCAGCTCATATGATGTTTGCTCGGGAGTTGAGGACGCCGTTTGATGCACAACGAGATCTGAGAGCTATATTATCGAAAGAAAACTTTCTGCCACAGATAACTCCTTACTTAAAAAGGTTCCTTGAGAATTGGGAGGTCATCAAGGAGAAAGCTGAATGCCAGCAGGATCGGAAGAAGAGCGACACTGACCAACACCGACGGCAGTCACCTTTGTTTGGTGTTAATGACTTGGTTCTGGTAGACACACATTTGCTGAGTCATTTTTCAAAAGGGTTAACAAAGAAATTCATGCCGAAACGGGATGGCCCATATCGTATTAGTAAAATTATTAGCCCAACTACTTATGTTATAGCTGATTTAGAGACAAATACCGACCTGGGAAAAATGCATAGTTCTGAGTTAACACCATACACACCAGGCCAAGGTATCTTTTCGGTGCCCGTTCAACCACGGCGACTTCGTGGTCGCCCTCGTAACACCGCGCGGAATGTTAGTGTAACCAAGTCCCCAACGGGTCGTTATGGGAACTTGGAGGGGGAGTGTGTAACGCGCCCTTTTCAAAAGTCGCTCGGTCTTAATAGTACTCGCGGATTGGACGAATCCCGGGCGGCAACGCAAGAGCCAATCGCGGCTCAAAGTCATGACGCGCCACGCGGGAGCGACCGATTGAAAATACGTTCCCGCCGCTCCCGCGCAGTTCGACAACCGACGCGATATAGTTAGTATGCTAATAGACTGTAATTGTATACCTAACATAGAACTAGTTTATATTCTTATAAGTATCTCAAGTGAACTCTAATTGTGCAACTACTTACGAGAATAAACTATTATTACTATAACCAGTGGTATTTCACTTCACATAGCCTAGTGCAGATAGAACCCAATAGAGTTAGCCGTCGCTACAATAATTATTTGACTCCCCGATAGTTCTTCAATCTGCGTCCCAATATCATCGATTTTTTGTTAAACTGCATTTTAATTGCAGTCCAGATTGAATGAAAGATAGTATATTAAATCAATCCTTTGTAATATTCCTTTTACTTTTACCTGGCTTTTATATTAATGTTAAGTTTATTATGTAAATGTTACTCATATTTAAATGATTATATTATTATTATTTAACAATTTTCATCTAATATTGAACTTGCAACTTAAGTTATTTAAGCCAAAGTTTACCACAAAAATATGTGGATGAAAATAATAATAATAGCCTAATGAACTTCGAATTTTGATTGAAAAACACTTGACTCAAGTGACTTGACCATAGATAAGACATATACTTTTTAATATCTGCACTTGACCACTTAACAAATTGACAATGATAAGTAAATAGCGATGGGCAAGTAAAAAAATATATCAATATTTATCGTATCAGCATTTTAAAAAGTATCGATAATTATCGAGTGAAAAATATCGATATATCGACGAGCAGACGATTCACCTGATGTTAAGTGAATACCGCCGCCCATGGACATCTGGTACACCCGAGGGTTACAGATGCGCTGACAACCTTTTGAAAATTGGGCTCCGGCTACCTCACTCACCAGACGAAAAGTATTTGTCATACTTCCACTTTACGCTGGTCTTCTGTGAGGTCGTGGTACTTACCCGGACGATAATTAAAAATTCGTCAAAAAGAAAAGGCATGAAGAAAATAGTTAAAAGATTTTTTAAAGTTAACGATGCGCGAGGAGTATCTTGTAACATTATACACGAAATCAATGTTGCGTTAAAAATATACCGACATTGACACGAATTCGACAGTCTAAAAAAATATCGACAATCGATATATCGCTTAAAAAAATATGGACGTATATATATCGATATTTGTATGGAACGATCATATTTTTTATTTTTACATGCCTACAAGTACAAGTCGTAAATAAAAATAATGCAATTGATAGAAACAGATATGGAATGAATTGTAAAATTTTCGTAATGTTTAGTTTCGTAGATATTACAATGATTTAGGTATATTTTATAGATGTTTATTGATTGATTGATTACCTACTTCTATTATATAGAAAACAAAAGTTTAAATTTTTATCGCTTCGCTCACTGTTCTCATCGAGTTGTTTTGTTATTGTTACGATAATTCCTTTTTTTTTTAAATAATGAGTGCAAATATCTTATTTAGTGATAGTGATGATGATGATTTGGAAGTATTGCAACAAGTTTTAGATTCGGACAGTGATGAAAATGATGCTTTTCCGTTCCGTAATATTTCATATCCAAAGTGCCGGATGAACTATATGCACATCCTCAATGATGCAGAATTTACGTTTCGATTTAGATTAAATAAAGCTGCGGTCGAAATGCTTTTACCACAAATTATACCATTTGTGAAAGTAACCTCAAAGCGGTAACTGAATAAAATTGTCCTTAATGTAATTTTTAGGCTTTGTTTCTTAATACTTCTATAAAATCTCTTCAGAAATAATGGAATTGCACCTCTTCACCAACTCTTACTGGCACTTCGGTTCTATGCTTTGGGGACAATGCTCGTCTCTGTGGCGGATTTTGTTGGTGTATCAAAATCCTCAGCCAGCAGAATTGTGAGCAATATATCTGAGGCTATAGCTATGCTTTATAGTAAACATGTGGTAATGCACCAGAATAGTACAACCAAATTTTATAGTATAGCTCAATTTCCCCGAGTTTTAGGTGTTATTGATTGCACTCATGTACGCATTCAATGTCCAGGTAAATTTGTGAAGGCACAATTAAGTATTTTTTAAAAATAAAAAGTTCCAGTTTGGGAGATTTCGCCTTCTTTCAGATCTTATTGCAATTGATGAATATAGAAATAATAATGGCTATATTTCATTAAATGTTCAGGCTGTTTGTGATGCTGATTTGAAACTGATGAATGTGGTAGCTCGCTGGCCTGGATCTACTCATGATGCTACCATATTCAACAATTCAGTTTTAAGAGGTAAGTCTATATTATATTGCTGACTAGTCTTTTGTTTTTGATAGACCATTAACTTATCAATATAAAATTATTTATTTTACAGCCAAGTGTGATGTTGGAACATATGGCAATCGTTGGTTGCTTGGTGATAGTGCCTATCCCAACAGATCATATTTGCTTACCCCAGTATTACATCCAAATACAAGTCAAGAGCTGAGATACAATGAGGCACACATCACAACAAGAAATACTATTGAACAGTGGGTTACTACTTATGGAATTATGAACAAAAGATATATTTAAATATGATTTAAATGTTGAAAACAGATTTAAGTGGGGCTCCCGTACAACAGACATGATTTTTTTGCCGTGTTTATAGATAATGATACGGAACTCTTTGTGTGCGACTCCGCCTCGCACTTGGTCGGTTTTATATTATAGCCCACAATAGTTATAAGTAGAAAGAGAGTCAATTAATTTAAAAATTGTTTAGCCTCATGATATCTTTTATGAACTTGGGATATTGTTGTTATAATTAAACAAATACATATTTTGCCAATTGTGTACATAATTTTTTGAAAACTAACATAAACCAATAGTTTTAAGTTACTTTATAGTGCTAATCTCTGCACTTAAGATTAAACATTAAAACTTGTATGTAAACTGGAAAGGATTTAATATTAGATGCGCGCAGCATTGCTTCAAATGCTAAATAACAAAATATATATAGATAAAGGACGTTAAGAATTTCGACGGTATGGCAATCAGCCGTTTAGCTTGAAGCGTCAGGCCGCGAATGCCGAAGACGTGGGTTCGATTCCCACAGCGGCGACATTCTTTTCGTACTTTTTCTACAAGTTTTAATGTTTTAATAAACCAATAATTTTTATTTTTCAGAACTTTTGGCATATGGAAACGAAGATTCCCTGTAATCGCTATGACAATGCGTCTGTCACAACACAACATACAAGCAGTTATAATAGCAACAGCTGTTCTACATAATATGTGCAGAAATTATAATATTGAAGAGGTGCCCCCAGAGGTAGAGTTGCAAGCCTCGGATGTTAATGAAGTTGAAATTTACGAAGGTCTGTCTGAGCAGAGTTTCAGTGAAAGGACAAAACTAATAAATTAATTCTTTTAAAACTAGTCTTTTACTATGCACTAAAAGAAATTGATTATTTATCCTATTTATTTTACTACTAAAAGAATTTATAAATTTCAAAGTATGTTTATTGAGAAGTATAGTTTTTTTTTTAAACATCCAATTTCTAATGGTACTATGCAAGGAAACAAAAACATTCCTTGTACAGAGGGGGGCCTTTGCCAAGCGGTAGGATTTTTATAGGCTGTTACAAATTGGATGATTCGGTGGCGCCGTTGCTAAGTTATTGGCTTTGGCGTTGGCGGTCGTGCGATCGATTCACACACGGGATAAGTATTTGTGTGACCAACAGATAAATGTTCCAGATCTGGGGCAGTAAAAAATAGCCAAAACCGCTTACAACATAATTCGCATCTTGTGCTGACCCACATAGGTTTGATAAGGGCAGGAGGAAAATGACTTAACTTTGTAATTATTAATGTGGGCACGTGCGTTTTTCATTTACAAATATTTTTAATCGATAGAGAAATAGAGGCTGCTACTTGGCCCTACCGCCGAAGTTTAGCTAATTTCGTGCTTTAAATATGTTCCACTGTCGAATTATGGCTCGAATCTCTACCTCATTGGATTGTTTCGTGCACCCTTTTATAAAATGGTTGGATCAGCGGAGCGGACTGCATAATCATGTCATCGTCATGCACTAGCTAAATTGTTTCTACTCTGCACTGCAGCTGTATATCGCATGGGTAACAGCAAACTAAATTACCAAATTAACCTTTTTTTTTGTATCTTCAACACAATGAAAAAAAAAAGAAGGAATGAAGTTGTCAATTGTCATATGCATATCTGTCAAATTTTCATCGTAATGGAAGTAACTGAGCTTCTAGGCATCTTTCAGGGTTTCTCTGTAAAGTATTAATTAAAAAAAATGGAGTGTGAAAAAAAATATTTCTGTCACAATTATAACAAGGCGTTTTGTGAGCAATGAATTGGTTTGGTTTATAACAATGTCTTCGCCGTCAGCTGTTGTATGCCGTGAAATATTCGATGAAAATAGTCAACCGTCGGCCGATGGTTTGTATTTATTATTATTGAATAAATAATACATAACATCATTTATATTTTTGTGCCCATTTATTCAAAATATATATTTGAAGACTTGTTCTTTACTTCGTCCCCAATTTCTGGTAGAATTTAGAGCAACAATAATTTGCTATTTGTTGTAAAATTTAGGCTTTGCTTTCAATTTAATCATTACAAAAAGAGCAATAAATTAAATTGTACATGTTTTAAAATGGATTATCTCTCTAAAAGCGGATTAAGACATATTTAGAATGTTTAAATTAGCCTAATTAAAACACTGTAACAAAGTTTGAAACATTTTTAAACTTAAGAGATCTCCAAATATTGCTAATTTAAGACCTATTAATTTTAGCTAGGACTTTTGATGAATTTAAAAATATTATGTAATTTTATGAAAAATGTATCATGTGTTGTGCATCAGTGGCATTATATTTTTATGTTTGTTACAGAAATATCTGAATATGCTCAACAATTGGGAATTGATCCAGAAAGTGAGAGTCATCTTTTACCCTTGGCACGTGAAGGGCTTATGCAGGCTCTTCCACCACCATGGAGAGCATAGTATGTAGATATGTTCACTTTTTGTTATAGACTTTTTTATATTTAGAGGGAAACATCAAAAGATACCCAGACACCTGGGGAAGGTCAGGATTTGAGGTTTCTACCCTCTAAAACCTCACATTGGCCCCTATCTGTGTAATGTGTTGGTTCTGGCACATCCTTGCATTTAGCTTAAGCAGAGCAGAAAATTTTGTAGAACAGAATAATGGGATGGAAAATATGGGCTGAAAATGAGAAATTATATGGGATGGTAGTCTTAATGTCATTTACATTGATAGAAAATAAAATAACAACCTATATACGGCCAATTACTGGGCAAAGGCTTAATCTGTACTTAGAGCATACTAGTCTTTTACAGTCAAGATATGTTGATTCCACTGTGGTTGAGTGGAGAGATATCTTGAGTGCAAAAGACTAGTATAAAAGAACTGTATAACTTTTCCATGTTTCTTGGTGTGTGGTGTTTTTAACAAATCTAACATTTCTGTCTCCCATCAGTTTTGATGAGAAACTTCAAACACACTATTACTACAATGAGGAGACTAAAAGCACCCAGTGGGAACATCCGCTAGATAATGTCTACAGAGAACTTGTGAAACGTGCAAGAGATGCATCAGTGCATGATGACACTTGCGCTTCTGTACAGGTGAGTTGTAATTGTAGTTCCTATCCAAACTTTCAACAAAAGGATTTGTAGAAAGCTCTGATTTATTTAACTTTAATAAGATAAATAAACCGATCCATGTTTTGCCGACCTCTTTAAAGACTTTGACCATGTCAAGTTGCTGACATTGCATATTACTACAAAGTTTAACTAAATCCAATCTCTGACAGAAGTTACACTCGGACTGGGAATAGTGATTTGTCTCGCTTAAATTAGCATCCAGTACGGTTATCGAACACACTGCCTGGCGCACATCACAATTAGCGAGGTGACCGTCAGTACCATTGCTATATGTGGCCGCACTGTCTCTTCCGTCCAAGGAGTTACCGACGTCCGAGGACAACACGAAGAACCTCGAGCGGGTCGAGACCAGGGTCGAGAGCGACGACGACGACCTCTCCACCGACAGCGAGCAGCGCCCCTCCGAGGCGAGGCGGGGGCGCCCTCTGCCCCGCCATGCCCTCGCCCCCCTCGCCCCCCTGGCGCCCCTCGCCCCCCTCGCCCCCCTGGCCCGCCTGGAGCGCAAGCTGGGCGATCTGCGCGTGTCGCCGCTGCGGCGCAGTGTCGACGCCCCCCCCTCCCCGAGGCCCCCCCTCCTGAGGAACACCTCGGACAGGGACCTCCTGCCGCGCCCCCCCTCCCAAGATCGCCCGCGGACGCTCGCCAAGCAGCAGTCGGAGGTCATCGACCTGAGGCTGCACACGCTCAGCAGCCCCGAGGAGGAGGCGTTCAGCCCGCTCCAGACGGCCGCCAGGGTCGACACTGGACTGCCGTTCGCGGGTGAGCCCCTCGTGACGTCAGCACGGACTCTAGCGATCTCTCAATTGTTCTCCATGTGTTTGGATAACTTTTTTGTTAGAACGAGTTGTCCTATGGCGATGTAAACTTGCCAAAATATATCTCACGGCTTCTGCACATCTGCTGCTCGCAAGATAGATTTTATAACAATATATATGCAGAAGGATTTTATACACGCTTTTAAAACCATAAAATAAAATAATTTCATGAAGTGATATTAGGGAGATTTAAAATTCTACACAGATTCCAAGCGAGGTAGGGCCAAGCAACGTCTTTGGCTGTTGCACAAACGGGCAGGTCCGTCCGGGTAAGAACGGCGACTTTACAGAAGACCGGCGTTAAGTGAGCGTTATGCTTCAGCGTTATGCTTCTGCGTTTCACCCGGTGAGTGAGGTAGCCGGGGCCCATTTTATTGACAGGTGGCAAAGCATCGACGGGCATTTAACATCAGGTGAACCGCCAGCTCGTTTGCCACCTTCTCACCAGGCAAGGGCGGCATGTTCCTCAAGCTGTCGCGGCCCGAGCTGCCCAGCCCCGAGGCGGAGAAGTCGCTGACGAGGAGTGACCCCCCCAAGGGCATCCTGCGTGAGAAGCCCGAGCCGCCGCCGCGGAGGGGCGAAGGCCCCAAGCACAGCGCCAGCCTCGACGAGGACAGGAAGAGCGTCAGGTGCGCAAGCTACGACGCCCCCGTTCTATTCTCTTGCACAATAAGTACACTCATTAAAGTTTGTAGAAAAACAGCAAATCCGCGGCCGATTGCGGCCGATTGCCATAGAGACGAAAATCTTAACGTCTTTTATCTACGTTGTTTTTCTTAGCATTTGAAGCAATGCTTGGCGCATCTAGAATCGAGCGCGGGACGTCGTCATCGCTCGTTTAGAAATAAATTTTTCAATGAGTAGGTTCAAGCTGGAGCAGGCGCCGGAGCCCAGCAGCCCCTCGGAGCGGAGCGAGGTGGCAGCGCCCCGCTCGGGGCCGCTGCTGCGCCGGCCGCCGCTGCCGCCCCGGCCCGCCGACAGGGATGCGCCCGGTGAGCGAGCCATTTTCGGATAGATACACTATACAATACACGGGAACCGAGACAAATCATCCACTGTTTCAAGGTTGGATAACTGTATGTGACTAATCATCATTTGTTGTGCTGACCAGACTATCACAGACACCTGTAAGAATATAGGTCGCTATGCTGTTGTGACTCTTGAAGTAAACTGTTTCACTATTATAATCAAACTACGTTTCGTTCACCTATCTTCTACTTGATAAAACTCGATGACTGACTGACAGACGAATCGCAGCACAAATCGGAGGGTCTAGAAGCGAGAAGTTATGCACGAGAGCTCCTTATATAATCAGGGTGAGACTAAGAGAGGATCTATTAAGAATTCATGCTATGATCCCCTATGGAGGTCGAATATAGTGGGTTGTTGCTAGTTGCATATTTGTGAATTCTCTCATATTTATTGTATAACACGTTGCTAGATCATTTGTTAATATGTATTTTATCTGTACCGAAGTATGTTTGTTTGTATAAAATACTTCACTTACCCATTGTAAAAAGTTCGAATGATATGTAATTTTGAAAACTGAAACGTTTTTATGAATCGATGCTAAAATTTTTGTTTGATTAGTGAAAGCTACCCGAATTTTATATTATACGTGTAATTCGATTGAAAATGTTTTTTTTTTCTGTTATATGATAAAATGATAGGATGGATAAATGCATATTATTTAAATAATATATTCATTGTCGCTTTATTTAAATCTGTAAACTATTGCTAGGTTTCGTTGGTCGTGAGAGCTAGAAACTTTTGATTTCCACTATAAATGCTTGTATAGTGAATTTATAAATCCTAAATTTCTTTTGTCCCGCTAACCTTCGGTAAGCCGGGCTTGTATTACTATTTTGTGTGGAAGGACTTGAGTAGTAAGTCCCAAAGACCATTGCGACCTAGATGATGTGTTGTAGTGTTCACATCGAAAATGTTGCTCCCTCACTGTAGGATTACATTATCCAGTGTTGCGAGGACGTTTACGCACATAAGTTTCACGCGGACAAACACCCGGATCCGAAACAACTATCCGTGGTTCACACCAGTCGTCCCTTGTGGGAATCGAAGCCACGACAACGAACAGAGAGAGTGATTGCGCCCAGACGGGGACGAGAGGGGCCGCGAGAGGTCGCCGCGGCGGCGGCTGCTGCGCCCGCCGGCCTCGGACTACATCAAGCCGGAGCTGTTCCAGAAGAGCTTCCACAAGATCTCGGAGCTGGTGCGGCGCGCGGACGCGGACTCGCCCCCGCCCCCGCCCCCGCCCGCGCAGGGCGCCGCCCCGCCAGCGCTCGACCCGGAGTCCCGCCCCAGGTGGGACCTAGCCCCACTGCCTCCCTCACTCACAGGACATAATTGACGTAGGAGAGAAGTCCCATTACACTGCAGAACGAGCTCTCAGGACTTCTGCTTATGGTCGTGACAACACACCAATCGTGTTGGTATTGGGTAGGTTTTTCACGAACGACCACAGCCTGATCTTTGGGTTACTCAAATACATGTCCCATATGGGAATGAAAGCTCACTTAATTGCGCCTTCGAATGTCCAACTGTATTAATTTATAATAATAAGGCGTCCATTTTACGCAAAATAATCTTTTGTAAGTTCCAAAAGGTCATTAATATATTTTTATTTATAAAATATCGCAGATCACCCATGATACCGCAAAAGAACAAGATATCTATAAACCTCATGGAGAGTATAGAATCGGAAACTTCCATCGATTCGCCCGATAGGGAGTTTGCCAACTTGGACCTGAATGACCTGGACGAGTCCAACGAGAGCCACGAGAGCCACGACAGCCAACAGAGGGAGACAACACAGGACCCCAAACACACAGACAAGGTCACCAGTCCCACGCAAACGCAGGAGAAGTCTGAAGACAACAATCCTAAAGAATCAGAGCCTATCTCCAACAGGCCTCAGTGCATCGCTGACGTTCCCATACCGCAGATAAAGGTCCCCAAGTTGGATTTCTCCAAACAGACAAAGTTCGCGCATTCCGATTCCGAAGACTCGAGGAAGTCCACGAACATAGAGGACTTGAAAAGCACAACAAGATCGAACAGCATAGACATACCGAAAGACAACAGGAACCTGATCAAACTCTCCCCTACTCCAAGCTTGGGCGATAGATCGCCTAAACTGGACTTCGCCAAAACCTGGTCCACCCCACTCTCGACCTTCAAACCGTTGGGTAAAGTCGGAATCGCGTCGCCGAACAAGTCCACCGATACGGTGACTAGCATCGGGAAAACTGCCAGCCCCAGATTGGACGGTGTGATAATATCCCAGGGCAAGACCAGCTCGGACAACGTCGTGGTGGTGTATCAGTTCGAAACCCAAGAGGAGAGTTTCCCGAAGCCCATCAAGTCTCCCCTCATACCCGACATGGGGACGAGGGAGTTCATGGAGAGGAACAAAAACGACGAGAGAAGGAGACTGGAGCTGGCTCTGCAGAAGGAACTTGAGTTGATAAGAATGGAGTGGTCCGCTAAAGAGAAGAAGATGAGAGCGGAGTTGCAAGAAGAGATAGCGCAGGCGGAGCAAAAGTTCTTGGCCGAGAAGAAAATGAGACTGACCGAACAAGCGGACAGGCATAAAAAAGAAATGGAGGAGGTGAGTTCGGACTTGATAAATTTTTTTAATAAGGTTAATTTATTTTTTATACTGTAGTGACGTCTGAACTTACGATTTGAACTATTATAGCAAGTTTCCATTATTATAGCGTGCTCTGTTCAGAATTTTCATGTGTCAAATCATCCAGTGATGAAGTTGATCGTACTAGGCATATACAAGATTCCCGCCCCTCTACTTGAAAAGCAAGATAAATTAAATAAAATATAGAAATAAAGAAGCATATGGTAAATGGTACCTACTCATCGCGCTAAGAAAAAAAATTCACCAAGTTTTGTCGCCCCCCTAATTTTGGGCCTACTCGGCCTAAAGGGAAATCCGCCCGGAGGCCATTGAAAAGTGGGCACGGGCTCGAAACACTATAGCACTGAAGCGGTAGGGGGGCGTTGCGTACAGTCCATCGGCGGTCCGCAGGCGCTGAGCGAGGCGCGGGCGCGGCACGAGCGGGCGATGGAGGCGCGCTGCGCGAGCTGGCCGAGGCGCGCGACGCCGAGGCGGCGGCGGCCGAGGCGCGCCAGCGCGACGCCCTCGCGCGCCTCCGCGGCCTCTGCGCCGACCGCCTCGCCGAGGAGAAGGAGCGCCTCGAGATCGGTCACTCTCCTCTCTCTCGTTTCTCTCTCTCTCTTTCCCCCCGAGACTGTCAAATGAAACTTTTCTAAGGATTTTAGGCAGCTCCGGCCGGGGAGGTGCCAGGACCTGCTGGTACCTGTGAAGTGGAAGTTATACTTCTACGGTTCGTCTGATAAGTGAGCGAGTCGAGGCCGACTTTACTAAAAGGTGGCAACGCATCCGCTTGCAAATGTCTATGGGCGGCGGTGGTTAACACTTAACGTCAGGTCTACCACCAGGTCGTTTGCCACTTTCTCACATAAGAAAGCCTATCTTTAATTGTATTGAGGTAACCATAAAAGAATTCTGCATTGCAGAGAACGAACGGACCCTAGCCGAAGTGAGGGAGCAGCTGCAACTGGAGTTGAGCAAGGAGAGGTCTCGGATGGTTGAGGAGAACAGGGCCACCATAGAGGCCCTACGGGAGGAGCACACCAACAGGGTCACAGACCTGAGGCTGGACTATAGGGCTGAGGTTTGGTCAATCGTGTTTCTTTTTCTGCCATGTTATTTTGTGTCGTTATTTGTACTCTAGAAAGATTTTAATAATTTAAAAGTTTCTAGTCGGTTCTTCGTTCAACAGCTGTAAATTATTGAGTTTTATGGTTTTCGATGTAATGAGAATTTCAAAAGATTATGCATAATAAATAATGTTCCTTTTCTTATGAAAGTGAAAATTATCGTGGTAGGCTGGAACTAAAATTGTTTTTAACATGCACAATTGGATTGGATTAATGTTTGCAGAATACTTGTTTTTTAAATAAATATGTAGATAAAGAACACTTTTCATTGGCGCAGACCTTGATCAGGCGCAGGCGCATCGTAGGCAAAATCGCCTGATTTTTATAATACACTGAAGATTGTATACATTACTACTTAAGTAGGGTTTGAGGGTGCTGTACCAACTGAAAGCGGAAGCTCGTGGAGACGTAGCCCCCGAAGCTCTGGTAGCTCCGTACAGTTTATGGATAGAAAGCACGAAGGTGAGTCGGGAGTGGCTGTGGCTGTGCTCTGAAGCTTTGTAAAGTCTGCGGACTTAAGGCCAAAGCTTGTGGAAACGTAGCCTTTGTGCGGTCTACAGACTGAACTACTAGAACGACCTTGTTGTGGTCTACTGCGGCTCTATGCGGTCCGCGGAGCGAACGGAGCCTCTGTGCGGTCCGCGGAGCGAAGGGAGCTTTAGTGGCAGCGGGTGGTATCTGCGGACTGAAGAGAGTTATGGTCTCGGAGCGACTGTAGCTCGAGTGGCGGCGGTGGCAGGTGGAACGGCTGCGGCGGCAGCAGGCCTGCCACGTGGCGGAGGTGCGCGCGCGGCTGCTGGGCGAGCGCGCCGCGGCCGCGCGCCTCGCCCCGCCAGAGCGCGACCTGCCCGCCAAGTACCGCTGCCTCAAGGAGAAGTACGCGCGCCTCAAGCACGACGTCAAGGTGCGCCCGTCTCCCTCTTACGACAGGTTGTCTCGCTCGCACTTCACTTCGATCTTCTGCCAGGTCGGACTGGACCCGGGACGGACCTGCCCGTTCGTGCGACGGCAAGGACTGTCGCGTAGCACTACCACAGTTTGAATACTTATCTCTGTGTATATTTAAGTGTGTGAGCTAGCGATTGTCCCGGGGGGACGTCGAATTTCATTTCAATCCACCGGACGAAACACGAAACTTCAATACTTCCCCTTCACATCAATCTCCTGCGAGGCCACGGTACTGCCCCGGACGCGTGCGCCCATTGATGCGACAGTGGAAGCTGTCGCGTGGCCCTAACACAGCAAAAGGGGTTTCGCCCGCAGATGTCCATCGAGCGGCGCAACAAGCGTCGCGAGCTGAGCATGGCCACCGGCTCCGAGACGGACAAGTCCAACTCGCACAAGGCGACGCACTCTCTGGAGAGGTGAGCGCACTTGGAGTAGAACAACTCTTATAACCCTCCGGTTGGCTGGTAGAAAATGCCTTATGACATTAAACCGGGCGTTTGTTAGTAGTATAAAGAGTTAAAATAAAAGTTATAAATAAACAAGGGGGCCCGCAGCATACATACTCACAAGGTTCCGCCTTAAAACCACTCCATTAACGCATTCTTCAAACTATGGAGTCTCGCAGGGTTCCGCCTTAGGACCGCTCCATTGACGCATTCTTCAAACTATGGAGTCTCCCAGTATCCATGTATTAGACGTGTTATTCGTAAGTGTTCGTAGTGGTAAAGATTTGTATACATAATCGTCGTGAAAGTTGTTTCTTAAATTAAAATTTAACTAAGGTAAAACTCATAGAAAATACACCCAAGAAAGCTTATTTGCTAAAAAAGAAAATGCAATGTTGTTATTATTCCTTTCATTTAATTATCATTAACGGTGGTCATAAATTTGAATGGAGAATAATAAGAGTAAGTTCTATCACAATTCTTCTCAACACGGCAAAGATTGAAATGCACGTCCATAAAAATGCCAGATGCAAGGAGGCGAACGAGTCGTCGCCGAGCGTCGAACCCGAGCCGCCGCGCCCGAAGCCCAACAACAACCCCGCCGCTAAAAGCAACGAAAACGAGACGTCCATCTCGGAGGGCAACGCGCACAGATCGGACAACAACAACGACGATTGGAAGGCGAAGAGCAACGTGAGTGTTGCTACGCTCGATTGTTTTTTTTTTTATGTGAGAAAGTGGCAAACGGCCAGCGGCACGGCAGCTGGCGGCCCACCCGATGTGAAGTGATAGCGCCTATGGACATTTGCAACAACCAAAATGGGCCCCGGGTACCTCAGTCACCAGACGAAACGCAGAAGTGTAACACTTCCACTTCACGCTCGTCTTCTGTGAGGTCGTTGTACTAACTCGGACGGAGCTGCCCATTCGTACAACAGCGAAAACTGTTGCGTGGTCCTACCACACAATTAATCAATCAAATTCAAAATATCTTTGTTCAAATCCCTCCTTTCTAATAGTATAAAGGCGAAAGTTTGTATGTATGGATGGATGTTTGTTACTCTCACGCAAATACTACTGAATGGATTTTAATGAAACTTTAATAATAATATTGCTTACAACTTTACAACTATGACGTCCCACAGGATGCATCATCCGAGATGGTCAGTGATGAGGCTGTACCTGCCGCGGAAGCTTGGTGGGAGGGGCTTTTTAAGCGCCCTCACCATGCACAATCGCGAGGTGTGCAGCCTCCGCAACTACTTTCTGGCGAGATCGGATGAGTCGATCTGTACGGACGTCATTAGTTGTGATAAAGGACTTACCCCTCTATCCTTAGCCAACGAGCAATGGCAGGACCCGGGAGTGCTGAGCGTTTTCGACCGGGAGGCCATATGGAAGGAGAAAGAGCTCCACGGGAGGTTCTACAAAGCTCTACACGAGCTTTTTGTAGATACTCTTGCCTCCCTTAACTGGCTACGTTTCGGTGACCTCTTTGGGGAAACCGAAGGTTTTGTCTGTGCGATACAGGATCAGGTTATTAAGACGAACAACTATCGGAAATACATCCTAAGGGATGGCACCGTCGACATCTGTCGAGCTTGTCGCCATCCCGGGGAGTCGCTTCGGCATGTTATCTCCGGTTGTTCCATGCTTTCTAACTCTGAGTATCTGCATAGACACAACCTAGTAGCCAGAATCCTACACCAGGAGCTCGCTCTGAAATACGGCCTCGTGGATCGGAAACTGCCGTACTATAAGTACTCTCCGGAGGCCGTGCTCGAAAATGACCGCGCCAGGCTCTATTGGGACCGGCCCATCATCACGGACAGGACGATTGTCGCGAACAAACCTGACATCGTGGTGATGGACCGGGCACAGTCGCGGGTATTTTTGGTCGACATTACCATTCCATATGACGAGAACCTCGTGAAAGCCGAAACAGATAAGAAGACGAAGTATCTGGACCTGGCTCACGAGGTGACCGACATGTGGGGTGGTGTGCCGACCGAAATTATCCCGATAGTCGTGTCTGCGAATGGGTTAATCCCAGTCAGCCTTTCCGGACATCTGAGGCGACTGGGACTCCGGGACGAAAAGCTCCAAGCTCAAATGCAGAAGACGATGCTCCTCGATACCGCCCCATCGTCCGCCGGTTTCTCTCCCTCTCACCCTAACCCTCGGCCGTTTGGTCTCCCCTGCCGAGGGCTTCCGTCTGGCTATATGTTTATTTTTATTCATAATATTTATTTTATATACAATACAATACAATACATTTTATATATGCAATATATATTTATATGTTTATTTTTTATCTATAAACCCAACCAGACGAGAAAACAAAGAAATATCCCCATAATATAATATTGCTTATACATCAGAATAAGACATAGGCTTTAAATATATATATTTTATGTATATCTGTCTTTCTGTCTGAATGTTGCGCCTTCAGCCTATTCTACGCAGACGTAGTCGCGGGTAGCAGCTAGCAGTACTATAGACTACAAAGAGTTTATTGATCGCGTTGACCGAGCTATCACTGCTTAGTATATCGCTATCTACCGGCGTTACCTGCATGGAACAAGCGGAGTAGGTTTCATGGTATTAAGTGGTAGGAATTTGCCCTCAGACATTCCCGTCCGCCTTGCTGGAGAGGGGCGAGAGGAGTGAGAGGGGCGAGAGGGGCGAGAGGGGGGCGAGGGGCGAGAGGGGCGGTCGCAGGGCCGCCGTGGCCTTCCGGGACCCTCCCCGCCCCCAACAGCCGCACAGAGGTACCGTTTATATGAAGGTCTTGGCGATTAACAGTCTCCTTTTTGTGGTATATGGTAATAGTGTAAACTTTACACTGTAAAGAGTTCATAAATAGTTTATCAAAGTCTACAAATGGTATGAAATATTCAAAAAAAAATCACTAGTCACTAATTACCGGTCATATAGGTTATCGAACACGCGATATTTAGGATTGGTTTGGTATCGATTCGATGGAGGCGAACCGCGTACTCACTTAAATTAGGAGCACAACGTACGTAAATGCACGTAAGTGAAATGTGCATAAGATGCGTAAAATGACAAAGATGAGCTGTTCGTATCATTTCAACCTATTCTAGTCCACCGCTGAACCTAGGCCACTCACTTAGTTTTAGTTATACCGGTTTACTTTTGTGCAGGCGCCGCCACAGATTACCAAGATTCATCAGACGCGACCACAGCTGATGAGAGACCCAAAGAAGCGATGAATGGTACGCTTATATAACACAAATAAAAGAATATGATTAACACTTCTTCTAAAAGATAGTAATAAATAACTATTTACTATCTCTTTCTACTCAACTGAACTTGATTGTTTCCAGTTATTTAACAACGTCTTTGATAATTGTGCTTTTAATTTATATTTGTGCACATTTTTTATTAATAAATCACGTTATCATTCAAGAATTTTGTCAAGCTTTCGATGAACATTTCAGTCGTGGATTTTTAATTGCCTCATGGTCATACAAAATACATTTTTAAGGGTTTTATCGCGTTTATGTCAGTTACCGTCATCATAACGACTCCTCTCTTTCAACCTCTATCAACTTTATCCATGTATCGTTGCAATCAAATGGTACTGGGGCGAATTAAAAGAGGGATTCGATAAAAGCGTTGTTTGCCGTTTCCAGTTCCTTGTTTGAGGCTAGAATTAGAAGCGCACTGAGAAAATAAGGGGCGTTATAAAGGAACATTGTCAAGACACGACTGCTGCAGGATTTAATTAGCCTTTATTTTGTTAAACTAAATCATACAATTACTGTTCTAGCTGTAAACTTTATCTAAAATATAAAGAAAGTAAAAAAAAAATAATTGATTGTTTCAGGTCATGGGAGGCGCAGGTGTTTCACCAGGCTAAAGTCAGCCTCTACATCCAGACTCAATTATTCCCCCAAGTAAGATGACATTCGCTGTATAGAAAGTTGGCATTAAACTTATCGATATTAAAATACAGGAACTAACAGCGTTCCCTGCGGGACTCCCGTTGATTAATTAACAATCGTATGAGCAATTATGGCAATGATCGCTAATAATAAAAGTTTATATTTTTGTGTACGTTTGTTTATTCCCTCATGACGCCGAACAACGGCTAAGCGAATATTTAATATTTGTTGTTACGCTTGTATCTTGATGATAAGGACACATTGAATTTTGTAATTATAAAAAAATAACTAAGTCATACATATCCCATTGTAACTGAACCCCCCCTTTTTGCGTATATATAATTTAACTTATATATATTTTTTGCTCCGTTATATGAATAAATCATATAACATCATTACGTGACCAAGATAATCTATTGATCTTTCTATAGAATCTTTCTAAAGGTAATAATTAGCCGTATGAAATATTATTGTGATCGTCATATTCGGTAGGACCTTATTTACGTTGTGTTTCTTTAGTAACTTGATTCTTTTAGGTGAATCTTGGATAGATAATTATTCACTAGTCGCGGTATGAGCCAGAGATAATGTCAGATTGCTTTCTTATTAACTAACCCCGACTCGCTTGAGACGGGCTCAGAGTATATCGTATACTCCCTCTCACGCTTGTAAAGGGCTCACAATATAATTTTAATCTAATATCCCTTCTCTCTTGAAAAGGGCTCACATCAATTTTACATACCCGATACAAGTCAACAGCTCCCCACATTTAAAAAAAATGTAGGGAAGGCACACGGCTCCATGAAAACACTCACCAACGCCGTGTGCGGTGAGCGCCAACCAACATATTGCGCAATGTCACTAAATGCAACATGCATCAATACAACTATCGCAGGTCAACACGCCAACATGCAGCTTATCCGCATACACAGCAGACATCATCACCTCGAACCTCCGTCAACCAGAATCATACGATGCAATGATATTAGGCGCAGATCACCCCGCAACTACCACAAGACGCATTTACTGCATATAGCCGCATGCATCAATGTGACTATCGCGTAGATGGCACACCCTCACACCACACCAATATAACTCCAATGAACTTCGGCTCCAAAGTTTAGAATATACTCGGAACACACGAAGTGTCCAAACATACTCTTTCACGATCTGAATGATAGTCGACGTATCATAGCGTAAACACTAAGACGCCAACCACTTACGGACCCCCACTCAAGCCAAGTAATAGCCAACGTATCATAGTGGAATACACTAAGACGCAAGCCACCACCAGACTCCCCAAAGTCAGATGATCAGTCGACGTATCATAGTGCAACACACTAAGACGCCAACTACCACCAAACTCTTACTATGCCGAATGACAGCTAACGTATCATAGTGATGGTCACTAAGACGCCAACTACCACCAGCTATCGATGATATGTCCACCACTGAGGACATATCCATTCATGGTTCCACGTTTACCGTAGACCATATCGTCGTACAGAAGTACCACGCAACTCCATAGTAATATGTCTTATAAAGTCCCAAGTCATTCATTGCTCTTCATTATATTTATATATTTATTATTTTTTCTCTGAGCCTTCACATATTATCACTTTTATTCAGACCTTACTTCCATATGATATTGGTATGGGACGTTCATACAATGTACTTTGACTATAGTACTAAGAGTCGCGATCGACCTCTGTACTTACATATGTGCGGAAATACAAATGTGTCCCCGCACGGTACATAATACTTCCCTTAGAAATCACTAAGTATGGAATTGTATTTAATGGACATAATAGTGATCGTATCTTGCTATATTTTTAATAAATATCCTTTTTTGAGTATTTTAAGTGATTTTTTATCAATTTTGGTAATATCATTTTCTCATACTAACACTTATATTTCTTTAATTTAAGTATATATTATTAACTTTTGTTGTGATTGAACGTTCTTAAACGTTTTATTTTCATCTTAATTGATCTTTATTATGACTAATTAATAATAATATTTATTATTATTAATAGGTCGTTACACTATATTCTATAATCTAATGTAACGTGTAAATAATATTTACCCATCGTTGCGGTTGTCTTATTGAAAACATTAAAAATATATGTAAGAAAATCAATTATTTAGAAAAAAAGTTGCCTGTTGAGCAGCCGAGGTTAATGTATTGTATTATTATTATTAGTCAACGATCGAATCACATCAAATTACATTTTAAGACGTAAGTCGATTGAGTTTAAAACACCATTGTCCAAACGTTCTTTAACACATTGCAGTATTTCGAGTTGAGGTAATTGTACAGTTTTGTCTATCGCCATAGAGGTCGGCAGAAATTTGGCCCTACAAATCCCATCCCCGGTTGATTTATGCTCGATCTGGATCTTATGCACCCATTCGATGATATTCCATATTCTCGTCTCCGTGATTTGCGCTTCCTCGTAACCTCATGCACCACTCGATGCCATGGTTTTTCGTATCTTTTACGTTTTCCATATTACCCATTTCCGGGTGATTTGGGCTCCCTCCTAACCTCATGCACCAATCGACGCTCGGTCTAGCGGCTGAACGGGCAATCTCTGATCGTGGCAGACGCAGCGAGGGCTGGGGCGGGCCGCTGGAGGCGCTGCGCCAGCAGCTGAGGAAGCTGGACGAGCTGGAGGAGCAGTGCCCCGACCTGGCCTGCCAGCCGCCCTACGCGCTGCCCTACCCCTTCGCGGACCTGGGTACTTGCCCATTCCAGCCTGTTCTTATCGTGAAATCGAGCGAATACGGTTCGCCCGTTGTTGTCAGTAATTATCGCCGCCCATGGACATTTACAACACTTGTAGGGTTACGGATGCGTTCCCAAGTATCAAAAAAAGTGGTAGTGACTAGAAATCCCTCGCTGTCATTCGCGGGTGGTAGTTAGAGAAGGAAGGATGGGAGGGAGCGAGATAAAAGGTGTGTGTGGCGCAGAGTCGGTGCGTGGCGGGGGCGGTGGCGGTGGCGGGGGCGCGCCCGAGCTGGAGTTCGTGCGGCACCGCGCGCTCGTGGAGCGCGAGGGCATGCGCCGCGCCAGGGCCGTGCTGCGCAGGAGGCGCGCCGCGCTCAGGGACGCCGCCTCGGTGAGTTCGCCGAGCGGGGCGAGGTCGGCGAGTAACCAAACGCACAGTACACACTATCGTATAACTTGTAATCATATACGTACCGCGAACATGCACTCATCGCACTCATCGCACTTATCGCGATGAAGAACCTCCCGTTAGGACCAACACTAGTTAGTACATACGCTAACTGGTCGTCAGGTTAGCCCTTTGTTAAATGTCTTATGAATGTTTTAATAATGTAACTTGTAATGCTTGACAAACTATGAGAACAAATTCACATTCTAACGGTACATAACTTTGAACTTCTGTTTTTTTTTCTATTATTTAAAATTTTGACATACAGTGGACAGTCCACTTTGCGGGTTCGGGCGAATAAGTTTTTAACGTCGATTTTCACTACAAAACTTACAAATCTCGCCGCTCGGGCGATCAGCCTCGCTACTCGACTTCGTTAAGCTTAGCCGCGGTGAGGTGTTGCAATGTGGTGTGTGTGAGCGTGAGCGAGGGTGGCGTGCTGTGGCGGCGGCAGGAGGAGCGCGACGCGACCGAGCTCGAGGTGGCGCTGCACCGCGCGCGCGCCCTGCTCGGCGAGAAGGAGATCCGGCTGCGGCACATCGAGCGCGCGCTACGCTCGCTGCCGGACGCGCGCCCCGTCGCGCCGCTGCAGGTCCCGACGCGCTCGGCGCTCGGCGCTCGGCGCTCGATGCTCGATTATTTAGTCGCTCAAGAGCTCACCGCTCAGAATTTCTTTTCGTTGCTTGCTTCGACTTCTTTTTATTGGTTTCTCATTTTTCAACAGTGGTCTCATTTGTCGTTTGAGTTTGCCGCTATTACGTGTCGCTGTATAATTTTTGTTTGCTAATTGTCATTCGATGTTTTTTATCGCCCAAGTTTTCTTCGGTGCCGTTCCTCTCTATGCGTAAATGTACAATGTACACTGGTTTCTTTTTCGAAATATCTCAAGCAATGTCGCCTTTAGTTGTTGCATAAATTATTATCACAAACTAGTTAGTGGTTGATCATCATTGTATATTACAATTACAACATAGGTAAGTGTCGATGTTAATATGTCTGCCTGGTGGCCTGCTCATTCGCTTTGTCGTCTTTGAAACTTTAGCACTTTTATTCAGAATCTGATATGTTTCATTTATATCATCAGACATCAACACAGTCTATTCCACATGTGAATAAATCGATAAATAATATTTTCGCCAATACCTTACTTCGCTATTTCATCGTACGATATTCGAAACGGAAAATCCATAAAGCTATGCTCCCAGTGCGGATCATTATCAGACGTGGGCATCATTAAATAGGAGGCGTCAAGCAGCGAACCCAGCTCCGGCAGCGAGGCGGAGGGGGCGGAGGGTGTGGGGGATGTGGGGGGTGCAGGGGAGTATGCGGGCGGGGGGAGGAGCGGCGCGGTTCTGCGTTCGCTGCGCGCTCTGCACGCCGACGTGCGCCACATCTGGCGGGCGGTGCACGCCGCGCACGCAGGACACGGCACGGGTACTTAATACACACGTACACGCAACAGAACTTAAAATAAAGCAACATACATGTACCCACAATAGAACAACATAAAACAACACACACGTACACGCAACAGAACAACACAAAGCACAACACGTACACGCAACAGAACAACACAAAGCAACACACGTACACGCAACAGAACAACACAAAGCAACACACACGTACACGCAACAGAACAACACAAAGCAACACACACGTACACGCAACAGAACAACACAAAGCAACACACACGTACACGCAACAGAACAAACAACACAAAGCAACAACACGTACACGCAACAGAACAACACAAAGCAACAAATAACACAAAGCAACACACAAGTACACGTAACAGAACAACACAAAGCAACACACATGTACACGCAACAGAACAACACAAAGCAACACACGTACACGCAACAGCAAAACATAAAGCAACACATACGTATACACAACAATACAACGCAAAGCTACATACACAGTACACACAACAGCACAAAAGCACATGGAACACACCTTTTTATGTGAGAAGGTGACAAGCGAGATACCGGTTCACCTGATAATATGTGATGACCGCCCCCCATGTATATTTGCAACACACCTTTTTATGTGAGAAGGTGACCAGAAAGAGCTGATAATATGTGTACCGCCCCCCGTAGCAAAACCCAGAGCGCTGCCGTAGCACATGCGTTGCCACTTTAACAAAGCGGGCCCCGGCTGCCTGGTCTAAAGTTCGTGATACATACCCGGACGGACCTGAACATTCGTGCAACAGGGGAATCTGTCGTATGGCCCTACCGCTCTTAAAACTGGTAACACAACTGCTGACCCATAATTTGCACAACTATAATCACTTGCTATCAAATGAGAACCTCTGTTAAGAAATTACTTGTATATGGATGTAACAACGTCAGGCCAACATCGAAGAAGATATATGTAGTTCTGGATTCTAATGTAGTTCAGGTTCTAATTAACTGTAACGGTAACACTGAGCTTACACTTCAGTAAGATGAAACCCTAGGTGGCGCTCAATTCCTGTCTCGTCGTAACAGTCATAAATCCTATATTAGAGATCTGCATTTTATAACGACAACAACTTCTCTACGTTTACGTACTATTTACATAAATAGTAGCATACATAATGTTATGATTATTCTTACAGCCTCCCCCGAAACCAGTTCGTGCAATGTGCCTTCGACATCGCAGACCAAGATGACGTTTTCCGCAGTGAGTATATCATTTTCTTTTTTATATTTGTATTTATATTTATTCTGCGTTTTTGTGGTACGGCTATAACAAATAAGAAGCTTCATAAGAATCTTCTTCATTATTTTACATCGTTTATTCTCCACTGGTATACGTGATGGTATCATGGCACATGACAACCACCTACTTCTCCGACGGTCTCTTCATATCCTTCACTGCGACCTATATAAACTAATAAAGTAACGATTTGTTCCTGTCTTACATGTAACTTATGCATCGATCATGAAATAAGGTATGTATTTCACACTAGGCATTATTAAAGACGCACATGAGATGTGGAATAATTCTCAAAACACATGCCATTCTATTCACATCGAGAGAATTTGGCACCATTTTATCTGTTCCATGGTTTTCAACCTGTTACTTCTAAGTTATATTATGCGTTATTGCATTATCTATTCTTTTAATGTCCCGTTTTCAGGGTGAGCCATCGGTGAATGACAATTCTGACGGTGTTGCCGAAAGGGCGAAGGGGCTGCGAGCCTGGCTGCAGACTGCCCCGTGAAGGCTTTATCTGACTGATTAACTGTTGTCTCCTAACTTAGTGTAACTGCCGAACTGCTCAACGGCACACTCGTTCTCCAGCTATCAATTCCCGATGCCCTTCTGAGGATGCCAAACGCAAAACGCTACCGAATTACAATATTTCAATAGAAACTACACGTTATATAGAGAACAGTTTGTGTGCCATATATCAATGTCTGGGTCATTTAGTGGCGATGGATTTTGTACACGGAACTTTCCGTGTTTGTAAAATCTGTCGAAAAGGTGCTTGGATGTCATGGCATCCGTATGTATCCACACCTGGATGTCAAGGCATCCGTGGTGTATCAGACGATTACTTCTGTTATTATACATAAAGTATACGCTATTATAATTTTATACCGATACATTCTAGTTACGACGTTGTTCATAAGTAAATACGCTACTTAAACTCAAACATTCCACTGAAGCTTTAATTTTAATTGGATTATTGGAACGAAGTTCATCATTACAGCGTGCGGGAGGTGTCAGTTTGTAAAAAATCGTCTCGTAAGGAAAATGCGTTATGGCCCCACTCCTTTCAACTGTCAGCGGTTTTCTCCCTAACATGGGGCGTGGTGCTAGTTTATTTTAATATTATATAATTATTTAATATATATATTTATTTATTTTCCCTCACAAGCTTATAATTTATAAAGTTCCCGTTATTAAATAGCCGTGATAGCTCAGTGTCCGGATACTCGAGCAACTTGAGTTAATTTAAAAAAAATATTTCGAAGATATGTGAAGTCCGCCAATCCGCAGTGGGGCCGCGTGGTGGACTATGCCCTGATACCCTCTGTATAGAGGAGGCCTTTGCCCAGCAGTGGGACATGTATAGGCTGTTACTTTACTTTTACTTTTTATTAAATACTCAATACAGCGAAAGGAATTTCGTTCCAGTCGGGCGTTTGTTCCTCGACACCTCTCGTTTTTATTATATCATTGTCACTTTGTGTATGGTGTTCGGCGATAAGCTTATCACCTGTCACGTCTCTTGTTGCAACTCTGAGAAGCAGATTTACATAATTCCGAGTGCTTGTATATGTATAACATATCTCCCATCGCGTCCTTAAGTAAAGAGGCTCGTCTGTTTGTTCTGTACATTACGCGAATATTTCGTTGTTTAAGTGTTCGATGTTCTAGTCATGTGTGATTTTATAAAATCACCGTATTTTCTATAGAAATTGTCTGAATCTCGACTGTCTTCGCACAAGATTTATAAGTGTAGGTTAATCTCTTCATATTTAGATTGAAGTTTGTTATTTGACGTTTGACTAAGCGATATAGTCTCGTATGTATCGATGTAATGTATAAGACATTGTTTGTACGCTGACCAGTGAATTTCCCGGTGTCTTACGTCTATTTACGTCTAGTCATAGAAGTGTGTGAATTTCGCCCGTTCCGATAGTTAACTTGGGCTCCTTGTGTCGACTTGTGTACGCCCCACAGCTGGGCTTTTGGGAAAGTAGGCAAGTTCTCGCATAGATAGCGTGGGCGGAATTCACCACGTCCACCAGTTTGTAGATTTTATATGTAATCCGTTTAAGAATGTGTCGAAACATAATACGATTATTAATGGAAAATGATTTAAACACTGTATTAAATATCTGTGTTACTATGTCCCCTATGCCTTTTAAATTTTTTATCTGTGGGAAAATGCGGATAATTTCTCGATGCAGTGACTGTATGCTGTTTTCTTAAATAACTGTATTTAATAATTTTACAGAAACTAATGATATTACACCTCAAAATGTTTAGAATAATTTCCGATGCTTATGTAGGTTATAACATTTTATCTGGGGCGTAAGTTCGATTCTCGTGTTTTAGGGCGCCATTTTTACGTTTCTTTCGTTATTACATATATGTTTCGTCAAAGTATAAGCGTAACTTTAATAATATTCTATCTATTCCTTTCCAACATAATTGACGATGTATATAAAGATATGGTTCTATTATCTTTAAAAATTTCTTACGATTAAAGTCATTGATTTGTCGCACAATTTTTAAAAGTTGCCTAAAATTTAAATATAATGTAGTGTAACTTTGAGATATTAATCCTTAGTGCATTAGGATATCTCGCTCTGTTGTCGAAATTACCTGCATCGCGTTCCTTAGCGATTGGAAATTATTGATGGGTTCTGATAATGCAGATACGTTGGAGACTGAAAACTGATTGTCGACTGACAATTTACTATATGTATCAACATGTCTCGTGTATACATATAAATACAATTGTGGGAGTTAACATATTCGATATAACTAAAAGACTTTCCAACCTGCATACGATTGTCCATGGCCTCTGAAGGGAGCCCAATTTAATTTCGCAGTGTTTGAAAAATATTAAAGACAAACGAAAGACTTTGAAAACACCGCGTAAATCTTTATTTAAGGTCCAAATTAAAATAACACTACAATGATACAAACAGAATTTTTAAAATATTACTTGACACATCGTCAAGGGATCCCAGAAAAGCGGAACTGTTTTTCCCGTGCGTTGTATTTAATTAAGGACTAAAGTCGGGACTATTCATCAAAATCCTGTTGCCTGGCAACACTGGGTATGCATAATTGTGTGCTTGTGTGCGTGATGTGTACGTACGCTGCACACACTAGCGTCTTTGCTCAAGTACAGTCGCCGAGTGAGAGTGGACGCTTTTTATTGTTAACTAGCGACCCGCCCCGGCTTCCCACGGGTGCAATGCATTATACATATAAACCTTCCTCTTGAATCACTCTATCTAGCAAAAAAACCGCATCAAGATCCGTTGCGTACTTTTAAAGATCTAAGCATACATATGGACAGACAGACAGCGGGACGACTTTGTTTTGTATTATGTAGATATGAAACATTTTGTTGTACATTTGTTCATTAATTTTAAAATGTACACCGATGCGACACCTTTTATCGGTCACCCAATATTTTTTTTTATTGCCAAATATTGTCGTCATTTAAAAATTTTACCAAATCTGTTACAATAATTCTTGTTAAAACAAATGTAAGCCTCAATAATAATCGAGTATCTTGTCTAAATATGTACTTTGGTTAGTTGGAAATATTTTACGTGTCGAGTTGATAGATTTGTTGCTCTAACAGTGAAGGAACAATGCCTATCATCGAAATACACAACTGAAATGTATCCAGCAATTATCAGAACATACATGGAGTATGCATTAGTGAATTGTTCGTCGAAAGGAGGCACTGTGATAATAAACGCTAGTTTATAATGATCATTGATAGTCATCGGTTTCATGACATTGTCCGAGTGAATTGGAAGTAATCTAGTAAAAATTCGTCATGTATTCATTCGCAATTTTATTATTTACACACATTTTTAAATTTATAACACTTAACAAAGTAATTATATATACGGTAACAATTTATTCCACTCGTAGATTCATACACGTCTTGCATCAACGTCCGTGGAATTATTTTGAGCCGAGAAAATGGCAATTTCTCTAAATATTACACCTATTTAAAATATTTATTATATTCTTATACATAAATAATATTATTTTCGTCCTAATGAATCTTTTTGCAAATTCACATTTTATCTACTAGTCGAATTTGTAAAGTACTTGTATTGTAAGGTGGTATGAAAATTGTTTCAGTGTAAACCAGATTAAATTTGGTTATCAAAATGATTTTCGTCCAATGCCAAATGTTCTGTTAAGTTTGTTAATGACCAGAATCACTTCGAAGTGATCTAAATGCCTCTTCAATTATATAAATATTATGTATTAAATTAAGTTAGAAACGTTCGTTAATTATATTGAACCACATTTAATCTCTTGTATCGTTGTATCTTTTTACGGTACGGTTTCTTATACATTTTACGATAGTAGTCAATTATTTTCTTTAAAGGTCGTCTTTAATATGGCCAAACTATATATATATATATATATATATATATATATATATATATATATATATAATTCTCTTAAGAGTAATATCTAATTTGGCCTAATTTGGGCAGAATTAATATCTGATTTGTTGTGGCAGTCTTATTGAAAGGATGCCATGGTAGTCTTAAAGTCTAAATGTCAGTCAAAATGATATGCTCCCCCAATATTGCATCTTATGTCTCGGTGTCATTTTGTTGGGAAAAAGAAAGTCTATCGAAGTTGTCTATTCTATCTGAGTAATGCATTTAGGTTTGTCTATGATTTGTAATGTCTAGTCATAAAACCATAGATTCCATAAGTTATATTAGCGAAATATTCAACCTCCAAGTTATATAATGTAGTAAATTTATTTATGTACATCATATTATGAACTACGATTTTGTTATTTACAAGCAATATTACTATAACTGTTAAATAAATGCTTTTAAAATGATGCCATTTAGTAACTGATGTGTATTCTGTATAGTAAAAAAAATATTTATTTACTTCTGTCAGTCAATGAATTTATGATTAGCTGGATTCATTACGAATTTAAATCGAGTATTGAGTTTAGCGAAGATTGTATAATTACATAACTTTCTTAACTTAAGTAATATAAAAAAAAATAGATTTTATTAACAGTGAACCAAAGATAATGCCGTTTGTCGAATAATTCTTCCACATTGCAGCCAAATATGATAATGACGTAGAAATAGTCCAATACATCCTTTTGTTACAAATCCAAACTATTACGGAAATGGTTGATAATTAATTGTTTTACATAACTGCAATGTGCAAGAGTTTCTTATACATATTTTAAAGTTTTAACCTGCGGTCACATTGGGTGCTTCACGTTTTTATATATCTAATATAATTAATGTTCAATATATCATTTGTTTTTATGAAAATTTATAAGATATAGAACAAGATACTGTAGGTTAATAATGTTACATAGGCATGAGAAACTTCTTAATAGTGAAAAACGTAATCATTTTATGATATTATCGCATATCTCATACGAGTACTCAGTTAGTATGCTAGCGTCATTCATATAGCTTGGAGCTTCGTAGTAGGTGAATGTTGGAAACCGTGAAACATTCGATGTGACCGCAGTCGTGTAATCGATGTGGCGAAACTATGCGCCGGAATAAAAACACTGAAATGTAAATGCCTTTCATTAAGCCCCGTTTAGTCCTTCAGTGTCACCTCCTCAGCGTTACAACGGTCAGAATTCCCACCAAGATATTGGCTGCACCTGAAATTAATGCAACTATTTTCACAACCATCCCTAGCATACCATCAAAAAGTTTGGCACTAGCCTAGTGCTAGACTACCCAATGGTATTTATAAGTCCATAATGCTTGATGATCATTGGTGGTAACATCCCAACTGTGCTACTCAAGTGAGTTTGGTGGGTTCGCTACGGCTAACTCGGTCAGATTCATTGAGACTCGATGGCTGATGAGCTGTCACGGGGACGGACAGAATTTGAATTAAATAGACGTTAATTCTATATGATTGGCTAATAACACAATGCAAGTGAGCTGACCACAAACATAGAGTGGCTCTAGAATCATAGAGACAGCTAATGCAAATCCAAACGCAGGAGCACAAGTGATCAACTGATTTTGCAAACGTTTATCATCATTACTTCACCCCGTTAGGTCCACTGCTAAACACAGGCAACATCAAAGTTTCACAACGACGATCATGTCGTTACTGGAAAGGCAAAATAACTTGAAAGTGGCTCTTGTTACATCTATCACCAGACGGAAACGAGGAAGTATAAAAGTATACAAATTCATGTTGGTCAATACATGTTTATTAATTAATAAAAATCATTTTTTTGGTAATTTTTGCGGGTAGGAATGTTGAGCAGAATCTTATACGTAAACAACTATCAAAAGGATTTATTAGTTTTATTATACTGATACCGAGTGAATTAGAGCCGCTATATGCCACCGGCGTTCCCCTGACCACCGTGTGGTGGTAGAGCACCTCCGGGCTGCAGGTGACCGTCGACGGTCGCTGCCACCGGGTGTACGCCAACGACGACCACACGTGCCACAGCTTGGATGTACCATTCCACAGTCGACCGCTGAAATCGGCTTGCACCTGTGTAAAATACAATTTATCGTTTAATAATCAACATATCATTTATATCTTTGTTTAAAATAGCCGCTAGCGCGATTGCCACCTTCTCACATAAAAATAAAATAAAAAAGAAATGAAGGGTAAAGTATGTTTATGAACTGATAAACATACATAGGATTATTAAACTACCTCTATCCATAGTACAAGATTTTGGTTAGTTTTTGATTAGATAACGTAATATAAAGTATGTCCCGAAAAATATTTTTTTATTCATATACAAATTATTTAGTACATACATACATGTATGTACTAAATAATTTTGTTACACTGTGACTCGAACTTTGTAATTCTAGTACTTAGTACTAGAATTACAAATGCTTAGTACTAGAATTACAAATACTTTACAATTCTAGTACTTCTTTGGAACTGGTTTTATTACTTTAGTAATTATGAAAAAAGCGTAGCTATAAACGAAAGTAATAAAACGGCATAAGTTCAACAAAATGGCGACACACGAAGCACAAGTTGTTTTATTATGTGTTATTTTATTTAAAATTTTTTATGTGGGATACGTTACGTACCTGAAAATCCGTAACTTCCCCTCTAGAAGCGTCCGCTAATATAAACTAATCGTTTTAAAGGAAAGGGTAATTTATTACGCACAGGTCCGTGTTGAATTTTAATTCGGAGCAAACGATATTGCGCGGGGCTTAAGCGGTGTTTGGGGAGTATTTTTCAGTTTTTATAATGTCATTAATAAAATTAAATTTTGCTTTGTGAACACTGTGAAGTGTTAGACACTTCAATGTTTTGATTAACATTTGATGCTTTTTGAAAGCTATTGCGTTAGTTATACCGTTAAGTAGACAGTCCTAGCTAACACTATTGTATGAAGTGACTAAACATCACAACGTAAATAATCGTGTAAACGTTGTCTTTAATAGCTTGTAAGTACCTACTTCTTGACGCAAAAGTCAAGCAAAGACGGGCTCTACTGTCTACTAGGCCTCTTTAGTTTTTATTTTAGTACCAACATCCAATGGATATGTGAAAAAGTTGTTGTTTCAGTCCAAACAATTGTGAAAACCATAATTATTTGAATTCGTAAAACTTTCGTTAGACGCCATCGAGTACTAAGTCACCAGCACCTTTTTCGATTACAATTGTTAACAAATAATTATAGCAATCGCACAAACATTTGGATCTGGATCGAATATTATTTATAGATTATACAATAATACTAGTCCCAAGTGCCAAATTAATGTTAGAATCCACCAACGGTACTAATTTCTACTAACAAAGGGAATAATGAGGCAAGAATCTCGGCGTTCATATATTCATTTCTTCTACACTTCATTGAAAAATTGCCATCAAGACAGTCCACCACGGAACCTCCTTACGGAAGTGCGGATTTTATATATTTTCGAAATATTTTTTTGTTATTATTCCCAAAATATGCAGGTTTGCTCACGATGTTTTCTTGACTTTAGCAGCGCAGGGGGTCCTTGGTTCAATTCCCACACGGGAAAACTATTTGTGTGACCCATAGATAATTGTTTCGAATCTGGGTGGTAGTCTACGCGAAATTTATGTATGTAAAACGTCCTTACAACACAGGATAATGTTAACCTACTGTAAGAGCAATGTATTTAAAACATAAAGAAGAAGATCATACATACCTTGTCTTCTCCGACAGTCCATTGTAGGATTGGGGCTGGGAGCCCAGTCGACGAGCAGTTGAGCATCACCCGGTCTGGTGTGGAGTCGTAAGTCTCACGTTCTAGCTTGGCAACACTTGGTGGCACTGAAATGGTATCTTACATTAGAGATGGCGCTGCCTACGTTTCAATAATTACTGCAACATGCATCAGTTGGAATTTTTATTTGACGAGGATCAAGGCAGGTTCCCTTGAACCCAAATAAGGGCCTTGTTTTAATACTGTCTTGTAACGTTTTATGTTACTAGTATATTATTTGTTTCCTATGATGCGTTACTCTTTTCCCGCATTGGTTCGCCGTTTCCAATTATTGTTCAAAGTGTTTTGTTTACGACCGTACACGCTACACGTTATCATGGATATGCAACTACAAAATTTGCATTACATACCGCAATTTGTGCAAAATTAACGCCGTCTATTTTGATTACGACCTGAAATTGCTAATTGGTCTGATTTGATAGTTTTGTTTTCTTTCATTTCTACCTATAGTTAATTCACCGTTGTAAGTTCAGCAAAATTACTGTCGATATTTCAAAGTTAAACGGTAATTGACTTATAAAGAATTGTTAAACATTTTTGCAAACTGTAGTTTTAACTATGCTTGGTATGTTGGTCCTTCAATCATTTGGTGAATTATTTGCATTGGTAGTAATAACCACTGTACTAAATCACTGCGATAGGGGCACGCAATAGTCTCTTCTGTTGCACGAATGGGCAGGTCCGTCCGGGTAAATTCCGCGACCTCACAGTGAGTGAGGTAGCCGGGGCACACTTTATTAAAAGTTAGCAACGCATCTGTAAGCCTACGGGTGTTGCAAATGTCAATGGGCGGCAGTTGTCCTCGTGCAATTTATGTTTGTAAAACGTCCTTACAACACAGGATAATGTTATCCTAAAGTGAGGGCAATGTATTTAAAAAAAAGAAAAAAAAAAGTTATCATTTAACATCAGGTGTACCACCTGCTCGTTTGCTCTTTTTCTCTTCTCCCATAAAAAAACTATTCATCATTGTACCCGGTCTACGTATAATATTCATATATACTAAAGATAGTAATACTTAAGACTTTTTTCTGAGTTGCCATACAGCTGTCTATTACATTATTTCTAACGGCACGTCATTATTTCTAAATTATTAATCAAATTAAATCTCAAACACCAATTTAAAGGTCATATTTGCTGCTAGTGAAGGAAAATGGACGTTTAAAATTTTTTAAGAAGAATGTATGGTAATGCCATCTATTGACTATTTGTTTAAATGAAAGAGAAGGTAGACAGACAAATTTTATTTTTCAAACTACCCTACCTTCAAGTGAGCTCTTATTGATATATACCCATTTACACATTATTATTTTACAAATGGGCGCCTGATCACGTCTCTAGCCAACCAGCTCTACCATATAACCTATATATGCCTTAAGAATCATGCAGGGCATCAGTACCCGATTAAGTAAACGCGGGGCCCGTAGCATATTCTTTCAAACTGCCCTTTATCTGTTATGGGCTCTTAAGTATAAATTGGTAAAGAAACTATTCAATACTCTTACTTATTTAATGAATTTCACCAAAAAATTTAAGGCTCAGGCAGACGTGAGTGGGTTTATGCGGGGCTTTTGGCGCGGGGCCCGTAGCAATTGCTACTCTTGCTGCGTGGTTAATCCGGCACTGCTGGGCATGTAGGCTGGGGCTCACCAAGCGTCTTGAGGGTGTAGTCCTTCCTCTCTATGACGAAGGTGGGCCGCTCGCCCGACACCTCGCAGCTGAACTGCAGCTCGGTGGGGGGCGGGAGGCGTGGCTGCACTGAGAGCAGACAATCGCCCCTTCGCCCTAGCTCCGCAGTGAGCGCACACTGCACTTCTAACACGACATCTGCAGCGGGGAAGACCTCCGCGCGCGCTGTGCCGTGGATCTGCAACCGCCAGGGCCAGATTTAGGGGTCTGGAGGCCTCGGGGCAGCAAAGGAGTGGAGGCCCCTTAGCCCCAAATTATTTTCCATTGATTCCTGTTAATATTTAATGTGATCATGTTTGTACAAAGTACAAAGAATATGAAAGGAAAAGTTGTTTACTATTGTTTATTAGTCTGAATTTGAATTTTTTTTCCGAAGAATCTATTGTGGGGGCACCTCGTTTGTAGTTTGTGGGAGGCCCCGGGGGATTTGCCCCGGATGCCCTGTCCTAAATCCGACCCTGGCAACCGTAGCTAGTTGGACCGCTAGGCGTTAACTTCGTTACGCCATCGGCTTTGCGTGGATCTCGTTACGGAACTAAGAGCCGTACCCGATCTTTTAAGAGTTTAAAAAAATATATAAACGAAAACGAAACCGACCTCAAATATCTCTCTCGTATCTATTTTGTAATTGATTTTCAGGAGATCCCTAAGTGTCTCTGGAGCCCAAGATCCAATACCAATTATTTGCAGCAATTAATATGCGACCACATGGGAAGCACCAGCTTTCAAATAAAAAAAAGAATCATCAAAACCGGTTCACTCAGTCTAAAGTTCTGAGGTAACAAACATAAAAAAATACAGACGAATTGATAGTCTCCTACTTTTTTGTAGTTTATTGAAAATATGTTTCTTTATATGTGAAGAAAAGTTGTCAAGCGAGCAGGCGGTAGACATGCGCCCGTGGACATTCGGAACACCTGACGGCTTGCCGATACGCCGAGAACCTTTAAAAATGGACCCCGGTAGCGTCACTCGTCAGACGAATCGCAGACTTGTAACAGTTCCACTTCACGCCGGTCTTCTGTGAAGTCGTGGTACTTTCCCGGACGGACCTGGCCATTCGTGCAACAGACAAGACTGTTGCGTGGTCCTACCACAGTAAAATGTTGTTAAGTTACTCTATCATCACATATATTCCGTATGGCACAAGTATGACTGCAAATAACGTGCCGGTTTCGTTCGTATAAATAGAAATCTTTTGTGGAAACAGTTGACAATGTTCATAAGGGAACGATGGGGAAAATCTTACTTCTGGTCGGTATATCATAAACTGCTGGCCGTTCCTCTGCAAGCGCACAGACTGCAGCGTGTCGTTTGGCAGCATCGACCAGGAGCACCTCACCTCCCACCCCACTTGTGGCACCCGTTCGGCCGTTATCTTCAAATCGATCGCTTCGCCCGCCGCTTCTGTCGTGTTACGGAGAAGGTTTTTAAACTGCATAAGCACTTCACCTTACGCTGTCTCATACGATAGGAAATTAATAATTTAGAGCAACACATGATCAAAGGACTAAAAAAAAAATCATCAGTTAAACCTTAAATCGCTCTTATGACGATCGCACCACAAGGCAATAACTAGAGGTAAAAAGTTAAGTAAAACACAACTTGTACATGTCCCTGCAGCTGGGAAAAAAGGCCTCCTCTGTACAGAGGGTATTGGGTATAGTTCACCACGCGACCCCACTACGGATTGGCGGAGTTGATAAAGACAAATGACAAGTCGGCACTTAAAATTAAAAAAAATTCGGGCTGGCACCGGGATTTGAACTTGATTTGAAATTTTAAAAGCTAGTGCCCGGATACTGAACTATCACGTTCCTTATGACAAGTATGTATTAAATAAAAAAGAGGTAAGTATATGATGATTATACTCTATTTATTAATATCTTTTTTGTTTTTTTTATTTCCCTAACCAAGCACAGTCAACGGCTATCGGGGTCACGGTCCGCACCGAACCCCGATAGCCCATAGGCGACACTCCTTAGCTAACATACACATGCGTGGCCCTACCAACTGTGGAGGGCCTCAAACATTTGGGTTCTGGCTAGCCCAACGGTTCTGCGTTCGGTGAAGCTTTAATAGTCTCGGGACTGAAAGCGTTAACATCAGTTATTTTAAGACAAGACTTATTTCGTGCGAAAACTTAGTGCTCGTCTTCTAGTTCATCGATGATGCTGAAAGAGAAGACCGACATGTCTGAAGATATACTTATATATGATGATTCAAAAACAACTTCGCAACCATCAAAGCAACTACCAGGCTACGGTTACGCCTTGGCGGTTTGTGCCCGAATGCTTTATGTATTAATAAAAAAAAACCTAAATTATGCGCTAACCGTTTTATCTATTAATATCTGTATATATTTGATGCAAAATGCCTTCTACATCTTTTAATATTAACATATAAAGGCTCCATTCTACCTGATTAAAAGTGGCTGTTAATAATCATAACTAGGGCAGGCTACTGATTTAAAACTGCAAAAAATATGCAACATAACAATTGAACACAATTTTCCATCCGGAATTAGCATTATTCGCGAATGTATGGTTACGAACAACATGTAATAATCAGCACATAATAAGTATGTTCAATTCGAAAACAACAGTCGCAAGTTAGCCCAACATACGGTTGCGGGCTCGTATTCCGTGCGAAATTGTGCCGCGGCGAGCGCTTCGTAAATAATGCAGCCCCGCCGCGCTGTTTCACATTGTTTAGTGTAATTCCCGCTTAATTAATAAACACGCCCAGTGTTCTGTTCCCGCTGCACCGCGTCCGCGTGACCCGCCCTTATTAAGCGGTGTTCATACCTTAGCATTTGCATAATTAATTATTTAATCCACTCACGGACACGCGAGGCAATTCACTTATGTAAATAAAGCAATAAAGCGCTGTAAGCAACGGCTGCGCTGCGTCCGTACTGGCCCCAAAGCACGGTAATTATTTGAAGGAAAACCTGTTCGGTTGTACTTTTAGACGGACCCAAGAAGTTAACACAACTGAGGTGTAATTTGACGTTTAGGTGACTGACATTTAGGTGTCTGAGAAATTTTGTTGACATTTATTAAATAGCAAAAGTGACATTTATAGTTTTCAAATATTTCATTGTAAAATGGTATATGAAAAATTGGTCGTTTGCTTGTATACACACTAGATGACGCATTGCTTAAAAAATGTAATAAGGATTAAAAGACAAAACACATTGTGATTTTTTTTTAGATGTGATGACTTGAGTTGATGTGAAGACAAACCGATCGGCTCAGTGACTACAGCGTCGAGTGCGTATCTTGTACGACACAAGTTCAAATTCAAATGCAGCGAAAAATTTTAGTTTATTAAAAATTTAAAAATTTTCAAATTTATTTACTCAGAAAAATCAGACCTGTTTTAGATGTTGAAATATTTTTAAAAAGTGTATAGGATGCACGAAGTACATAAACCTGTTGACATGACTTGAAAGGTACAAAATTAGGCGGCAGTGGAATCTAGAACCAACCTTCAAGGGTTATACTATTTATTTGAAATTGAAATTAATAAATTAGCATTCGTAAACGAAAATTTATTAATGGAACTATCAAAGGATAAATTGAAAATTGTTAATAACTATTCTATAGACACTTTCTTATTTTTTTGAAAATAATTTATCATTACTTCACCAAATATTAAAAGGCCGACGAGAGTCTCGGATTCAGCCAGTCCGTGTCAGAAACTCTCTGGCACTGTCGGTGATGTCCAACAGATTTATTAGAGTATCTATGTATATCAAAAATTGTTTCCTAGTCTCTTAAGTTCCATCAAAATTGAATTAAATATTTTTATATCGTAACAAGCAACATAGTTATACAAAACTGATTTAATCGTTTTTTTTATGAGAAAAGTTGCCAAACAAGAAGATGGTTCACCTGATGGTGAGTGAATGCCATCGCCCATGGACATCTGGCACACCCGAGGGTTACAGGTGCGTTGACAACCTTTTGAAAATTGGGCTCCGGCTACCTCACTCACCAGACGAAACGCGAAAGTTTTTGTCATACTTCCACTTTAAGGTGGTCTTCTGTGAGATCGTGGTACTTACCCGGACGGGCCTGCCCATTCGTGCAACAGCCGAGGCTGCTGCGTGGCCCTATCACCGTTATATATGATATATATATGACATATAATGTAAAACGGAACAATTTTAAACGTCGCGCATTATGAACATGTGACTTTAACTTTGACTTTAACAGACAGACTTCATTGTAAAAACCACTCAATTCTTTTTGTCTTGTGTAGTCGGTTTTTTTTGCTTTTGAGTGAGTAGAGACATACTTAAATAAAATAGAGCTAACATAATTATTCTAAAATATTGAGGTTGTTCCTTATATCTTAAAAGAAGCCTCAGGTGAACCGTCTGCTCGCTTGGAAACTTTTCACATAAAAAAAAATAGAGTGAATATGACAGATGATATAAAACGTACGATATGGAAATCATTTATTCATCGACATAAGAAAAATACATTTCATTTATCGATAGTCATTTTTTTAACCTACCAGCGTTTCGTAATGAGGTTCCTCTAACAATTAGAAAAAGAATTCTCTCTAGAAAGAGATAGCAGTCTATAGAGTTGCAATTTAATTCCACCAATTGTAAATTGACCTCAGTTTCTTATCTTATTTGTAGGTATAAAAAATCACTAGATTTTTATGTTACCTTTGCCCCTTTTCCACCTTTCAAACAAAAATAGTACAATAGAATATCTTGGAAACAAGAATATCACTATATTCCTCTTAAAATATTTAACTCAGCTTATTGGTGTAACAACCAACGTTAAATTGCAGAATAAATTAACCAGTACCCGCAGCCAGATCAATCTTGTTATAAATAACACGAATAAACAGTTTCTTTAGGGGAGAGGACGTCATGTGTCATTTAATTTTACTGCTATTAAACAGCTTCAGTTTTAATCAATTAAATTGTTTTGAACTTATTCAGTGATTCCAACATTGAAGATAGTTTTGTATTTCACTTTACGGAATTATACTTTCCTGGCCGGTTATTACTTCGTTATAAACTAAATATATATGGATGTATAAAAAAACACTAAAATTAAGGAAACTTTTAGGGTTTTTTAAATATTAAAAAAAAATCTTTAACGTCAGGATTATAGTTAAGGTAATAAATGAACTCAAAATTGTATTTTAATATAATATTACAACATTATTTTTAATATAATATATTACGTATAATCTATAATCGTGTGAATATTTTGAAATCCGGTAATTTATGCGACATTTAACAACAGTGCTAAACGCTTCTGTTGTACCAGATTCGGAAGGACCGAATTCTAAGAGTATGTGTACGGTCCGGAGGGGATCTTTCGGGTAATTGTCTTATGTAACCGTTCTATATCACATTGACTTTTTACGATATTTATACGAGCAATTTAAAACAGTTCCTCGGTCATTAAGAACAATGAATACGACAACCAAGAGACCAAGTGTCTGCAAACACATTGTCGTTCATTGACGATAATAGAACGCCTTCGTTAGTATCATTTAGTGACGCAATTCACTTCTAGTCATAGTATACAGTTGCAAACGTACATTTCATTTTAAAATAATTGTCGTGTATAAGAGTAATTTTCCAGACTATTTTTATTCATTCACTATCATAAGTCAAACATGTATTACTTCTTGTTTGTTTTTCGTAGTTTTTTGTTATAAAAAGACATGCGACCTGGTGGTTCACGTGATGTTAAGTGATAACAGTCGCCCATGGAAATTTGCCCATGGGTTGCAGATGCGTTGCCACCTTTTAATAAAGTGGGCTCCGCTACCTAACTCGCTAGAAGTGCAGAAGTCTTACCACCACTATTATTATCTACCACTTCACGCCCATCTTCTGTGTGTGGCCGCGGTACTTCCCCGGATGGACCTGCCCATTTGTGCAACAGCGAAGACTATTGCGTGGCCCTACCGCAGTTCATGTAATTATCTTTATATGTAGTGCGAGTTAGTTATCGTCCAGGGGGGCATTAACTTTTTGCCGCTGGCCCAATTTTAGAGGCGTGCACTAAAGTGATTTCAGTTTACCTTCTTACAATTCCATTCAATGTAAAGCCTTTCTACGGGCAGTGAACTAAGGTACACTTACTTTACATAGTAATAAAAACTGGATCATCGAAAAAAACAAAAGACAAAGTTTGAACTGTTTGTAAACTGTATACACTATTAGGGTCATGAGCTGGCAGCCCTGTAGTCCCTGGCTCATAGAATAGGGCTAAGGTATCCTCTGCCTGTCGTAAAAGGCGACTAAAAGGGGACACGGATGGGCAGCAGCACGAAGTGGTCTCGTGTTGCTGCAAGAGGGTGAGGGGATCGGAGAAGGTTTATCCTTGGGAAGAGAGGGAGAGGGTTTAGTGGGTAAGAAC